GTCTCTGTTCTGAAGGCTGTGGCTAGTATAGGCGTAAAAAAAAAAAAAAACTAGCAGAAAAACCTGCGAAGCCTTCTACAACTTACTGTATTAACCAAGCTAATCCCACACAGACAGGACTTGGTCAAACTATGAACACTCACACCTGAGCTTCCTGAGGGAATACCATTATGTCCAAAAGCCTTTAGAGCTCAGTCATTTATATTTTTTGGCATCTTGATGCAATTTGGCATGGTGGGAAACCAGAGCTGCCTGATTCTAGACAGACATCAGAATCTACACCTGGCCTCAAGCCAGTTTAGGTCCACCATAATGTACTTCCATGTCAACCCGCAGAGGTAGTGCTGAGCCATGCCACTGGCTCATTAGGAGCTCCCATCCATCCACGTTAGTGATTGACATCACTAATTTAACTCTTCCATGGTGCCCATTAAAACCGAGCCCTTGCTTGTACAACAGGAGGAACCAGCCATAGCTGGGCAGCGGCGAGATGAGAGCCTCCCTTCCCCAGCCACCTGTATCAGAGCCGACTGAGTTCTGCTGCCTTACAGCCAAGTGACCCAGGTACTCCTGCCCCTCAGCCTCACAGGACATGAGGTGAGGCACAGGACTACTGCCACCGTACCCATTTACGGCCCCACTGTCCACTGCTGGCTAACCCACACACAACACGAGGCCTGCTGTAACCATCAGAGTCAAGCTATTTGGGATAAGCCATCCTTCCAGCTACCATGGGTAATGCAGAGTACTGGTACCATTTTACAGGTAGGTTTCTAAGTCCCCCCGCATTTACTACTTCTCAGACAAAGCTGAGGATTTATCATGTGAAAATTTTTGTTTAATACGAAACTTACTCTCTTGAGGATAGTGCTAAGCTCCTAAACACCTCTGAGGTACTTCTAAATAGGATAGGCTCTATCTAACAGGGAATTTCACACATTTTAATACAAGAAAACAGGGCACTAGCTGAGGAGACATCTATTAAAATACATCAAGCTTCTTGAAACAACATCAGTAGCAGTTACTGAACATGTAATAGAATTGTGTATTTTTATGTCACATCATCGGTTTAAGCTGGAAGCAAAGGGCTTATTTACATACTCGTGCGAGCATATGTAAATTGCAGAAGTCATTAACAAAAGTCACCACGTTAAGGAGTTGCAGATGAGACTGCTTCACTTTAAACAACCTAGAAGCAAAATATCTAAGTACTTACGTGAACAATCTTCAGGCACACATTCATTATGTGATGAGCTGTTTACTTCTGCTCTTTTTGCACAGGTATAATCTGTCAGAAAAGGAAAGAACAAGTTCTAAATACTTTTTTTTTTTATCTTAAAAAAGCTCTGCTACTGTAGATATTCTTAAATGCTAATAAACTGTTCCCAGGATAAACTAAGTATCTTCTAGGTAGGATAACATTAAAACCACTTCAATATGCAGGACCTCAGTCTTATATTAAAAGTTACAGAAGTTTTCGTACATTCTTCCACTAGTTACTCTACTGCTCAACATTTAAGCACTATGCATACTTGGTTAAAGACCACTTTGCAGTAACAGTAGAGCCTGACACTTCCTTATAGCCTTTAAAGATTAGGCAGTGTTTCTACTATTTGTTACACTTTTCAAGTTAAATATTTTGGTTCTCTATGGAAACAGTATATAATTCTTACTGTCTTAAATTCTCCATGCAAGCAAAACTTAGTTCCAGCTTTTCAATAGACCCATGACCTTGTAACTGTTTAAGACATCCGTTTCTTGTTCATTGTCTGCACTTTCCTCGATTCAGATTTCTTCTCTGCCCTCAAAGAAGTTACTTCAAACACCTGAGAGATCTGCCTGCTGGTCAGACAGCGCATGCAGTGCACCTTCCTGAAGGATGTTTGTACCAGACAAGTAACATTCCAAATTCTTTTCATCAGTTCTGAACCATCCTCAGCCTTCATACATACTCTATCCGTAAGAACATTATTACAGCCAAGCCATTTTGTTTTCTTATTCTACCTCACTTACAAAGTGTACACGATCCTCCTGAGGACTACTTCTGTAGCCTTCATATGCCTTTGCCAACAGCAGCTTTATCTCCTCAACAAGAGGTCACCTAGAAGTATTTACATCCACCTCCCCAACAATGTGGAAAACAAGGTTCTGACCGAGGCCAGCTAGTGCTTTGTATTCTTTTTGACTCTACTACGTCCCCTTCAGTGGGTTGCAACTCTTTTAGGAACACTGCTCTTAACTGGTCTTATTTATGGATTCCTTTCCCTTACTGCATTTCAGTTCAGGCGCAGTGTCAGTGACCAGGTCTATGGCACAGCATCAGAAGGGGCCGCACTGGGATGCACCTGCACGTCACAGCCCACTCGTGACCTGACCCCTTAACAATAAGCACGAGTGACCAGTTTGTTCTGCTGACATTCTGGAAAACGTTAGCTTAGCAGCAGCAGATTCAAATCAGAAGCCTTACAAATCTGGGCTTATTCTGAACATTTTCAATTGTCTCACAGAAGAACTTCAAATTTACTGAATAACAGATACAAATTATGAATTTATCCTCCATTAGGTTATCAAACAGAACAACGTATTTCCTGTAGTGAACATCAATACAGGTGAAAATACATCTAGTTGGATTAAAGGATTTGCTTCATGTAGTCTTACTTACTTGTTTCTCCACACTTCATCCACTGGCAGTCATGTGTGCTGTTACACTAAAACACAGGTAGAAAAGTTTCCACAGGTGTCTGAAAAGAAGAAACAGATACACTGGTGAGGTCAAAAGTAGCACTGTAAGAGAGCAACTTCACCCATGGAAACAGTCCTTAGGATGATATTTCTCACGTATCAACGCCCTGGGTTAAGGCACAACCATTCTCACTGAACTAACTGCTCCTAAAAGCTGCAATTTGTGAATGCATCTGACGAGACGAATACATATCCCTCCCAACACTACTGATACTCCAAAACCAGACCTCACATACACACTGAGAATATGCCTCAAATAATCTCTCATTATAGTCAACCTGGACAGACAACAGAAAATGTACTGCCCTAATTGAAGCTACCAAAGTAGCTAATTGAAACCTCCCATGGCAAAAGCTTGGTTCCTTTTGATTATGGATCTGTTAATACAGCCAACTATGAAAAAATAAATAAGAGAGAATCCTGCAGTAGAAAGCAGCTGATTTACGGGAAATAAAGACACCAGCTTCGAGAACTTCACATACAAGTGCACATAAAGGAAAGCAGAAACAAAGTAAATCTATCCCCATTTTGATCACAGCAGAAGCCAGCAACCCAACCAGTCGGGCTGCTTTTTTTAACGTCAATCTCAGCCACACATTGTCCTCTCAAAACCACAATGTCAACACGTCCAGTGTCTGGATCAAACAAATTCTCCCAATCTACAATTTCACTGCATTAGTTTTGAATAAGACTTAGTCACACGCTCATCGCATTCAGACAACACACGGCTCTTTGCACCACAGCCTCCAACACATTCCCCGCACATTTCCACCTCCTCCAGGCACCGATGGATGACCTCTCGCCTCTCTCTCTGCTCACCAGCGAAGGGAGCTTGGCTGTTTGTGGATTTTTGGCAATCGAAACAAGCAGATGATAACCAGAAAGGGATCGACTCTCTGCCTTCAGTATTCTGGGGATTTGAATCATGCCTGAATGCTGCTGGACCTTCTGTTGGGTACAGCAGGATCGGGCTAGGAATACCGGTGCTATTTCTTTATGCTTCTTAGAAGCAACGAGGTGCAATAAGATCTTTGCCTGTTCGTATCAGTGAGGGATATGACAGTCTTAACACAATTAAGTGGCAAATGGTGCCACTTAAACCACTCCATTGGGTGCATGGCCATTCCTCGCTACGAGATCCCAGATAAAAGCTGCTTTTTTCCAGGTATCAGGCACAGCTTCGTGTCTGCCCAACAAACAACGTCCACCTTTGGGACCCCCTCGCTGGTTCTGACCGAGACCTGGCACAGCCCACAGGCTCACACCCGGCGCCTCAGGACCTCCACTCTCCCTTCAAACCTCCCCAACCCCCCCCCGGGGAAGGACCCTGGTCCTTTCAGCACCCGCTAGGAAGCCTTCACGAACACGCTGCCACCCCCGGGGGACGGGGGCAGCCCTGAGGGCGGCCGAGCGCCCCACAGCGACCGGCACCGGGCGGGGAAGGGGAGGGGAGGAGGGGAAGAGGGGAGGGGCTGCCCCGTCAGCAACGGGGAGGGGAAGGGAAGGGAAGGGAAGGGAAGGGAAGGGAAGGGAAGGGAAGGGAAGGGAAGGGAAGGGAAGGGAAGGGAAGGGAAGGGAAGGGAAGGGAAGGGAAGGGAAGGGAAGGGAAGGGAAGGGAAGGGAAGGGAAGGGAAGGGAAGGGAAGGGAAGGGAAGGGAAGGGAAGGGAAGGGAAGGGAAGGGAAGGGAAGGGAAGAGAAAGAAGAGGGGGGAGGGCGTGAGGCACTCACCAGGGGCCTCCTCAGCTCTGGCCTCACGCGCCCAACGGCTCCGCGCGCCGCCCGCGGCCAGGCAGAGGGCGGCCAGCAAGAGGGCGGCCAGCGGGAGCGCGGCTCCCCGGCCCATGGCGGCGGCGCTTCCCTTCTTCCCTTCTCCTTTCCCTTCTTCTTCTTCTCCTTTCCCTTCCTTCTTCTCTTCCCCTCAGCCCCGCCGTGCTCCGCTCCCGCCGCCGCCGCGCACCCTCTGAGCGCCGCCGCCGCCGGGCTCCGCCTCGCCCCGGCCGCGTCACGCCCCGCCCGCCGTCAGGGGGCGGCCGTTGGGCGGGTAACGGCTGCCCCAACCGCCGCCGTGGCCGCCTCAGCCTGCCACAGCGCTTCTCCTCTCGCTGCTGAAGAGATTTCACCCCTTCTCCCCGTGTTGTTCTTTCCCCCTCAGGCGGCCTTTAGCCCTCTGCGAATAAAAAATGTCTGAAAAAATGGCTTGTGCCACGGCGACGCAGACAGATGGTGGGAAGCTGAGGCGAAGGGATGTGGTGCTCCTCACGCAGGGGAGCCCGGCTGTGGTGCTGATCTGGGAAAAAGACGAAAAGATAAAATCGGGAAAATTCTCCCGTTTCTCTTAAGCATGAGCCGGGCTTGTGCACTACAGGGGAGGAGGCAGCCAAATAAACTTCTGGCTTAATCCTCCATTTTAGTGTCTTGCCAGAAGGTGCTGTATTGCCACGAGACCCATACAGCATCAGGAGCTTTCAGGCAAGCCGCCTGTCGGGGTTACTGGGCAATGACTACAGGATTTGGGTTTGGGGTGGTCCTGTGTGGAGCCAGGGCTTGGACTCAATGATCCTCGTGGGTCCCCTCCAACCGGGGATATTCTGTGATTCTGTGACTGCTGATAACATAATTTGGGTGAAGAAAGTTCTGTGCTGTCATCTATCGTGGTGTGTAGGATGCCTCGTGCTTTGCCTTTCTGTGAAGAAGTCTCACAGATGAAACAGAAAAGCAAAAGAAACGGCAGACAAAATGAGTTTTGTGGTATAAAGGGGCACCTCCTACATGGCGGGATGACCTGACACGTCTTGTTGGCTGTGAATTTTACGGCATTCCAACTCCTTTCAGGAAGGTAACAAAGGTAGAGGAGTCGCTCCACCTCAGCGACCTTTCGGTCTGCACATGCCGGTGTGACACAGCTCGGTTATTCCCTCAGTATGATCAGAGTTGCTGGCTCCTTAATGAGAAGAAGTAGTTTCCACATCCATTACTTAAATATGTTTCTGTTATGGCTTTGAATCAGCAGCATGTAAAATAAGCTGTGGAGCAGCATAAATAGATATTGCAGCACTGCCGAAACAGGCAGCTGAAGCTGGGAGTTCCCCATGGCTCCTGCACATCCCTGCTGGCCGTGCCGCAGGGGTGCCTGTCCTGCTGGGACAAGGACCAAGGACCTGCTGGCATCCTGCCGGCCTTGATTCACTGGGTCAGTCCCTCGTAATTTCCCTAGGCATCAGGCGTTATTTGAACTCACGTTTTTCCCTTTTTGCAGCTCCTGGAGGGTTATGGTATTCAATGTATTTTCAGCAGTGAATAATAGGGTGTTTTGTGTTATGAGTGGCAGGAGGACAGCAATCTTTTTAAACTGCAAGCAAACAGGATATATGCTAAATGTGATTGTTAAAAGATGACTGATAAAAAATAGCGTGTACATATTTGGAAAACCAGAGAGAAAATGAAGTGAATGAAACCAAACAAACCCAAGACTACCAGCAGGGCAAGAATTGCAGCTACAGCTTGTCTCCACAAGTGAGTGAAAATATGTCTGTCCTGTAATCCTGGGGGCTGGTGGCAATCCAAGTGAATGATAAATGTGGTTTGCCTGTTTTTTCTTAAAGTCAGCATCTCGGGACTTTGTTGAGGAATATGGTCAGCAGGATCACGGCAGTCGGGGTTGTTGTTGTTGGATTTAAAATACCAGACTCATCACTGTATTCATTTCTCGTTACGCCGTTATATACTTAGTGGTCAGTAAGGCATTTACCTCTGCTTTGAATGTCAGAACGCAAGCACTGTGTTACTGGAAACGTATGCAAAGCACTTGGCAGAAATGGATCAAGCCTAAGGGTCTGCAGATGTCCATTTTAGGGAAGCACATTTTAAATGTAGTAAATGCCCAGGAAACACAGCGGATCGCCCTCTGCATCTGCTGGTGCTGGGCAAGACAATAATGACAGGGCTTTGAAGAGTTGCCAGGGGAGCCAACTGCAATCTGGGATGGTGGCAATGAATAAAACAAAATGTAGCAGATAAACTGAAGGGAACATGCGTTTGTTTTTGTTTGTTTGTTTGTTGTTTTTTTCAATTTGCAAACATTTCTGTTTGTTTCAAAAGTGTTATCTCACCTGCATGGTTTTGACAGGGAAAATACAGCATCCAAAGTGGTTTTGGGGTACCTCATACCATTACATATTGGTGCATTGTTGGAATCTGCAAAACGATTTTTTAACCTTTGTAACCTTTCGAAAATATTGCTGGTACTTTGACTCCTGTGCTCAGAGCCTGCTAACCTGAGCTAATCCTCGTGCAGAGAGGCGGGTAGGATTGCAAAACCCGCCGTGAAGGTGCACCCGATCAGGGCTGGATACAGCCCCGTGGCACGTGCTTTGATCGAGGTTAACAAGATGAACAAGAGCCTTCCTTTATTGTTTCACTGTTCATCACCCAGAGCTCCTTAGGCTACTTGTAGGAACTGGAGGACCAGAGCTAAAAGACACATTCTTTTAGGTGCCCTCCTCAATACTGGATGAAAGATTTTGCCACAATTTTTCTGGCAGAGTGTCCTTCCCGACCAATGTGAATACAGTAATTGTGGCTTGCCTGCAGGATCCTTATGCCTGAAATTCAAAACGTATCCTGTATGTCGTTCACCCAGCCATCATGCTTTCTGTCAGGGCTGTGACCTTTGGCACGGGATCAGCTTTCTGATTCCTGACGCAATCAGGTGCTTGTCTGCCCTGCGGGATCCTGAACATTGCCCGTCTGCAGGGCGCGAGCTCCCGTGCCCTGCCTGCTGCTCTCAGCTCAGGCTGTTTGGACTCGAAGCATGCGCTATGATTTCCTTACAAATCAAAGAATTGTCCCTTTAGAATTTTCTTCTATAACCTGCAGAATTAAAACTACTTTCCTAACTTTCATCTTCAAATATTTAAACAATTTAAGGTCCTTGCAAGAAATATGAGCCACTAACCTGCATCCCAACACTGAGCTTTGAAGCCATATCTTTTTATAGCATGTTCTCTACTGCTTATGAAAAGTAATCTGTCAGGACATATATTGTTTTATGAAGAAAACACAACAGCATATTTTTGCCTTTGGCACAGAACTATGAAGTGAAAATAATTATTCTCTAGGCAGTTTAATTGATCTGAAATGTTCCTACAGAAGACTTGGTCCGTGTATAGATTTCAGAACTCTTTAGAAAATAAAAGGAGAAAATGTGTTGACAGCTCCTTAGCTAGCTGAAGACGTATACATATATTTTAGGCTAAAGAATATTTTTGTTTGTACCATAGATAAAGAAAAATCTGAATTTCTTTGCTAAAATTAAGATGTTCGTTATACCCCCTCAGAGCATGTGGGATCACTCTAAGTCTACACCCTCTTAATGCATTAAGTTGAACACTGGGTAAGCGTTTGTTAAATTCATCCCCAGTTAGCAAAGAAACTTTGGCACATTGCTATTCCTGAAATCCACAGGCTTAAGCTCAGACAAAACTGGGCCCCTCCTAATGCTTTGCTAATTCCACCTTTCCCATCTTACAGCTGGCCCTTGTTTTGCAGATTTGAGTGGCTCACGCAGCAAGCTCAGCCCAGGAGCAAAGGTCACTCCCTCGGTACAGCCTCTTCATGCTGCTGGAAATAAAGGTGAGAGGACGGTAAGCTGACAGTGTCCGTGTGTCTCACAGATTGCGTCTGCACCCCAGCCCTTATGACTGCTCCTTCCTTTGCATTTCCCTGTGCACTTCCTCGTGGCCTCTCTTTCCAGGCTGCATTTTCGTTTTCTTCTTTTAGTGCTTCTCTGCCATCCTCTGCTGGAACCATCAGCACCCAGGCTCTGCTCCGTTCACCAGAGACGTCTTCCATGTGTGCAGTCCCCAACACCAGCAGTCGTGTGTTAGACATTTGCATCCATAGGTAACCTTAACATTTCCTGCTGTGTGTTAACCTTATAAACAAGATTGTCCCTGTTTTAGTGGGAAAAAAAAACGTTATTGGTTTTAACAAAATCTGTGAAAAACAATTACTTAAAACTTAAGCTTATTTTAACATTTCTGGTTTTAGCCTGATGCAGCTCAACCTGATTTCAAGGGTTATGTCAAGGGATTTTAGTTAAGAGTGATTCGGTGAAGGATCAAATGTATGGCTCTCAGAGAGGCCTCAGTCCTGCAGACATTTTTTTCTCCTTTCCTCTAAGGGATGTGAGTTACCACATACAGGCTGCACCTGGTGTCAGGGCTGTGCAGGGCATTGGTGCCCCAAGCAGCGCTCTGTGCTGTGTGGAGGTTGCAGTAGAGGCAGAATTTGGCCAAGATGGGTCAGCTTTATCCATCTGGGTGCATACCCATCTGCCCACCTGCACTTTACCCACTGTATCATCATATTTTAACACCATTACTCATAAACCAGGGACTGGCACTGGAACATGTCCACAAGTCTTTCCCTATACGTGTGTAAAAGTGTTTTTAACAGCCTACAAACACTTTTTAAAGTCAAAATAACAATCCCAGATCATTCTCATGTACAAAGAAGTGCTTTTATTCTTATCGTAACTGAAAGCCTGAGCAGGAAACAGTGCTCTATCTCACTGCGCGCAGAGAAACCAACTGTTGATCATGGCTGGAAGGTCCCACAGTCCAAAATTTTGCAGTCCACTGTAGGCCTTCCGTTGTTCGTCGGTACGGCTTCCAGTCTCTGGAGAACCTCCGTGCCCTCAATCACCTGCCTGTGGTAGGGAAAAAGAGCTCTGAGCTGCTGTCACTGCCCGAGCAGCATCCCCTCTGCAGCTGCTGCGGGGCCGTAACAGAACCAAGCAGGCTCTGCTCTTTTTTGCCATGGGGTAACAAATGCCATTGGCTCTCGATTAAATGGTTGCCAATTGGTGTTGTAGGAGATAAGAAAATACTATGAGTTTGCGCAGTTACATTTATTTCAAGAAATAAGCCTTGTACCCAGCTGCAAAATACTTTTGAGGAGAAAGAAGTGAAAAAAAACGTGCTAAATGTTGGCAGTGACAGTTATAGGAAGAGTCTCCCGGAGAAATACCTTTCATTTCCTCCCTTCGCAGTGCCAACCTGCACCCTGTGTTCTGTAACCTTTGCTGTTTTCACGATCTTTTCAAAAGTCTTAGATAAGCAAAAGAACAAATCATCCAAACTTTTCCTCTGTTTTCAAAGTGAGGTGGCCAGAAGAGAAAATGTTTTCCAGTGTACATATACGTTAATTAAGAGCTTGTCCTGTAGAGATTAGCCTTGTAACAGGGGTCAGTTATGCTCGAGGATTCTGCACCTTCCAGATTACACAGAGCCGGTGGCGAGGCAGGAACTCGAGGTAAACACCATGGGTTAGAAATCTGTCCAGCCAGCCATCCCGCTTGGTTTGTTCTCTGCAGGTTAGGCACTCATGTTTTTCACATCCTCCCAGAACGCTATCCATCATGCAACTACATGGAAGCTGCAGTGTAGATTTCTCTCTCTGTGGCAATACGTGCATATTTTAAGCTCCTATGCCTAGCAAGCTGCTCGGAGTAATTATCTTCCTGATTACATTTCGGAAATCGTAAAAATCCCACCAGGGCCAGCCCTGTGCGTTAACCTACTGAGACAAGCATTTGCTCAAACAATTTCTCTCAGCTCCTGCGGGCAGAGCAGAGGCTGGAGGCTTTGCTCAACGCCTCCGTGCCCGTCAGGTCACACCTTCAGCTGACACCGAGCTATGCAGGCTCCGATTTGTAGCCAGGGCAGAGACATGGAATGAGGGGGTTACCTCAAATCTGACGTATCCATCCTCCCCCTGGCCAGAGACATCCTTGTTGCAGCTTTAGGGACTCAATGGACCTCCCTCCAGGGCAGCAGTGTCCCGCAGAGCTAGGGCAACCTCCTGCACGCTGCAGCAGATGCAGACTCGTGCATACATACCCAAAGGCCACGCACTTTTTGTCCAGGTAGGGAACTGGCTGGAGGGTGATGTAGAACTGGGAGCCATTGCTGTGGCGGCCCTTGTTGGCCATCCCGAGGACTCCTCTTCCCTTGTGACGGATGGCGAAGTTTTCATCTGGGAAAAGAGTTGAGGGATAAGAGGCAGCACTTGTGCTGCTTCCTTCCTCTGCTGCACTTCATTTCCAGCTCCCACAACCTCCCATGTCTTTCTTCCCCACTAACACTTTCCCTTTTCCTTTTTCCCCAAAGGTCCCTCAAGTTTCGTGTGAATAAAGTCTGGTGTGAATCAATAGCCTTCCAATGGACAGCTGGCAATGGAGAGGTGACAGGGTGAGCAGAAGCTGTACTTAGATTTGTGGGATGGCAGCAAGGGCTGGATGCTTCTTCCATGGACAGGAGCCCAGCGAGGAGGTGGAGAGCAGGGGAGCACCAATCCTGACCTCATCCACTGCTCATCTCCTGCCTGGTCACACTGAGTGATCCAGGGCTCCATCAAAATCTCAACAAGCTTGAAACTGTAGAAACGTTTAGATTGTAAAATTGATTTTGGGGGGATCATTTTTACCCTGTTTGAGCGCCCTTCTGAGAAGCTGATTCACAAAAATGGTAATGAAATGTTAACTGAAGAGTTACTCCCCGAGTGCTGACTCGTGGTTCGCAGAATGACTTCAGCAGTCTAATTTTGGAGCGGGATGCTCTGCGCTCCGTGCTGCTTCGATCCAAATGATTCTCTGTAATTACCTCAGGGCTCTGAGCTCATTACGGTAAAACGTAGCCGCGTCCCTTTAATTTCAGCAAGCGTTGCAGTGAATGGAGGTGTGCCAAGTGCCCAGTTTCGCAGAACAGAGTTTCGCCATCTGACAGAGGCATCTGTCACTGTTTGCAGATATCGAAGATATTTGTCCTCTGTCCTCTGTGTAAACAGGGTGGCGGGAAGCACTTGGAAAGCAACCTAAGCCTTAAAATAGACGGCTGTACCTGAGTGAACACCTTGCTGGAGGATGAAAAGCTATGGGCAACTTTGAAATGTTAAGGAGAAAGAGCAGGGCTCTGGGCAGTGGTGGTCAAACCCGCCAGGCTTCCCGCTTCCAGCCTGCCTTGGCTCAGTCCGTGGCCTCGAGGTGAAAGTGGGCTCTTCATTGCCTTTGAAAATAAAGTTTTCAGCTACTCTTGGCACTTCTGATCTCACTGTTGGCTGCTGCCCAGCCTGCTCGAATATAACATTGGTAGTGACATTGGCAGAAAGCAAGCTTTTACATAAGAGAACATAAATCATTTTCAGAAGCGCTTCAACTGCCCTAAAACATCTTTATGGGTAGCATTTAATCCAAACGGAGTATCCCAAGCGCCTATGTCAATTATATGGGTGTTTTTTCTTAAATAGTGCATGTCATAATGTCCTTTTTTCTTTACATCTCATTACTTTCTATCAGCATGGGGGGACATTTATTGTTAAACTCGCTCATGCCTGTCATTTCTCGACTTTCACAGCTTTATGGACCTTCTGCACGTCGTCGGGTTCAGAAGTAACTCTGCATCCCACCGCAGTCACAGAACCGACAGCAGCGCTGCCTGCGGTGTGCCCAAGCCTTAAAAGCTGCCTGAGGTCCAGGAAATCTGGAGATAAAGCCAACTCACTTCCATTACTTTAAACACATTTGAACGAGTGGTATCAGCAGCCCGGACATCTGCAGCTAACCCACTTCTACACTTCTAAAGTCCTTCCACAAGGGTGAGTATTCATGGTTTGAAGCGGGCAGGCGGGTGAATCTCAGCCCTAACTTTGTCAGGGAAAAGGGACAGGTGGAGCTGAGCACCCAGCATCAGAGGAGGGGGCCAAGACTGCAAGTCAGTGCCTAAAACAAACTCTCACTGAAAAAAAAATAATAATCAAATTATTTCCTCCGGGGAAATGAAACAATGTGATTTTTGCTTAAATTTGCCATTTGCACAGTAAGGTAATTAAGGAAACATACCTTCAAAGGTGGGACCATAGATTGACTCTCCTCCATCTCCTTTCCCAGTGACTATGTCTGTAGGGCAGACAGAAGGAGCAGTCAGAGGCCGGGTGTAGCACGGGCAGGATTCGGGGTTGTCTGAGCAGCTCCAGCAGAGCTCAGAGACATGGGTTCCCTGTCCTCTGGGGAAACAACTGCACAGACCTTTCTCTTTTAGTACCAACATTTTAACAGACTTTTGGGAATGTTTCATGAGTCACTGCATCAGCCGAGGATGGGACGGGTTGGGAGAAGGGCATCTGTCAGAGAGAATGGGGTTAGAACAAGGAAGGAGGAAAAGGCAGCTGTGATGCTATAGCAGGTTAAGGCTGCTCACTTGCTTGAGAAAGAAGTATGGTGAAAGAGAAATTCCCATTGGGACAGATTTCTGATGGGTGAGACTGTAATTTTAGGTTGGTTTTGTGGACTGCATAGATACCTGCTTAGATGTTTGGAATATACAAAGTTTGTCTTCAAAGTATAAACTTAAAATGGATTTGAGCACTCGTGTTTAGAGTAGGCAAGGCAAACACAGGAAAGAAATACAAGTCTTGGATAATTAAAAGAACAAATTATCTACACTTTTTATCTATTTAGAAAGTAAGATGGCTAAAAAAAATAAAATGTTTTCGGTTTTTCGTATGTATTGATTAAGAGCTTGTCCTGCAGAGACTAGCTTTGCTGTTGTGTTTGGTTATGTCTTCTTGGACTGTAAGATCCAAGATCCATTCAGATCATCCCATCCCACATCTGCTGTGACCCACATTTATTCGGGCTGTTTGGAAACACACCTCCTCCTTGGATCCACCCGTTCTTTACCAGCTGATGAAAACAGGAATTTTTGTATGTCAGCTCTCGGCCGCTGTAAGGAGACTTCACTCCTCCAACACACAGAGCACGGAAATTCTCACAGGTTTTGGGGCACACATCAGAAAAGAGCTGCAAAGTGAGTGTGAGAGGAGAAACGTGAAATTCATAACCGATGCCAACTGGTCGGATTTTGGTCCCCCCTCCTTTGGCAAGTGAAACCACCACATTTGCTATTTTTGCTCTTTGCTTTTGCTGTTCTTCACAGCACCATACCTCAAACAGAAGTGTCCCGATGGGCTGCTTGTCAATGGCTATGTCCAGGTACACAAACACATGCTGTTTGGACATGAAAAACAAATCCAGTGAGATGAAGGCCAGCTTTCAGCGCAGCCCTCACTTTCCAACACAGGGCAGCTCCCAGCAGCCCAGTGAGAGCCATCTCAGCGGGATTGCTGGTACAGAACAGTACTTCTATTGCTTTGTGTAAGCAAACAAAAAAGTAGAGGACGTTTCACTTTGTTCTGGGCAGAAATAACCCTAGCAGTGTGCTAAAGCGAATCCTGGGCAGGGCCCACTTCTTCGCCTTGCCCTCGTCCACACGCCTGTGTCAGTCTGTACGGTAAGAGCAGGACAAATGAACCAGCAGCAATGCCCGTCCCACCACCCCACCACAAGGCACATTTCTTGCTCTGTGCCCCCCGTTCTCAAATCTGCATGGAATCCATGTGGCATCCTCTGTGTTTTATCAGGAATGCGTACAGCTGCATTATCATGTGTTATCTTGTAAACCTGCGTTACTTGCCTGGCTGTTCTTCAGGTGCTTGGTGTAGAAATCCTCAGAGATGGCCTGATAAAGCACCTCGGGCCTAAAATCACGGTAGTCCCACTGGTGGAGGGCCCACCTGAGCAGCTCCTTCTCGTCCCCCAGCAGCCGCCCGTCAACAAAGCACATCACGCGGGAGGCGTAGGCCCACACCTCGCCCCGCAGTTCCTGCGTTGCAGAGGGGTTAAAGTCTCAAGGAATTATTTCCACCTTGAGTGGAGAACCGACGGGTAACACTGCACCACAGCTCGGGTGGTCTGTGCTCTTTTTATGCTTTCTCTGGTTTTAAAACCACAAATCTGGCTAATCCAAAGGGTCTGCACCCCGCATTTTGGTGAGGTGTGCTGATGTTGCACACTGCTCAGGGGCTGCTGCCTGCGTGCTCCTCGGCCCTCATCCCCCAGGGATTTCCCCAGGGCCACCCAGCACCTTCTGAGCAGCACTGACAGACACAGCCAAGCCTTGAGGGCCCTGCTTATCTTACCAGCCCGAAGCTGTCAAACAAGGGGCCCACGAGCCAAGACCCACTCTTAATTATAGAGGTGCAGGTGTCTGTTAGTAATGAGTTACCTTCTTTTTCTCCTGTAAATATTCATGCCATGCAAATTCTAATAAAGGACATATTACAGGATCCGCAAACTTGCTTGGAAACTTCAGCTTCAGCGCCTAGATTTTCCAGATATGGGGAAAAAAAATGCTTACAAGCAGTTTAATACCCCTCCACCCTGTCCTATCCCAGCTTGTACTTCCCTGCAGCCTCCGCCACGTGTTAACCCAGTAACCGCACCACTCCCCTCCTGCCTTTGGCACCTGCAGAAGCAGGCACCCGGCACCTGCCCGCGGATGTTGTGGGGTTTATTTCTTCCCCTCCCTGCTGCTCACCTCAGCTGCGCACTTGGCCACGTGGAAAGCCGGGTCCTGGAGCAGCCCCGTCACCGCCACCGCCACCAGCTGCCTGCGGGCCATGGCGCCCCTTCGTCAACACAGCCCGGTGCCACGGCAACCCGGCCACGCACCTCCTGCTGCGGGTACAACATGTTCGTAGCATGCCTGCATCGCACGTAACCAAACCAGCTCTTTGTGTGACGTGCCCTGCGGTGACACGGTGGGACGTTGTTCTCCGTGGTGAATGCAGCCCGGCACGGTGACAAAGCACTTCTGGAGGGGTCGCAGCTATCGCAGCAAAGCTTTCTGCCACCCCAGCAGGTTTGCTCCCTTTCTGCTGAAGCATCCTGTACAAAAGCAGCTTTGTGGGATGGCTGCGGGTTCAGCGAGGGTCACTGCCAGCTCACCTGAGTCGGGTCACTTCGCTTACAGTCTCTGAGCAATGTGGATTTTAGCGGACGCTTTTATGAGACAGGACAAAACTTGGTGGTGTGTAAGGTCAGAGATTCATGAACAACAGAACAGTCTGCATGTCCCCAGAGGAAACACATCCTCAGCACATCAAAATCTGACTACTGATGAGACAGCTGTAATTTTCACGCAGAAAAAAACCATGGCAGAACAAACCTATGTTAAACACAACAAGGAATTACATTCATTTCTTTTCTTAGTAACAACGCACATTTGTATTTTTGTTTTTTGGAACTGTATATCCAAGTGGCTTCATGAAGTGCTACACTTGTTCATAACCCCAGGGGCAGAACCACAAAAGCCTGGAGTCTCGCAGCTCAGTAGTTCTGAACCGCTCTGGGAGCTTCCCAGAAGTTAAGCCTGTTTGCAAACTGAGACCTATTCTTACAGAGAGAGTTATTGCCCACCTTTTTCTTTTCTTTTCACTCTTTTTTTTTTTTTTTTTTTTTTTTCATTTAGGCGTGACAAACGCATTTTGCAAGGCACTGACGTGACGCTTCATTACAAGTCATTTTTGCTGTGCTCTCTACTTTTACCGCATGATGTAGTTTAGCACAGAGATAAGGCTGTGGGAAATAAATCATGTCTCCACTAGGAAAAAAAAAAGCATTTTTGACATATTAAAATCCCATCTGAGATGAAGCAGTTTTAATTTGTGTACACACAAATTAGATGGGGTGGCAAAGAACAAGCCTAGGTGTGACTCTAGCTAACCGCAACCAGCCAGCACATTAAACTCCAGCTACTTTTTCGACTCTGGCCAAACGAAGGTCAGGAAAGCCTTTTTCCTCCTCTTCAGGCTGCCATAGCCTCTGCAGCTTGTGACAAGCAGAGCCTAATTTTAGTAGCATGACCGTATGGCTTCTGCTCCAGCCAGAAAATTATATAGCAGCCATATAGAAATTCATTTTTCTTAAAAAAAAATAATAAAAAAAAATAAAAATATATCTACACAAACACGCACACATATAGCTTGTCCTTACTTTCTTACTCATAATTTCTAGGTGTGCAAATTCTTACTGCCATTGTGGGCAAGAAGGAATTAGCTACAGACATGCTGCTAATAGTCAGGTAATAGCCAATGAAAACCAATGGTCAAAGAAAAAAACGCAGCAAGAAAAAACAAAGAGCAGTTAACCACAGCAGCACAATATTGTTAGCTGTGCAGGGCTGTTTTCTGACAATTTATGCTGGGCTTTTTTAAAAGAGAGAACAAGCCAAGAGCCACAGATTGCTTGCTGTCTCTAGCCATTTCTTATTTTGTTTCTCCCCTTCCTTTCATGTCCCTTTGTACTTCAGGTACACAAAAATCTCCTGAGCAGGTTGCCAATTACCAAAATCCTTAATTACCAAAATGCTAAGCTGGATGCTTGTTTTTCTTTTCAGCTTTTCTGTTACCCACTTATGACAATCTGAAACTGCTTTGCAGGCTTAGTCACAGCACTCAGACGGGTGTAAATGGTTTGCGGGTGCTAAGAGTTTGCTGGAAGTGTGCTCACACAGCACTGCCATCATTTCTGAGAGAGGATTACAGTGAAGGAAAGCATGGCAAGCACAAGCAGTTGTACAGTATGTTTAAAAGATGATCCCGAAGCCCTTTTAAAAGGCGTGCAGCTGATGTTCCTGGAAACATGAAGTGCTTTGAAACGTGTACACGTGCCCTGACACATGAGTCCTGAGTTTTCCCTCTGCGTGATTCTTGGAGGGTTCGCCCTCGCCAAACCTCTCCACCTGCTGCCTCTGCTGCCATTTCAGTTCCTTTCAGGCCAAGATAGCACCCGAGAGAGGCCGAGAAAGAGAACAGAAAGGCAGGCTGGATTAATGTACATTGGCTACAGCACCGCCCAGCAAGGAAGCATAACGGTGCGCTTGTTAAAGATGCAAACACCAAAGAACTTCACAGCAAATACCTGGAGAGGAAGCGCTGCCCAGCTCGTCTGCTGCAGCTGCCGAACCACAACAGACGGGGCTGTGGAGGGGAAATGCAGCTGTTGGTCACCCAGCGGTCAAAGCAAACAGTGTGGGAGGCTTCAAAAGTCTTCCTACTGCAAGGGGATGATGGACACATTCGGCTGAGGAAACAAGGCAGACCTCTAAGGAAGCTTTGTCTTCCAGGTGGAAGGCAGGAGCTGACATCACTTCATTAAAAAGTTTAAAGCACACCCAAGGAGGAAATGTGATTATGAAGATGACGATATGCTCGCTACTGGGCTGTCCACAACCTGAAATTCTCCAACTGACTGCTGCAGGAAAGACCCCTGAACACTTCTGGGAGCTGGTCCCCTATGGGAATGCACAGACACCAGGCTACAACCGTGGATGATACAGAAACCTGCAGGACACACCAGGGAGTTGCTATTCCATCTATTCCAAAGATACTTTCCATTAGGTAGGGTTAAAACATAAGCCAGAAAAGAGCAGTAAGTGTACTACAGTGAGATGCTGGATCACCTAGAATATGCCTGCAGGTGTTTTTTCACGGGGAAGAACTGCTTGGGCCAGAGATGAATGGTGGTCCATCCGTTGTCCAAAACCATTCATTGTTCACCATCTTTATGGAAGATCTGAAAAGGGATGAAGCGTATAGGGTCTCCGGTAGCTCAGAGAACTGCAGGTCTGTGAGAAGCACCATCTTTAATCCTATGAAGAACAGATACAAGAGATCCTGAAACCATAGCTCTGGGAAGTACGGCATCGCCAGTTCCCTCTCCACTCTTTAAGAGGAACTGGGAAAAAGCGGAATTAGGAAAAGCCTCCAGAGCAGGACTGCTGGCCATGGGCAGATGCGCACACGCAGGAGGCACCACGATGACAGCCCAGACTCTGCGGCACGCCTGGTCTGCAAGCTGGTCTCCTCCTGGCTGCTCCCCTCAGCATCTGCTTCCCCTGCGTCTGGGCACTTCCCACTAGGTCTGCCTGCCACGGGGACACAGAAGGCACTCACCTGGGCATCGGTAAGGGATTAGGAACTAATCCCATATTACCCTTCATCGAAGCAGGGAAAGATTTAGAGAAACAAAAAAAACCAACACGCAACAAGACAACAGCAGCACAATAGGTTAATAGCAAATACCATCTGTGGCCTGATCACGATGCCTCACTAGTTCAGAGAGTGAAACAATCATTTCACTCACAGACACAAGCCAATCTCTTCCTTGAACGACTGGCAAGGTTGATGCCAGGCTCAGCATCCTGAACTGTGTGAACAAACATTCAGGTTGCAGGAGTTCACGAGGAGGTGGTCACCGCCTCCTGCCCTGAGACACCAAGAGGCAGACACTGTAAAACCCCTGGTGGTGCCTCTGAGCACGGCAGAGAGCATAAAACCAGTGTAAAAAATACGTCTGATCCACAGCGACAGCGTCCCGGCTTCTAGACGCAGATCTGCATGCGCTGTAAGCTTCAGATTGCTGAGGTCGAATGTTATTTACAGCTAAACCACGGATATCAGTGGCAAGCAGCGTAAGCACGCACACAATAGCCAAGTACATACTTCAGCACAACGTGTTTGCTCTACCCCATAAGAGTTTGTTTAAACTTTCACTTGGCCAATCAGCCAAAATCTTCAGGAAAAAAAGCTGGTATTTCATTAACTTGCATTTGGAAGAATAGTGAAATTAATTTCGGGGTCACACACACTGAGCAGCTTACCAACGGAGTGGCATAAAGATACAAAGGTGTTAATCGCTCACAAAAATGTGTCTTTCAGTAGTCTACTTATTTTCCTACATTTACATCCAAAATCCTAATCTCATTTTTACACAGTAAGCACTGAGGTGAATTTGCTAAGATTATCTTGCGTGAGGAGGTGAGAAGCTGAGGTGTTTATTGGCTAGGGAGGAAAGATATTTAGAGAGCTGCTTCGAAGCAGTTTCAGGGGCACGCATTTTTTGCTAAATAGTTCTTGGTGACAGCTGGGCTGACAAGCAAAGCTGCAGGGGTTTCCTTTAAAACTCAAAGCAATTTTAGGCTTCAGTTGCAGCCTTAGAAATGCACACACGGAATAGAGATTGATTTTCATCTTTAATATAAATGTATTCGCTACAAAGGAAGTAAATGGTGTCAAAATGCAACATTTGTGGTGCGAGAAACCACGCGAGCTTTTAATTTCCCAACTGCAAGCTAAAACGTGTGCTGACAGCTTAAGCAATGCAGGGTGCAAGATTAGTCACTGCTGTGCTATCCACAGAAGCAAGTTTCTTCACTGCTTGTTGGGTAATTTGGTAGAAGAGCATAAGAAAATTCCAAAAGCAAAACTTCCTTTATAATTATAGGGAAAGAGAGCATCCAGCCATGCCTGTGTGACTGCAGCTCAAACATGGTTTTCAAGGGGAACTTCACAGTGAACAATTTAAAGCACAAATAAAATAATTAATAATAATAATAATAAAACAACAGTAGAAAGTGTATAACAATTATTTTACTGGTGGCTTGGAATTTAGCTTGTAATCAGCTTCTAAACATTCCAGGAGTTATGTCAGTAAATGGCAGAGTTGCACATTTCAGTGTTGTAGTTTACCTTCATTATAGATAGAAGTTGTTGGTATGAAATATCTTAATTGTATACAATTCAGTAAGTTTTCTGTAGCTCTTACAAGCAGCTTCACTGTATTTTTTTGTATGTTCTCACAGCATCAAGACTTCAAGCTTTTGAAGTACAGCTGCAGAACATGCTGCTCCTCCTCAGTGGCAGGAAGTATAAATTGTATTGTTCTGAGAGGGAAAAAATCAGAAGGTGAAAAGCCTGACTAGTGTTCTGCTGTGGGATTTGGTTCTTTGTATTGTTCCACTCCTACTGCCTACCCTCCTTATGATCAATCTGTATAAAACCTGACCTAGTCCTTTGAAAAAATTGAGATGCTTACCCAAAGTCCAGCAGCACACAGTCAGGAGCCTGCCTAATACTTAGATAAGGAACATCAATCAAGCAGAATTTGGGCTCCTTGGAACAAGACAGACACTGACATACTGGGCTGAGCACAGCAGAAGACTGCCAAGGTGATTAAAGAGCTGGAGGTGACGAGGCTGGGTTTGCTCAGCCCTGAGGAGAAGGCTCTGGGAGGAGCTGTCTTCAACTGCCTCACGGGAGGGTGCAAAGGCAGAGCCAGACACTCCTTGGAAGTGTAGCAGCGGGATGAGAGGCAGCAGACACAGACTGGAATTTTGGGAATGGCCATAAAATACAGGAAACATTTTGTCACTACAGTTACGGTCAAACACCAGAACTGGGCGCCCAAAGAGGCTGTGAATCTCCATCCTTGGAAATGGTCAAACTGAGCAAGATGATGGACCGGCTGGCCTCTGGAAGTCCCTTCCACCTTAAACTGTTGTACTATTTAACAACTGCTCTTTTATGCCAGTGACTCCCTCTAGTCAGTCACATAAGCCAAACATCAAAGATTTTGTTTTGTTTCCAAATTCACCTGCCGATGCCTTATTTATTTTTTTTACATTTTTAATCTGTTAAAACACAGAATACCGATGTAAATCACAAGAAGGACTTTTTAAAACGGATGTGATGATTGAGTACGTTGCTTTTAGTACCATTTTATCTGGATTTTAACACACCTGTACACTACATGAGACGATACCAGTAGCTGAACTTGAAGATGCAAAGCGTATACTCCGGCACACCATTTTATTAGGTTGACAAATCTTTTTGTTAGCAGTCAGTCACTGAAAACAATCTGTACACATCTAATCTAGACAACAAAAATAGCTGTACAGCTTTAACGCGATATGCCCCCTTTATATAGCTCGTTATGCTCTGGAGAGATTCATTGTTCAAGTTCCCACAAAAACAATTTTCGGCTTTAACATATATTAAAAGTAACATTACATTCTGCTCTCAAAAGTAGAAAAAATAACACTTTAAATATAAACTGGCTCCTAAGCTTAGACCGAGGCCTGTCAGGAAGAGAATTTTGCACTTAACAGACAGTGCCTCCAACATCAAGAGCTCTTCAAAGTGCTTGGCAGAGCGTGTGAACATTATCCACGCTTACTACATTAGGAAACTAAGGCACGGAGGTCAACTGCCTTGCTCACTGTCACACGGCGGGCGAGTGGCGGAATGAACACAACTCGGGCTTTTCGGTTATCCAATGTAACCACCGCATCCCACTGCCACTGTTCAAGTGCAATGGCTGAAGCATTTCTGAGGAGCGAAACTCTTAAAGCATACAGTAATGGAAGGGGCAATCCGGAGCCAGGCAAAGGCCGCAATAATTTCAACCCAACCCAAACCAATTTGGTATTCAAGAAATCAAAATGCACTTAAGGGAACGGTCACACAGGAAGTGATTCTTTAACCCGCAGAGAGAAAGCTCATTAGACGTAAGACATATGGCATGATCTTTGCAAAAAGTACCGGTTATTGGAAGCTTGACAGTAGCTCAGGTAATGTGAAATCCATCAGAGAAGCTGTACTTTCAGGTCAGCAGAGACATCAACACTGTTCTTCCACCAGCAAGGCACACTTCCCTGGAAAGTCACGTGGAAATGCAAATTGCAGGGCAAGTACCTGCTCAGTAGGCATGGATGTGTAAGAGGCACACACAAAAAAGTATGAATCGCTTGTGAGGTATGGACTAGAGAAATACCAACTGGCGATAATTAAAATGTCTAAAATAAATAATATTAAGAAAACTGAAAGTCACCCATGGAAAATCACCAAGAAATGCATCTTCAGATAGATTATGCTGCAGAAAAGAAAGTGCGACGCGTGTAATCACTGCTTGGCTGAGAAGCACGCTGTAGCCTAGCCCTCTGATGACAAATAAGCATTTTCAGAAAGGTTGCCCTTGAATAGGATGCTCATGAGCTGACTCATTTACTGACAGAGGCTGCTGATGAGATTCAGAAACCTGTACGTTTTGATTCTGTTCTCCACTAATTTGATGGGAAGGAACTGTATCTTGGCTGGAGTGCGACTATTGACTTGATTCCTGAGTCAGCTGCATGTGCTGAGCTGGATGGGAAGATCCTGCTAAGTGGATGTGTTCATTTTGCCCTTGATGAGCGTGGAGATGTTCTAGTGCTTCCTTGGAAAGAGTGATGACATGCATTTGTTCAGGCTGGGCAGCCTCTATTTGATTTGCCATCATATTGATGCTTTGGATTTGCTCCGCTTGCTCCTGCTGAGCTGAAAGCAACAAGTTTTGCAACTGCTGTGGCGGCTGAGCAAGCAGCGTGAGGTTAGCAGCCTGCCCCGTTGTCATATTTGGGGCATTTTCCGCAGTGACAATGCTAATGCCTTGATTGTGACCAGGCATGAAGTTTATGTTATGCACCGCGTCTGTAACCAGCAGTTGAATTTCCTGCCCTCCAGAGGTGGCAAGTTGATACTGCTGCAGCTGAAGAATGTTTCTGACTTCCGAATTCGTGGTGCTGCTGGGAGCAGCGCTGGCTTCTTGAAACTGCTTTTCCTTGCGATGAATTTTCAAATGAGACTTCAGGTTGTCCAGACGAGCAAACTGCAAACTGCATTCCGGGCAAGAAAAAGGCTTTTTGCCGGTGTGTAAGATACAGTGTCTCCTCTTAGCACTGGAATCAGAGAAGGATTTTCCACATATCCCACAAGAATATGGCTTTTCTCCTCTGTAAAAGAACAGATTTGATCTCATGAAAATATTCACTTCAAAAGCACTGCTTTCGACAACTTAATATAGAATAAAAAAAAATCAAAACAATTTTCTTTTGTTGCATCATAAACACTTAAGAATAGTCGACATCAAAAAATGTTCTGTTTGACTTCCTAATTTGTATAAAACTTCACACACTGTACAACACCTGCATTAGTCTATATCTGCTCAAGAGCTACAGAGACAACACAATTTCCCTCCTGTTATGATACCAGAAGTACAAGCTCTGTGCTGCTAGATCTTGATTAAGAATGCAACAACTTACAGGATTGTAAGCACCGACTGTTCTCAGGATGTTTATTAATAGTGTGGGCTCTCTAACTAAATGAGTCTCTAAACCCTTCCTTGCTGCTTGTCTCAAACGTCAAGAAATTATACTGGAGGTATTTTATTTTAAGGCACAAAACAGTCCTCAAGTGATTTCAAATCTGACGTGCCTTTATGCAATATTCACATCGATAAAAGCTAAGGAATGCTATTAAAAAGACATGATAGACTACAGGAAAACAGGAAAGTGCTCCAATAACCTTGTTACACCATGGCTGCTGTTTTGCTGTCAAACAAAAATTCACAGGAAATATTTTTCATAAATAATACCAAAGTACATCGTCATTAAACAGACACAATGTAGAGAAGAAGAATCTTCAGCGTCTTGGCAAACTAATATTTAACTGTGCAATATCTTCCACTACTAATTATTTCTTTAAATAAATTAAACAAAAATGTCAGCCCTTAATCATCCATCCCAAATGGAAACAAACCTTGACCATCTGTAATCGAATAGGCACTGGATACAGGTAGCAGATGAGAAATTACAGTTGTAAAGAATGTGCTGAAAATTAGACATACTTTACCTGTGAATTCTAATGTGAGTCTGAAGAGAACTTTTAGCTGTGAACGATTTGCCACAAATTTCACAAGTGAAGGGCTTCTCACCTATCAAAAAGAAATTTGACATTGTTTTTCATGTCGCGCTTCCCATGAATTTATTTAAAAATGTGACACTTTACTGCACATAGTTCCTAAGCATGTAAAGCCAAATGATTGTGCTTCTGCCATGGGTCGGGACGGTTAACTGAAACGGAACAAGCTCATGCTTTAAATGAGGGTGTAGAATTTTGAAGGTATGTCTCTGACATGTCTCCTCTTTGAAGACAGAGAACTAGGTGATCCAAGCCATTAGAGCAACAAAAATCATGCCTAAGACAGATGGAGATGTCTTGAGCTCAATCCACATGGAACAGGCAAGTTTGAAAAAGGCTGACCCTGAACTTGCAGACATTAATGCCAGGCTCACGTGCAGCACACCAAGCAGATGAGTAAGCCCCTATTTCCAAACCTGAGAAGTGAACCCATCACCTTAACAAGCCTGCTGACCTCTAAGACTCCATCCTACACCTGCAATACCCTGAAAACACATCCCATGTCTCTGCTCAAGGCACGGGGGTTGGAACCAGATGATCCCTTCCAACCCAAACAATTCTATCATTCTAACACCAATCAGAGAAAAAAAAATAACTTATGGTGGGTTGAATAATTTTTTGTTGTTTGTTTGTTTTTTACTGTAATTTTAATTCTTGTGTCTAATTGAGTAGAAGCAGAATGAATGAATTGAATAGCAGAAAGGTTCACAAGAAACAGATACCACCCAGCAAAACGAATGCCTAACTCACACCACAGATTTTCTTTGTTGCATTCAACGTCTTTAAGACACTAGGCAGGAGAATCTGGATCACCACAGTGGTAATTCACACCACCCAAGCATACTGAAACGCAGCACAGGGCAGTAGCCACTTTCCAAGGAAGCTTCACGTTTAGTGTACACCTGCAAAGCTTATCAGTTGTACTGATATACAACTCATGGCATTTCTGCACTGATAATACTGGTGTCCAGCCTGTCTTTTCCAGAAACACCATCTACTACAGATCAGTTTCTACTAGAACTCAGTTAACCTATTTTTGCAACTTACATGGCTACTGTGCCCACTCTCCTCATTTCCCACCACCAAGCTCATCTCCTGCTACATTTACAGAGCTGTATCAGCTTCAGATACAAAAATGTGTGTAAACACATGCTACATTGTCCTCAATAAAAAAGGCAACATTTAAAAGTATCACAAGTTAACACTATCCCTGATACACCAAAAACTCCCCAAAGAGCAAATTCTGACTTCATCATGTCCTAAGGAATTTAAAGCTCTTATTTTCACTGAGAAGGACATGAGTTAAAATTCATAATTTGATCTTGTGCACACTACTATAACCACACGTAATATAATCATATATATTCAATTCTGAGAAGGAACAATTGCCACTGTTTAGAGCTATTTTAAAAGGCAATATTTACATGTCATCTTATGAATTTCTTCAAAGAAAAGTATTTTAAGAAGCTTATGCTTTGTCATCATGAGAGATCAACTTTTTTTTTTATTCCTGTTGTCTGGCCATTCAAGTATCACCTCACCCCCTAAATCTCTTTTAAAACACCCTCTGATGTCACTTGCATTGCACCATCCCTTCCAGCCAATCTCCTGCCAGCACCTGGTTTACTACAGCATAATAAAAAGATAAACTGAAATAATTATTTTTACAGTCAGCAACATTTTCCATAAACATCCACCTCCCACTGACACTTTTAGGATGTACATTTTCTGTTCCTACATAGCTCATTTCAAGCCCAATAAATACTGGATGTGGCTCTCCAGATGAGCTTAATTCCCAGTCTAAGATTTTACCACAGGAGAGCTAACCAGCACCTTCTGCAGATGGCTTCCTTAGGGGAAAAAAAAGAAAGGAAGAAAGAAAAAAAGCTTTTCTCGTAGTAGGTGCTGCTTCTGCACTGCTGTAGTATGTCCTGTTTTGTGCTCATTATGTAATCTCAGTAGCATATCTCCTAATTAGAAACACAGGCACCATTATGTGTAAGCGCAGACAAACCCCATCCCAAAGAAATGAGCGTCCTTTGCACAATGTATTGTTTTGTCTGTGTTATTTCAAGAAAAAAGAAAAAAACAAACAACATTTAAAAACCAGCAGAGGATATTACCTGTGTGTGTTCTTAGATGTTTCTTTAACTGAGCTGCGTCCATGAATTTGCGATGACACTGGTTACATTCCGGCAATGAACGGCCTTGTCGCAACAACAAAAAAAGTGTCAGTGCATAAGTGATCCCCTGTATCTCTTCAGTGATCTTTGTTAAAGCACTTTCCTGTAAAATAACCACTTTGATATAATATAGAGATAAAACACAAGGTGATTCACTGCCTTCTCCCTACCTCCTCATGAAAACTAGCAGGATGACACACCCCTCTGACTCTGTTTATTCTAAGGCCTGACACCTGCTCCCCCTGAAGCTTACTTTCTCTTGAACTTTTGCAAAATCTGAATTTTTCCACCACTTCCTGCGTATGTAATTTTACCTTCATCTTTCTAAAACAAAACTGAGTAAGACACTTCTTAAAGCTTGTCTGCCATTACTAATCCAAGGTAATAAGAAACGACAAGGCAATGTGCACAACACACAGCACCCGAGTGTTTATAAAACTCCTAGCTTTTATGTAACATGGACAGCAGAGCTAAAACGAATGAAATTTTATGGCTAGTACAGCACAGCTAATTTTCAAACGTCAGAAGGGTCCTCTTCAATTAACTATCTTTTTAAACATTCCACTTATTGTACACTAGTCAGTCTTTTGAGCCTAAATACATTGTTGCAAAAGAATATTCAGCCTTAGTCAATCTTTGTGAGGACAAATGAGCATGGATTGTCAGCCAGCTCTTCAACCCCAACTTGTGATACCTGTGTGCACTCGGTAATGGCTCTTCAGCTGTCTCTTTTGACTGAAGTACTTCCCACACTGATCGCATGTGAAAGCCTTTTGCCCTGTAAAGAAAATCACTTATTAAAATGCAAGCTGCATCTAAAGTACACGAACAGGAAAAAAAAAGTCAGCACATACAAGAAAGAGCAGAAACATTTATTTTGCCCATATAGGCACATTTCTGGGGGGAGGGAGGTTACCTTTGCCTTGTAATATTTACCTGTATGTAGGCTCATGTGCTCCAGAAGAGAATGCTTTGTTGTGAGAGCCTTGCTGCAGACAGTGCACGTGTACGGCCGCTCTCCAGTGTGCATCCGCTCGTGGACCTGAAGGGAGTGCTTCTGGGAAAAGCCTTTGCCACATTCGCTGCACTTAAAAGGGCGCTCCCCTGAAAGCAGACGATGACATTAGGAAGTACAGAGATGGTATTTCTCACTAGGTATTCCAAGCTGACAGTGGGATCACTGCAATCTAGTATCTACTAAATGACTTTTAGATAGTGATAAGGAGAATTAAAAGAAAGAGGCAGGCCTCATGCAGCAGTAAAAATATTTAAGTCTTGACACATAATTCAGTGTTTTAACAGAGAAATGATTAACTAAACTGCAATCAAGGTAAGACATAAAGGCTACGAGATCTCCTGATAAGAAAACAGCAAACAGTCTCGGAATCACACCATAATAATTAGGATGAGTGTACTGTTTTGGGCAGCTCTTGCTATGGACAACAGCCCATATTTAAATAAGAGGCTTGCATTTAGCAGCAAGTCACTAAATCCTACACTCAAAGAAGCGGTCTCTTAAGGCCTACCTGTATGACTTCTCTGATGAATAGCTAGAAAGTGATTATATTTAAATACTTTGCCACAGTCTTTACAGCGAGCTTCAGAACCTGTACGTTTTCTTTTTCCATCAGTTCTCTTTGCCAGTCCTTTTTCATCCTCTTCACCAAGCAGCTTATAATCTTTTAGTTTGATGGACCTCCTTATTCTACGTTTGCTGTAACGGCTCTGAGTGCTCTGCATCCCCTCAGATTTGGGATCATAATTCTCATCCTTCTCAGCTGACAGATCAACAGCAGCTTCTGAGCCACAGGCAGGTTCCGCTTCTTCTGCATCTTTCCTTGCTGGATCCTGTTCACTGACAACTGTTTCTTCCGCTGCCACGTCTTTTTTCATAGAATTTTGCTTATTCTGCATGGAGTTGTTCTCTCTCAGCTGCACATCTTCAGGAGAATTTGCTGCTGATTTTTCTTCCTGGACCGTCTTGACTTTCCTCGGTCGCCCTCGTTTTCGCTTTGGCGGCTCCTCATTTTTCTTGTCACTTGCAATAAGGGCTATAGAGGTGCCGCTGTTAGACGGCGCTGGCAGCGTGCTACTTGGGCTGCGGCTGGCCTGGTAGTCGGTGTAGGCACACACCAAGTCGTTCACTTTCAGGAGCTGTGCAGTAGCTAGAATTTGTTCTGTGCTTTTTTCGGTGGCGTGGAGGTAACCGGTGTAGATAAATTCTAGCAGTGCTCCAAAGGTGTCGGCAACCATTCCCTCCAGCATGTAAATTGACTGCCCTATTTCGCCCTCATCTACAAACATCATTGAAAAGTACTCACTGCTGGCAGCGAGCAGAGCTTTATGGGCTCTGAATTGCACATTCTCCACTATTAGAGTAATGTCACACAGAAAATCTTTTTTCCTTTGTTCTTCAAAGTTAGCTAGAATGGTATCTTTGTGAGTTTTCGAGTGGATGACAACCAGTTTCTCAGAAGGGTCAGGAGCCGTCTCTGCCATTTTTATTGCAAATATGAAAGGAGGCACCTACAAGAATATAGAAAGTTTAAAACACATCCTGGAAGTCAGCATATAAAGACATAGAGTATTGTTTTGTTTACTAGTCAGAGTTCAACAATTTCTAAAGCACTTCTGAAACCTCTGAACTGTTTTTTATAAAGTCAATTCTAATGCTGACAGTTTTTTTTTTTTCTTCAGAAAGCATTTTAAAATCCTAAGAAATGGCTACAGATAGTTTCTTCCGAGATCAGAATTACTGCCAGTTATTTTATTTGTTTAGCTCTAATGTACTGTGAACTGTACAGCATCTAAAAACATGGCTGCCCCTTCTGAAAACTCCTCTTTCACAACTCAAACAATTGAACAAAAAGCTCTCTTTGTTTGCTGCTCCTAAACAGAAACAAACAAACCAACCAAAAAAAAAAGTCAACTGCAGCTTCATCGCTACAGATGCCTCAGTTCAGACTATTCAGGCTATTGAATCCTGTAAACAATGATAAAACTTGATTTGCTTCAGCCTGGCCAGACTCCATGTCCTTCCAAAACTTTCTCCTTCAGCACACATACCTGTGAGGCTTCAGGCTGTGTCCGCAATAAAGGCATAAAGCCAGCAGATTTTTCTAAGAACCGTGTCTAAAATAGGGCTGAGTATTCTAAGTATTAAGCATCAGTTTGGCTTGCTACACGTTTTCAATTATAAATATAGACAAAAAATAATAATAATCCAGCAATTCTGAAGAACCTATCAAATGAAAATAGCACAGAAGATGTGCCAAAAATGGTCATTTCACATGGACCAGCTGAGCCAAATGTGAGACAGGCTAGCTACCTGCCATCCTAACTTATAAAACGGACATATTAAATACAAATACATGTTAAAGTGTAGCAGTCAGTGAAGGCAACAGTTATGATTACCTGAAGGAATGCTGTAAGAAACAACATGAGTTACCTACAGGTGATATCAGAGTGCTATTGAGGTGGCCAACAAGTGATTCTTTAGGCCCATTCAGCCACTAAACAACCCATGCTAGAGCCAAATTAGAACAGTTCGATATGAAGGGACCTGCAAAGGCAACCGAGTTCAAGTGCCTGACCACTTCAAGGTACACAAAAGTTAGAGTGTGTACACTGAGGGTGCTGTCCAAATGCCAGCTGAACACTGACAGGCTCAGGACATCGACCGCCTCTCCAGGAAGCCGGTTCCAGCATTTGATCACCCTCACGGTAAAAGATTTTTTCCTGATGTCCAGCCTGGTGCAGTTTGTGCTGTTCTTGTGTGTCCTCGGTTACCAAGGAGAGGAGCAGCTGCTTGACCAAGCAGAGCAGAGCCACGCTGACCTGGGATCCCCAACTTCAGGGGCATGCGGGCCTGATGTTCCTGGGGACCCCTAAAACCCTCCTGCGGGTCCGCCCCTCCCGATCTGCGCCGTACTACAGGCACTCCCGAAGCACCACCGCGGCCTGCGGCCGTCCCTACACCACACACCCGCCTCCCACAGCGGGCTGCGCCGGTTCTGCGGCTTCTGCCCGCCCCAAGCCACATCCTCACCCCTCGGGGGGCACAGCCCAAGCGACGCCCACCCCGCACCCCCCGGGGTCAGGCGGCGGAGCGGGGCCGGGGCGCAGGGGGCCCGGGCCGGGCACTCACCGCTCCGCCGCCGCCGTGACGCGAGATGGCGGCCGCTCCTCCTCCTCCTCCTCCTCCTCCTCCTCCTCCCTCCCTCCCTCCTCCCCCGCCGGCTCCGGGCTAGGGGAAGGCGGGGCGGGCGTCCTTGAGGGAGAAGAAGGTCCGCAGCTTGAGGTCGAAGCCCGGGGGCCGGCGGTGGGGCTCGGTGTAGTCGCTCGGCATCTCCCGGCCCAGGTAGGGGACGAGCTCGCAGTGCTCCCGCAGCTCCGCCAGCTTCTGCCGGTACGCCCGGCGGCCCTGCGCCGAGCCGCGAGGGTTGTGCGCTGCGGGAACAAAGCGCCGCCTGTGTGACCAACAACAGCCAGCTGCTCTCCAGAGACAACAATAAATATTTGCAAAGGTGGTTTTTCAGTGCACTAGAACACTGTGTCTTAAAGTCAGAAGGAGTTTAGAAGACAACCTGTTGTCCTGGATTCCTGTGGTCAAACTGTGCATGAGGAGGGTTCTGTGCACTTACATAACCCTTACAGGTCATCATCCAGCACTAAGAATGATTTAATGATACAACACACGAGCACAGCATTCCTAGAATGGACATGGCTACATTAGCAAAGCTGTGCTAACAATAGAATAAAAACAGTCTTCATGGATGAAAAAATCTACAGTACAAAACCAGCTTTGCTGGTTTAAGAACTGTATGTTCTTCCATAAGGAAGCTACTTCAGCAAAAATGTGTGTTAGCCCAAGAAAATTGTGAAGGGTGCTGGAAGCTGGATAGAATAACGCTAGATGTGAAGAACAACAGACAGATAATAAAGGTTGCCCTTATCCAACAGGGTAAGCAAAACCTCCAAATAACAAAAGGCAAGGTAAAGATCACCCACCAAATGGGTTGGTTTGTAAAAGGCAAAACTGGTGCGTTGAAGCGTTGGTGTTGCTTCAGAAATCTCTAGCAATATATACTTGAAATCAGATCAAAGCCACAGCAGAGCTGCAAATCAGGCTGCAGAAATCCTGAAAGCTGGCACCATTGTAGCCTGATTGCATACTGTTAAAGATTATTAGCTGCAACTGTTGTCTTGGAGTGGAGAAAGAAAAAAAAGTTCTAAAAAATAGCCCATATGAGTGCAGGAGATTAAGTTTGAAAATGTTTCCTCAGTGAAGAAGTAGTCCTAACCTCTCGTAGCTCCCTGAGATATTACTTTATCATAATTCTGTGGGTAGAGTACAAAACACCTAGTTTCAATTTTGATTTTTTTTAATCTTTTTTTATGGAAAAGCAAGGTGGTCAGATCGTAGATTAAATAAAAAAATGGAATTAAAAATAATCAGCATACTGATACTCCATATTACTATTGAAATCTTGTCAGATAACTTTGCAAACAAGCAGACTGATAAATAACATTTCATTTCTCTTTGTTAAAAACATAAAAATCTAATTGAATCTGCACAGACATCTATTCTCTGGTACTGTATAATTTAGTGTATCACTAAGCCCTTGTAAAAGAAATGCTTTTCTTGAAAGTGACAGTTGTTTTATGTGCACTTAAGCTGGTTTTCAATACAATAATACTTTTTTTTTTTTTTTTTTTTTAACATATTTAGGTGATGTCTTGTCAGAGATATGTATGATCAGAAAATTGTCCTGAAGTTATTTGCAAGGTGAGGTTTTTTACTAAGTTTTACTTGCATACTTGACACAGTTAAAAAAAGACAAACATTCAGGCACCAAAACCATTTCTCAGAGTGTGTTTCAGCAGTCTTTTATTACAGTGATTTCCATAATTTTTAAAGACAATTAAGGTTGTTTATGACTGCTTTAAAATATGGTGCCACCTAAATTATAAAATCTAACCTTCCGTCTCAAAATTCTGTGATACCTGTTAGAGATGTTATCAAGGCCATCAAGTTGTTGGTGATAAAATGTCATTAAAATCTTGTGATTTGTGAGCCTGTCTATCTACCTAAGCTGTTAACCTTATTTTCATCCCTGGTCACAGAATCACAGAATTCCTAGGTTGGAAGAGACCTCAAGATCATCGAGTCCAACCTCTAACCTAACACTAACAGTCCCCACTAAACCATATCCCTAAGCTCGACATCTAAACGTCTTTTGAAGACTTCCAGGGATGGTGACTCCACCACCTCCCTGGGCAGCCTGTTCCAATGCCTCACAACCCTTTCAGTAAAGAAGCTCTTCCTAACATCTAACCTAAAACTCCCCTGGCGCAACTTTAGCCCGTTCCCCCTCGTCCTGTCACCAGGCACATGGGAGAACAGGCCAACCCCCACCTCTCTACAGCCTCCTTTAAGGTATCTGTAGAGAGCGATAAGGTCGCCCCTGAGCCTCCTCTTCTCCAGGCTGAACAAGCCCAGCTCCCTCAGCCGCTCCTCGTAGGACTTGTTCTCCAGGCCCCTCACCAGCTTCGTCGCCCTTCTTTGGACCCGCTCAAGCACCTCAATGTCCTTCTTGTAGCGAGGGGCCATACACATCTCCAAGAAACTTGGCAATGTGTACTTCAATCAATTTATAATGGTATTTTTCCAGATTGGACATAAGAAAACAAAATAAATTGATTATCAGTGTATCAGATGATTTACTGCAGTTATTTAATTTACTGTTTTTATAGCATATTATTTTGTACGTTACCTTTTAAATGGCAGGCCACAAACAGCAGAGCAGTTCTTTTTACGCTTAGGAATGGAAGCTTCGGCTTTAAGCATCCAACTTCATTCAGAGCTTTTATTAGAGAAGTTGCTACTCCCTAAAGAAATAAAACCATTTTAGAAGACCATTACATAGATCTAGAACAAAAATGTATACAAATCCTGATCCTGTTGTCATGCAAATCTAACAAACGAGGATGACATCTAAGCTAGTGAATTGTAAAAAACAAACAAAAATATAAAATTGTGAGGGAGGTGACTGTAAAATCTTGTCTTTATTTCATAACCATATCTGAAAATGTAACCAACTATCCTTAAATGATTTCAGATAGGCTTGTATCTATCGTGGTTTTACAAATAAAAGCAAAATGTAATGTTACAAAGGTATGATAAATAAAAGAGTCATGAAACCCATTGCATAATCTTGCAGTTTCTTATTCCTGTCTGGTATCTTGCTTGTATTTTTACCATTTAAGTTACTGATACCTATTATTTTAAATATTAAAAAAATCCTCAATGGTGAGTACACGTTTTTCAATCTAATGTAATCCTCTTAATACTCATAAGACTTAAATTGCATTTAAAACCAAAACCAACATTGCACAATCACATTTTAAAAAAAGAAGCAGCAACTGGCCTGTTCAAGGTATCCAGCCATGGGAAGTGCAGTGAGTAGTATTGGCTCCTTTTTGGGAGGGAGCTTACGTGGAAGCTTCAAATTCCAGTACTTCTCTGGTAGCCTAACCAGATAAAAAGTAAACACTTTAAAGTTGTATAAGACGTGACATGATTAAGGTTGAAAATGCAGTTAGTATATTCACCTCATAAACTTCAGAAGTTTTTCCTCAGTCTCAAAAACGTATACTTTATCTTGGTACATTACAGAGTACTCAATGTTGCCAGGCACCAAAGCTTCATATCTGAAGAGACAGAAAGAAAGTATTATGCTTGTGCAGTGCATACTCATCAGATACTGGGAGCCTTCTGGCAATTTAGCAATTTGTAGGAATTAAAAAAGCAGCGATCACATTGTCCATGCTTCCATCACATTACTGGCAGCTACAAGGGTCAAAATCTGAGTGAGCCCCTGCCTCAAAACCTGCTTATAAAGGGACTTTTATAGAGCCACTCCAGAGCTCCTCTAGTTAAAATGCAACCATGGTTGTTCAGAAGATTAACATGGGACAGCACAGAATTGACTCCTAAGATTGTACCTCAGTGAGGAATTCCTGCACACTGAGGAAATTGTTGGGGCTTTAAGGTGGCGATTTATGGATCTCTTAAAAGATTGTAATAGTTCAGTATTCCATCTACATAGGTTTTGTAGGATTTATTTGAACTTTTGAAGGGTTGTGGTAGGGAAAACTCAAACTACATCCAAACAGACTTCATCACAAAAGACAGTAAGCCAACACAGATCCTTGTGATTGGCTTAATACTCGTTCAGAAAGCTAAGCTTGCTGTCACCTTCAGTCAGCTTTGGCGAAATGGATCCCATGCATTTAATACACTTCCATTTAACTGTCAATTTAAGTAAATTGACATTACCCAAGATACATAAGGAGAAGTAATCCTGGGTTCAGAGAACTGATTACCTATGTATCTGTCCTTCTCAATCTTCAGTAGGTGATCATCTGGCCAACTTAAGTCTCCACTACATAAGTCTGCCTCAAAACCGTTAAGGGATTTTGGAGAGAAACCTAACACTCTTGCTTTTCTCACTTACAGATGTAGAGGAACTGCTGATTTTTGGGATGCTTCAAATATACCTCGTCTGGTTACTAGAAATACTCTAGACCATGCTGTAAAGGCAGGGAGTTGACAGGGAACTTTTCACCCTCAGAATAAAGACTAATGCAAAATCTTTTAACAGCTGAAGCAACAATGTTTTTAGTGCCCACTGCTGCAAGAAAACTAGTGGAGGAGAGGAGCAGAAGTCTGGAAAAGGCTGGTCTACAGTTTTCACACTATAGTGTAGTGCTGCTCCTTTCCAGACTGCACACTTGTGCTTCCTTCCTGTGGAAGCTGTAAGAAGATGGAAGAGAGGGACAATGCTGCATTTCTGAATTTTATTTTGAGGTGGAGTTATGACATGAATGGAACACAAATTCAGATGCAAGGGAAGTCTTCCAGGGTCCCCAAATTTAGACATTTTGTATTCATTTTACTTTCTATGCAAGGTTGTCCAGATTCAGTCTGAAACCTGTAGTCATATGAGTTTCAGAAGGTTATTTTGCATAGATTTGCAAGGCCACAGGCACAATGTAGAGGGTTGTGATCAGTTTTTCTTTAATAACATTTGGAGTTTGGAAAAAGTACTTTGAAAGCATTTCATCATTAATGTGTTAATATAGGATACTTTGTAATTCAAGTTATAAAAACAGGAATGATATACCTCTGTTTTCCATCCAGGTAAGTGACTGGACAGTATCCCTGTATTTCAGCACTTTTGGGGAATAAGGCCTTCACTTCTGCTGCTGTTAGTCTTTTTGGTAGCATGTCTGGGGGTGGAAGAGGGTAAGGTGCCAGTGGTGGCACATACACTTCTGGTCTGCTCAAGAATTTCTGTAAAGGGAGAATTTAAATGTTTGTATAATGAAAGAAGGACTGAAAGACTGTTAGTCAAACTCCAGAGGACTGGCTCATGAAATTTAGATACTTGTTTCTTCTACAACACCTCTTAGTGTTCTGGCACTGCTGCTACAGTTGGGTAAGTCATTTCTTTTCCAACCCACTCTCAGTTGAAATCATCACTATCCACCCACCATCCATCACTATCCATTGCTATCACTGGGGCTTCTTACCCCCAGCTCCCTCCAAAACAGATGGAGAGCGGAGGAAATGGTTACTTTAAAATGAATTTTTCATCTATGACAATTTGTAAGAAGAGCACTGGTTTGAACTGGCTCTCAGCTGCATTTCATCTGACTGTACATTTGATAGCAAAGTATACAGACCAAAAGTGAGAATACTAGTAATAGTAGCCTAATTCAAATAACCTATTGCTTGTTTCTGTACAGAATCAAAGAATCCAGGCAGCATTTCCTTCCCCTGTAGTCCCCTCCCCACAAGCATTTTGACACTTACCTCCAGTTCTTCCTGTGAAGCCATTTTGTAATAGTGTCCTCGAAACTCTGCAGCAAACTGCAGTGATGCTGTGCTAGAGCAGTCAACCAGTTCACCCTTCTCTGCAAGGCTGACGGGACAGTACTGCCCAAACTCCCCCAGCCGACCCTGCAGCTCTTCAGGGGTGATACATAAATCAGCAATGCTGGCTGCTTTGCCTGTTAATAAAAATTAATGTTTTGCTAATGAAGGACAGAAATGTAAAGCATTTCTATGTAGAAGCGTTACAGTTTAGAAAATGTTCCAGATTATTACGTGAAAATGATATCAAATAATGAGAATCGAAATAGCAATTTTTATAGATTGATACTAAAATGAAGTTGCAATCCATTTTATAAATTAGTTTTAATGACACTTTCCTAGCACTTCCTTTTCTTTACTCAAGAAATCCAATAATCATTAGTTATGTGGGATACTCTGCATGCTTAGCTTACTAGTGTGTTTTCCCTGGGACAATTTTATTTATTTTTTAATCCCTTGTGTTGCTAAGGCATACTTCAGCTATTATATTTCTTAACATTGGTGGAAAAAAAGTGCAAGATGTGAGGAAAGCTTCCCATTTATTCATCTGTATCTTGCAAATGTATCTGTATCTTGCTAGTCTATCTGGATGAAATCTATTCAAAATCTTGAATAAAATGCTATATAAAACCCAGGTTATTTAAGAACTCTGCTTTTCAAACTTCATGAGACTTCAGACTGAAATTTGTAAGGAGAGTGCAGCCACAGAGCTGTAAAAGTTAAAACCAAAAGGAAGGTATGAGATAAGGAAGAGACACGTTTGTGCTTTAGAGAAATCCCTGTTAAACTGTACAGACGTATTTGAAGGGCAGATTTAATCCTGACCTACGCTGACACACACAAATTCAAGTGGGAGCTTTCCCATTTCATGCTTTTCATCCCTCAATTCAGAAATTAACTCAAATGGACATTTAACCTTAATTCTGAATTTATAATTAACATTTTCCCCTTCATTCCTAATTCCTCCACTGACATTTCTGTGAATCTGCAAGTCATATTTTCCCTTGTGTATTTTGGGGTACCCTTTGTGATTTTCTGTTATCACTCAAAGTTGAGAGATCTGCCCTGGACTTCAAGACCTCTGACTTCTTTCAGCTGTATTCTGCTACCCTGTTCTTTGGGAAGATGGCTGCAGACTATTGGCAAAGGCATAGCTGGTTTTGCCTTTTCTGTCTTCAAGAGGTCTCTTCAAGCTCTCTCCAGATGAGATCAAAGAATCAGGAATTAGGTTTATTCAAAGCAAGTTGGAGTTGAATATAAATGCACTCATTACGTTACAGCTTGTAAAAGAAATTAATATTATTCTGAACAACTTTTTTTCTTTTACCTTCTTTTATTCTTTCCAGGTATATCTGTATTTCTTTAACAACCACTTGAACTTCCTGCAGTACTTTGTTCCATATCCACCACTTGCTCTGAGTGGCATCAACCATGCACCAGTTCTGGTGCTCCTTCTTATAGTAGGTCCTGATTGCATCAATGTGCTGTTTATAGCAGGAATTTTTAATTGCTAGAATCTGTGAGCTGTCGTGTACAGGGTAGGAAGGTCTGAAGACAACAAAAAATAGCACTGACTTAATATGAGTCTGAAGATTAGATCATTTTATTGAATGTTTGATGTAAATTCTAGAGTTCATTTTAAATCCTTTTTAAAAATCCTGCTTTTCTGAATCAATAGAATGTACTAGAGAAACATAGATTTGTTATTAGGAATGATACCAGTTCCATATGGAAAGTAGTATCATAGAATCATAGAATGCATTATATGCTTCTGACCAAGTAGTTATATTCAGAAACAAAGAACAAAAAAAAATGTTATTAATTTCCCAAATAGAATTCAATATTTTGTAAAGGTTTTGGATTGTGTCAGCACATACTAGCCAGCACACACACAATCTATATACCATAAAATACCCTAAAATACCCTAAACAAAATGTTATGGGAGTATTAGAATGAAGGTAAGTAGTTCATTGAAAAACAGGCTTAATTCCGAATTACACTGTTGTTTGAAATTGAGAAGTTTTCAAAACATATCCAAGGATTGTGACTACTATCCGTAATATTTACATATACATAAATGAAAATAATCCATTTGACCTCTAAAACATTATGCAAGACCAGAAGAGAGATTTTCACTATAACATAGAAGCTTTTACTATTCTGGTTCTAAATGTAAATGAGTCAAAAAAAAAAAAAGGAACTTCTGTTTTAACAGTATTCATTTCTCTATATCTGATGTTGTACATTTATTTGTATTTAAACCTATAAATGTAATTAGTTCGGTATTTAGAGTCAAGAAGGTATTTAGAGTTTAAAGTAAATGCTTTCAAAGAGAAGCATTAATTTAATTTTTTGCTATGCAAATTGTCTTTAGGCTTTCAGTAAACAATTAAGTGTTGTACTGATTACTTGATAAAATGAAAGAGAGAAAATGAAAGAGACATGCAATAATGCTCTAAGATAGCTGGAACTTCTTAGAAATTCTTCCCCTGATGAGAACCAGGTTCTTATACAATTTAATTTCAAGGTGAATGTTCTGTTCTTTTTAACTCTCTGTTGGTTTATAAACTACTTAGTGGTCTTCCTCAAAAACATCCAATAGGTCTTTAAACAGAATATTTAACTCATAAAAACAAGCGAGAGAGATTAATTGTAAGATTTAGATGAGTAACTCATGAACCGTATGCTATTAAAGTATACATTATTTCTATCCTTTTTAAAAATAACTACAATAAAGACTTAAAGAAATGATCAATAATAAACTTCAGCAGCAGAGTGGACTAGTAAATTTTTTGATACACAATTTCATTAAAATCTATTAAATTAAGCAGTAGGTGCATGCCATTGCATACCAATATCCTCAGCCATGCACTCTGGGGATCTGTCCAGAGAGTGCCACAGATTTCTTTGACAACTTATATCTTCATTTTTGTTCTATGGAAATCAAAGATTGTCAAGGGCCTTATGCCCATGTCTGTTCATATATGGAGTTTGGAGGCAGCTGGATTATGCAGCAGTGCAGCCTCTCATAATACAGCACTGAGGCACATACATAGAAAGAGATGACAATATTATGTGTATAAAAATATCAGGGAGCATCACTACCTATTCGTGCTTTCTTTGTCCGACAGAGCTCTTCTGAACACTTCCTTTGCATCCATTTCTAATTCAAAGATTTTCACTGGAATTATCCTAGCTGATTCCAGGAGCTTTACTTGTTTTCTTGTTACAGGGTACCCATCAATAACAACTCTGCATACAAACAGAAACAAAGACAGTTTTTCTAGGAAACAAGTTCCTAATTAACCATTAAGACTACCTGTATTCCCAGTACATTCTCAACAGAGACAAAAGTCTACTCCTATGCCATCAACCCTGGCTTGACAGACACAGTCTTCTTTCTGAAGAACTTACAATCATATTAAAATTTAAAAAAATCAAGTAGCTAAAATTAGAAATAGTAACGAGTAAAGGAAATATACGAGGGGCAAAAGGTATAGAAATGTAAGTGGACATACAAATGATTGGAGTTTTAAATTCTGACACATTAGTCTTCCAGAAACATAATTTTAACTATGTGAAAACTCCATATGAATTGGGAGAATTAGTTTTCAAGATGAAAAATAAATTGATTTACAATATTTGAGTTTCTCTCTCTCTTTTTTTTTTTTTTTTTAATCCTATTGAAGAAGAAATGCTTCTTCAGAAATGCTTCTTCATATTAGAAATGCTTTATATATGCTGGGCATATATAAACACTGGGGCATAACCTACTGAAACAGTATTCCAGTATTTAGCATGATAGAAAAGCTGAAAAAATTCTGATCTCAAGCTGAAATAATTTTCAGAGATTAATCTGAAATGGCCTTTTCCTGTAACAATTCTTCTTTTGAGAGAGTTGAATTTCATTAAATCATGATCATGAAGTGAAAAGCTTTTTAGGTCTGCCCATCTTGGACAGTGTTTCAGTGGTGGGAAAAAAACTTGGAAATCTGGATCATGTAAGAAATTAGCTGGAAATAATTACTGGTTTATGTTCCTCCTTAGTAAGTTAACTCTTAACAAAACTAGAAAAAAAAAAAAAAAAAGGAACACTGAACTACCAGTCTGCTTGACCAGAGAGAATCAGGTGTCCAAGTTTTTACTGCAGTTGGTAATAAGAGAGAGAAAATGGCAGTTTTCAATGTATAATAGAAAGTATTGGCTTGTTGGCTGAAGAAAAAGGTAACATAAAACATATGACTTTGATTTGATGGAATAAGCTGACTTGAAAATTGCAGAAAATTATGTTTTGGGCTGGTTTTCCTGAGTAATGTGAAGAATTGCATTTTGGACAGGTTATTTTCTTAATGCATCTGATGTGTTTTAGTGAAATGGTTTTACAGTGATAGTGTGGAAATCACTGCCTCTGGAGGAACTGTCATGTCTTGAAAAAACCCCTAAAGAAGAAGCCCAAAAAAGACTCTTACCCAGTGCTCATACATACACGATCCATCAGAGCCACATCCAGGGCCTGGATGGCCAGTTCGTCAGGTACAGTCAGTCCTTTGTGAAGGTGCCACTTTAACTGAAGTCCCAATGCGCTCTCGGGCTGATTGTTTATCACTAGCCGTATGGCATCTCCTATACTCAGCCGCATCAGCCCATATACACTTGCAAATTTCCTGGCAACTGTAAAACATTTTGATTTCAACAACCAACTTTTACATAAGCAACATCACAGCCTAGCAGTCTGTTAAAGTATGTCCTTAGTGTTACAAGCTATGTGCTCGTTCCCTGGGTCATCTGCAATGCGTAATCTTGGTAAGCAGTCACCTAACCCCAATTAGCTCTCTAAAGGACCCAGACCTTTGTGTATGTGCAAGGTGTGTCCAGGGCACACTTTAGCTCAATTTAGCTCAAACCTCTGCAGCCATAGTCAATTTTATTCAAAAATATCTTTGAAAATACACTTCTGTTATTGCCCCTTTTACAGAACAGTCTAGCAGTTCCAGTTCACTAACTTCGTAAGAAGCTGCAATAAAATTAAGATGGATAATCTGTAAGTACGTGACTATAAAATGATACACTATAGAATATAACTAAAGGTTTCTATGCCCAATAAAAAGAGCAGGAAGACCAACAATATTAGAGATTTATGGCTTTTTTAATAGCAGTAATGATAGACACAGCGTCACTCATTAGATAATTTTTTGCTTTATAGGTAATAGTGTCTCCTACCTGTAGTCTTCCCAGATTTTGGAGGTCCCACAATTGCAATCTTAACTGGCACAGGTGGTTTAGGTTTTGGCTGACAAATATATTTGATGGGATTTTTCATAAATGTTTCTTTATTTGCTTTACTTGAAAAGAAATAAATATATTGTCGATGGATTACAGGAAAGAGTGTGTTTTCAGGGCTTTGTGCTGGCTTGATTACCTCTCCTTCACTTAGCTGTAGAATACACAAAATGGGAAGCAACTGATTAGGTTTGGCATAGCCCCCTCTCCCTTTATCCTACAAAAGTGGTTTTACAGGCAGGTTGAGAAATATTACTTGGTTGAGATAAAACATCAAAGTATTCTGAAATATATACAGGCAGACATAATATTTTGTATGAGTCTGTGGTATTTTTGTATGTAATTGTACAAAAAGATGAAATAAACACTGAAGAGAGAAAGAATATTCACTGTTTCCAGTAGGTGGTACCGTAACACTTTCTGTCCGTCAGCAGAGTGTAATCAGAGGTATAACGTGTAACAATTTTTTTGTCTTTTTTTTTTTTTTTTTTTTTTAATTTTCAAAGAATTTACGCCATTTCTATTAAGGATAAAAATATTCCTCTGTAAATTAAAAACAAAACACAAACAACACTTATCTGCCTGACAGTAGAGGATACACTTAGAATGTTGTACTCAGGAGAAGTCACTTCCAAAAGAAGAAAACAGAAATGAACATCAATATTTAAATTGTGGTGAAATGTAAAACCACAGTGAAGCAAGCCAAAAAAGCTTTTGGTAAAATAAATACACTGCTGATGGAACCTTTTCAAATACATCAGGTTACCTACTAGAAAGTCTGTAGTGCTGATGGCTAATTGAGTAGTAAGACGAAGCAATGGTAGAAATGGTCATTGCAGGAACACTAAATTAATTTCTTGCAGCACTGTTCACTAAGGAAGAATTTAGTCATGTCCCTGTTAGAGCCTTCCTTGAGGAACTGCCTTAAAGTGTCAAAAATTGTTTTAGAACAAACTGGAGACGTTTGTAGGGAAAACTGCAGAGACCAGATGGTATTCATGTTACAGCTCTATGGGGATGCAGAAGTGAAATTGTTACTGACTGATGTATAACCTATTGCTTACGTTGGTTCCTTCAACAAAAAAGTAATGTGGAAAAATTGATAATTATTTTAAAAGACCTCTAGGATGCCTCCCGGCAACCACAGTCCAGTACATCTGTCCCTGTTGAAGACAATCTGCTTGATACAGTAAGATAAGGGACTGTTTGCTGCATGGCATTACCTTGCCAGACCCTGGACTAATTCTTAGGTTCTTGTTCTCACAAGAAGTCATTTCAGAGTATTTGCCCTCAATTTATAAGATGCCAGGAGTCTGATCTACTGTATATTTGCTCACACTCCTCTCTCAGCTCATCATTTTTCTTCTCTGGGTATCTAATCAGTTGCATAACTACTTCCCCCTATCAATTTAGTTTAAAAGTAATTGTCATATGCTCTATTTGCCCTTCTTCGAAAACCCTCCAGTCTGTAATCAATTTCATTATTTCTATAATATCCTAAAATACCCTTAAAATGATCTTATTTTCCTTTCATTATTGTGAGCATGTACATTTCCTACTGTCAGCACACTCCTCTGATTTCATCTAATGGCTTTCTAGGACTTTCTTCCAACTGATTTTTTTTTCTTAGTTGGTAAAAAAAACAACACACAAAACACACAAAACACTTCAGCATAAATGAAGGATTTGAAGAAATGGAATAGCAAAACTGTAGTGACTTTAATAGGACAAAGCTCAAGTCCTAGCATTTAGGGACTAATAAGAATTTCATATATTAAGCTGGGATTCAGTAACTGGAAATGACAGAATTCTGAGAAGACATATCTACTTCTATTAGCCAGTCATTTAGATTATTAGATGCCAATTTGATGCAGCCATGGAAAAGGCAGCTCTGATCCTAACACACTTTAAGTATTTTGATTCTCTAAAGTCCTAATCAGATCTGATCTATGTACAGTTCTAGTTACCAAGATTAAAAAAGGAAAAACATGATCCGGAGGAGGTGAAAACAAAGACTAGCATGATTTCTGTGCAAAAAGAAAAAAATAATTAGCATAGTGAAATGAAGGCCAAATGTATGTTTCCTTCAGAAACTTTCTGCTTTCTATTTCTTGTTTGCTGTTGTAGTTTTATTATTTATCAGCCCTCCTTTTTATTTCTGATTTACTCACAATCCAACTTGCTTTTATTTCTAGCATTAAAAAAATACATGTATTACCCACTAACATTTTGTTTGTTATCTATAAAAATCTATAAGCCCACAGAGATAAATATGAGTACATTCTGACCTCAACTTTCCAGACTGCTGGTAAAATAGGAAATCAGATTTACTGTTCTTCAAAATTCATGCATATTGACAACAAAGAATTATTGCTGATGAGTGACATATATTTAACATGTGTTGGTTTACTTTTTTGCTACTGCAAGTGTTGATGGCCACCTACACGACTTCTTGCAAATTCAACCCCCAAATTTTTCCAGCTTGTTTTCACTGCTTCTAGAAGGCTCTAATATCTTTGTTGTTCTACATTTCATGGGTCATTACCAATTAGGCATTTCTTCCTGACTCAGTGCCACCTTTAAACTGCATCAGTAGTGCCAGTGTAACAAATTTTAATAAATACCTCTCAGTGTTAGTTTAGCTGCAACACTGAAAAAACTAACACCTTTCATTACAAATGCTTGCTGTATTTTGTGTATGTGTTGTAGTGATGTAATTTTGATTCAGTTATGTAGTTTTCATTAAGTATTACTGGTATTACATGATACTGTCTCATAATATTTGTATGTGAAATATATTCTTTGAAAGTATTACTTTCTAAAAATATTTTTGCATTATTCAAGAAAATTACCTTGATTGGATCCCACTGACCAAAAGAACTTGGAAACTTATATAAGAAAATCAACATCTTATGTGCAAGTGGCAAACTTATCGGGTAACATTTCTCAAAAATGCTTGCACGGTTTTCCACTAGAGAATTCAGCTTGCAATATATTTGGTAGCGTACGATGTGAGGCTTTCGTCCTCCATTGATCTCAATTAGTGGTATTAGCAAATTTTCAAGTTCCTCCTGGTTAATTGAAAAATAATAAAACATTAAAATAATAAACATGTTCAGATTTTCGTTAATAACCATCAGCAAGATTTTCTGTGACCTTTCAAGGATTTTTGAGCAAGTTCTCAGTCCCTGTAAAGCAGAAAAATTTTATTTGAGACTGGTCTTCCTTCCCACTGAAGTCCAAGTTACCCAGGCTACATTAAGTATCACAGTATTCAAAAAGAATTGGAAAATCTGACAGTTAACACTGAGGAATATAGTACGATAAAGCTTGAGAAATATATTTTATAAAAATATTCAAATATCATTCTTCCCTACTCCAAACAATTTAGAATGCTTTCTTTAGCTACTGTCTAAAAATATTGCTGCTCTCTGGTGACTTCTTATTCCCCAGCTTATTCAACAAAAATATAAAGATATTATTAATAGTTTTACAAGTGCTATAACGTTTTAAAGTCATCATTTATTCTTCCATAAAAGATGAAGATTCTACAATGTCAAAGAGGACCATCAATTAAAGAATCAGATAACAATAAGCAAAAGTCTTGAATAACGTATCAGAAACAGCAAGTTATATAGCATTAGTAATAAAGGCATAAATATTATTTGATATTTTTTAAAAATGGGGAAAATGTAACAAGGGATTATAACTAGTATGCAATCCCAATCAACATAATTCACATGCTAACGTAATTAAAATGCTAATAAGAATTTTGCATTTAAAAGTATATATGAAACGTTATCCATACGTTCATGATTCTCTAGTTTGGTTGCCTGTATCAACTATTCTGTTTGTCTTATAAATTATATACTTTTGTAAGCATGTAGTTTCTTTGTACAGTTTTTATATTGCTCACATATTTAGATCATGACATCAGCAGCACTATTGCACAAGCACTGTAACTTTAAAATCTGACGACTAAAATAACACTGAAGACTTCTTGCATCATACAGTCATTTATTATCATATAATTTATAGATCATGTAATTTAATAAAATAAGCAGTGGAATAGGTACCTGTACACCTTGTAAATTGTCTCTTTCTGAATCAAACCTCTCTGCAATCTCATTTTGCATGCGCTCAACAGCATCAGTCTCCTGTTCTTCTTCAGCCTCTTCTTCTTCTTCTTCTAAAAACTCCTCTTCAAGTATAGCTTCTATGTCTTCATTTTCACTCTCATCTTCCTCCTCACTGGCTTCGTCATGTTCCCTGCTTGCTAAAACCTATAAATGTAAAATATTCTGTCTTCATGTCTTCTATACATATGTTTTGAGAGAACACTTACTATCTTTTTTATTTTATTTTTTTTAATTAGAAAAATCATTAATTCAACCAAACCTCATTTTGGAGGCATCCTCTGTTGCAACCAAAAATCTAGTAAATTCTAAAATCATATTTCAGAAGAAAATACAGAGGTATTGCATAGTGCATACAGTGAAGCATTGTATCTGAGAATGCTTAAAAATCTTAATCACTATGCCGTAGTTTTGATGAGAACAATATTTTTGAGAAGTATCTGCTACAGATACCTGGGTATTGTAGTTTGGCAGGACTTTGTTAAGAACCCACTTGTTAGCTGATAGCGTAGTTGATCAAGTTTCGTGAGCAGTCTAACTGTTCATCGACGCATTTATAAATATGCTTTGTAATTGAGCTTGGGCAGAAGTCCTGGTAGAATCCCATTCTGCATTAACTGTGGATTTGACAGGATACTTAAAACACATACCTAATTGCAATCACTCTTATGCTTACAAAGTAGGTAAGTTAAAGACATTCTTCAGTATTTTGCTGAATTGGGGCATGTATTGAGAATTGTTTTTAGTGTTGATGAATCAATAGTTTCTAAGACAATTTAAACATCTTGCCAAATTACTTCAGAAAGCAGAGATTTCAGACAGTCTATCACATTTGTACTATTATATATTGCCCTGAAAAATGTGAAATTTCTAAGATATGAATGCAAACACTTCTATTTAAAATAGTTTTTGTAACTTTTTTACCTTCTGTTTCCTTTCTTTTTGTTCTGCTAAAAGTTCTGCCCTTCTTTTAGCAATCCTCTCATCCTGTTAATGAAAAAATGATGTAAGAAGACAATGATATTTTCTCATAAATCCCCTCTTAGAATTGGTATAATGAACTAGAATTAACGTTATTCTTTCTACCTTAAAACTCTATTTGAGTTGCTTCTAATGCTAAAAAATCCTGTCTGTGTAGCCTCAACTATTGCAAACCAGATATGCTTCTAGGTATACATGTACTTAAATTTTTGTAAAACTAAATTGGCAACTTTTGAGAATGAGATTAAGGGAAGAAAAGACAGTGATTCTGTTCACACTGAAAATATTATTTGATATTGAATATTATCTTTTTTGTCAGTAAAAGAGTCAGAGTCAAAAAAGCTACAATTTCTAAATTTGTAGGTAGTTACTGCCATTTGGCAAAGGGGTGAATGAGTATTATATGTGTGCTGTTTGCTAAGTGTGTTTAAAACTGCACATTTTTGACCAAGTTATAAGCATTTAAAATACATTCCTTTATATATACACTCAGTAGATACCTGTCATATACATGATCATTAAACTCTATCTCAAAGTAATACACAGAAGCATTCTCCTTAAGACCACGGGGGTTAATGGGGATTCAACCTGTACCTGCTGTTCTTGCACACTCTGATACTTCCACCTGAACTGAGATCAGATAAACTGAGCATGTCACCACTGCAGGCAATACTGCAGAGTTAGAAATCCACATGAACTTTAAACAAAGTAGTCTAGATACCAGGGCACTGGAGGCAGAGCAGCAAGAAACTGCACAGTCTAATTTTCTTTACTCGCATGGCTATTTAAACTCAGGTGTTGCTGAGCAGCACCGCAATGCAGATGTACTCATTCCTCAGTCCCCTGTTGCCAGCTTCTTTCAGTGCAGAAGGAAACTAATGCAGCATTCAACAGGTATATCCGCTTTTCTGACTCTCTATGCAATTTTAGTAATGAAAGAAGAGAATAGCACACCCATCCATGCCCCATTCTCACAAGTGTCCATCTTGCTCACTGACTGTATGCTATGGAAAAATAGTCAACATGCAAATAAAAACGGTAATGCAATACACATCAGCAAAAAGATCAAAATATTATTACTCCAGAAATCCTGATTCTCACCTTTCCTTACTTCTAAGTGGGGGTCTTTTACGCCTCAATCAATTTGCATAGTTGCTTTGTGTATGTGTTTTAAGTAACAGACTGTTACTGTTCTTTTTTTGTTAATAGACATATTGATGCCTACACCGTAGAAGTTTGGACCCTAAAATCCATAGCACACGTATTTGTCACTGAAGTTCTCAGAGTAAGTGCTTACAAGGTGAGCTTAGTACGGTGATACAGGCTGCTCACTAGAATGCACCTTTTCCAGATAGATTTCCAGCTTGTGTCAGGGAAGATAAATGCAAAAAATACTTGAGTTCTGCAAGATTATATGCATTCTCAGAGCCAACCTCTGGAACACGCAGCTAATGTAACTTACTGGTACCATATGGGTCTTGTCCCAAGCTCCATTTTACTAACATACTGCATGTTAGCTGCTCTGTATAACTTGGACCTTTTTTGAAAGTACATGTGAAGTAATATAACTTCCTTTTATAGAAAGTTAGGAACCTTGAATATCTTGCACAGATTGTGCATGTCTGCACAGAAGTTTCAATTTCAAGTCACTTGTAACCTATTCAGTAATAGTGCTGTCACACTGCCAGGTGTCCAGCAGCACAGTTACTTTGCTTGGTTTATCAGATATCTACACTCCTGCATGAGTTAATTGCAGCAGGCTGTGCTAATGTGGAAGGGGCAGAGGAGAAAAGGAGAAATGAATTATTTTTGGTTCCTATGATGAATCTGGGAATGCTGTGAATGTGGGGAGCTGTGTCTCCTGGCTCCTATATCTGTTCTGTGTGCTCTTCTCTATTTTGGGAGTTTTAGAATCTGTCTTCAGACCTGTGCCCCTGAAATTGCAAAAACATTGACAGAACTAAAAACCTACCCTTATTTTTGCTTTCAGTTCTTTCAGTTTCTTTTTATTTTCCATTTTTTTGTTATGTCTTTCTTTCCATTTTTGCAGACGTGGAGGAAAAAGACGGTCGATAATGTCATTTTCTTCTACATTAATATAAACTGCAACATCAGGACAGAGTCCTCGTTCTGACAAATACTGGGCTTCATCTAAAGTACGAGGGAAACCATCTAGTATAAAGCCTGTGGACCTAATTGAAAAAATAGATATTTATCATTACACAATGTAGTTTAAAGTGCATCACAGAGAAACTGCAGTGAATTAAAAAAAAAAATTAACTCTCTTATAATGATAAAATTTAAAAATTACTTTCATGTATTAACTTCACAATGTAAAAGTGATAAATCACTATATATTTTAATTGTTGTACTATTGCATTTATTTCTCATGGGGTTTTAATGTACAGAGATAAAAAGTTACTTTAAAATAACTTTAAAATAAATAAATAAATAAATGGTGTCCTCAATATTATTTGTGTGACCCTAAAAACTGTACTTCTTAGCCACTGCTCTCAAAGAGAACATGCCTCAAGCATTATTTTGGTAACATCTGTCACAGCACTTTTGTATATGTGGACACGGTGGATGATATACTTCCTAAGATTAATTAAAGAAACAGAATCTAATTACAGTTACCGGAATGGCTCTTTCTTCCACCAGTCAGGGACGATGTTATCAAGTACTTCTGGAGGCAATGCCTCTGAATCCATTAGATTTGCTTTTATTGCTTCTTCCTCATCAGTTAACTCCACTTCCTTTATATAAAGAAAATCCACAACAAATGAAAACAAATGAAACAGAAAGAAAAAAGATCTGAGACAGTTGCTGTTCTTTTTGTCTAAATAAGGCACTGGTTACAGTCTTCTTTTGACTTAATCCAACAGAAACAAAGTAAACTCCTTTGCTACATTTCATTGTACTACATTATACATAAAATTAATGCCTGGAATACTTGTGGGTTATTTTCTACATGCTTGAGGTTGGATATTTCCCTAGAGTTTGGGCAATTTCCTATCAACCTGAAAGGCACAAGCTTGGTGCTGGCTATACTAGGGGTTAGCTTTCCCATAACTGAGTATGGCATCTGCCCCTAACTGGCATTAATCAGTTCATCATTTAGAAGCACTAGATGTAAAAGTGGGCCTCAGAAACTTAGAAAATACATCATAGTTTCATTAATTGTATGTGGTAACTATTAAAATAACAACAAAGACAACAAAAATTGTAGTGCAACATTGCATAATAATTCAGCATTACAAAGCACAGGTCCCATGGGCTACATTTACATGACTCTCCAAGGGCAGTGCCTAAGGTGGCCATGAATACAATATATTTTGATGTCTTCTCACCTTTAATTTCCATTATTGTCCAAATAGCTGCCTCATAAACAGCCTGAAGGCTGCCTGCAGACAATGCAGATAGGTGCTTGCTCTAAAAGGTAGTCCCAAAGTGCAGCTGTTACGTGTAGTACCTAAGCCTAGCTCTGATCTGGCCTTGTGGATTGAACATCCATTAGCAGATGAAATGCATTAGGCATGTTTCTGAAGTGTATTGTTGTGTTTAGCTTCAAGATGAATTCAGTTCATGTACTCTGAAACTGTTCTGTGTGAACTGAAAAGGTGGGAACAAATAGGAGATTTGCTTCTAATGCATGCTCTGGGCAGAAACTAAAATGTTAACTGAGATGTAATGCTGTCATTGTTTGACAAGGAGGTTGGATATCACAATTACCATGCACTTGAGTTGTACCCTCACAATGTTGCTGTTCACATGAAATGGAATTCATGAAAATTAATGAAATCATCTTACTGATAAAATATACTTCGGGGGTGGTAAAAATGTACAGTTTTCATTGAAAAGTGGTAAAATTAGCAAGATGACAAGAACAGATGGAGGTTCTGTTAGAAATCCAAGTGTCCTGATAGAATTAAGTTCTTCACTAATAGAAACATCTTAGATAAACCTCTCAGAAACATATACATTATTCAACAGGCAAAAGTGGAAGTATTTTAAGCTAGTGCATGACAAGCTCAAAATCACTGCTGTATGAAACCTAAACCAAGCACAATTGTTAAATATTTAATTATACATAGGCTCAACTCAGAGGAATAGAAAATGAATTTTTTTTTTCTTTCTTTCTAATTGCCTACAGGAAGCTTTCCACTTAGTTTTATATGTTCTCATGCTGGAAGACTACACTGCTTTACGTCAAATTTATTTATTTATTTACTTTTTAAGAGCAATTTTTAACTTTTGATGTAATCAAAACAAAGATGTCAAAGAAAGGTATGTAGGATTACTGAGTATGGGCATGTGACCAGATATCACAAAGATAACCTTGTTCTATAAAGCAGTAGGGTTATTAATGACTAGACACATGCTGAGCATTTGAATACCAAATCTAGCTTTTAAGATTTTGTGCAAAAATATTTTTTCAGCATATGAGATTGATATGGTTGAGGATGCATTTCTCATAGAATGGCTTCCTGACACACTGCACTAAAAACGAATGACAAGAGGATATAAATTGATGATCCTGGATTAGTTTATATCAGTCACAGTGTCAAAATACATACTTTTAAAGATATACTGGAAGTATAGACATTAGAAGCCAGAAAGATATGTTTGTTACTCAGATGCAGTATTAAATTTTCATGGAAATATTTCACAGAAGAAAATATTGTTTTCTAGATAGCTGAGATTTTTTTTCACCTGAAAACAGAATGGCCAAGTTCATAACTGAGAAATCTATCTGGTATCCTTTAACGAATGCAATACCTTTTCCGCCATACTTCTATAAAAATCTCACTTCTAAAACGTCATCTATTTTTGTTTAAGAAGACTAGACACATGAGTTTGTCTTTTAATGCCAGTAGTCATGAAACATCCACTTGCATCCAAAGTCACCGAGAGATAAAACTTAACATGCAGCTAGGTATTCCTCTGTCTCTTTCAGCAAATTAATTTAAGTTGTACCCTGAAATTCTCTTGGGAATTCATTATAAAGTTCTGCTATACTTTCCTCATTGTAGGTAGTCACATCAACCTAAATTGCTCAAGAATTTGTTAGCATGACCTGCCAGAAAATAAAGCAATAACCGTCACTAACAAAAGGATCCAAGGTGGTTCAGGAACCCTCAAACTGATGGTAGGGAGCCGCTTGCCACAAGGCCAAATCTGAATAAGAATTCTTATGTCTGACATTGATTCTGATAACGTAGCCAAAAGAACCTGAGAAAATGCTGGAAGCCACAGGTCTAATGAAGTGTGAGTGTGAGTAATATTTCCTCTATTGCCTGACACAGGGTATATATTAAAAGATGGTAATACGGCATATGAGATACCTAAGAAGACAGAGCGGTAGCCACAAAGATATCTTGAAAGAACTGTGTGAAGTGGGAGAAACAGCAAAACACATGTAAAAATATATCACTGACGTCACTGTAGATGTGGTGTTGAAAATGCATCTGTATTTGATAAAATTATTGAGATGTGTATTCTGGGTGCAGAAAAGAGCACCCAGTGTTTTGGTAGTTCTAAGGAAAAAGTTGCCAGGTGAAAAATAGGTCATTGGCTCTCCAGACTGGTTAAAGCTGCAAGGACTTGGCTGACACACTAAAACCACCACGATATTTGCTTGCTAAATTCCCCAGACTGAATGCTGTGTTTTGTTTGCCTTGTAGTATTTTTGCTTTGAATATTATAATTGATTTTTACCTGAAGCTTCAAGAGATATACTTCAAGGATTTGAGTTAGGAGAAGTAGTGGGTCTTTGGAAAACAGGATAATCATACAATTTGGTGGTAATCACACCCAGAGAAATGCTTAGGCAGTCCATAATCTTGGAAACTATGCCTTACAGTGTTGGCCTACAAATGGAGCTAGAAACAGGTTTCTAAAGTGAACTGCAATTATATCAGCTGTGTTTTGATCATGCCCGCAGATAAAGCACTTTATAGCAAGTCTAAGAAAAAAATACTAATGTAGAAGAACGTTGTTTACCAGGAGATAAAAAGCTGATGAGGAAAAAAATACTAGCAGAAGGGCATCAATGTAAAATGTTGTCTTGGTGCCAAAAAAAAATAATTAAAAAAATAATAATGCTGACTGAGAGCCAGCCATAAACATCAGTGCCAAGAACACTTGCCTTATTTTTGGCTGTGATGATCAAATTGTAAACAGACTTGCCAAAATAACCTCCTCTTAGATTTAACTGATGAAAACCTGAAATTTTGTTCTGACATCCATGATTTGATCAGTACTCCATCTGTGTTGAGGCATTTGTTTCCAATATTACCTGCTCTTGTATTATTTCATCAGGAACGCTATCTTCCAGTTATCAGGGACCCCTCCCTACCCCGCTTTTCAAGGCAAGAGAAAGTGGCCTCGAATGAACCTTTGGCAGCTTCCTCAAGCACCTGAGAATATATTCCATTCAGTCCCACTGAATTGTGTATGTTCAGATTCCATAAACAATCACGAATTTGGTCCTACTCCGCTGTGTGTAGTACCACTATCTACGCATGCTTTCCTATTTGCACTGAGACCTAAAAGGCTACAGACGAGACTGTACTTGTAAAGACCAAAGTAAGGAAGGCATTGAGTACCTCAGCCTTTTCAGTATCTTTCATAAAAAGGCCACCTGCCCCATTCAGATGCAGACTCCTATTTTCTTTGTCTTCCTTTTGCTGCTGCTGTTCCTGTAAATATCCTTCTTTCTACCCTTTGCTAGTTTCAACTCCCAATAATTACTTAACTTCCTAATCCCATGCCTGGATGATGGTGTGTATGCCTCCTCCACCGCCTGCTTCCCCTCCTGCGTGTTTCCTTAGATTCAATACTAGGATGTCTTTGAAAGTCTTTGATGACTAGTAACATGAAGAAACATGACAGCTATCAGGAGAACAAAAAAATGGTTCTTAGAATGTGATGCAGAAACTTATTTCTTCCTGAAGCTTTGAGAGTTGGATAAAACTTTATTTGTATTGTCTAGAAGGTAGAGTTTCTTCTACTATGCATTTTTGAAAGATCTTTATGTTGCGTACCTATGTGTAGTGAATTCTTTACACAATAAAGGCTTTTATCATATCCATTGCTGTCTAAAGAAAAAATCATCGACATCAAAGCCTTGCATTTTTTTCCCCCAGTATATTACTGCCTAATAAAATAAATTGTTGTCTCCTGGTAAACATTTATGTAAATGATTATTGCTAAACAGAAATGTTTATTGCTTGGGGATGGCAGAGGTTTCAGAATGTGTATGTATAAAAATTTACAGTAACTATTCAAACTTAAGGAAAACACCTAATTTCCTGAAAACTATTGTTCATGAATTATTTTACAAGTATCATAAGTATCCAGCTATGTGAAACATTTTTTTAAACCACAAGCCATATTTTATCTACCTAAGAGTTTTTTTTTTCTGTTTAGAAACTCCTCTGACAATAAGAGAACAAAAGACAACACTACAATCCAGATAATAAAACATATTAAAAACAATCATACAAAAAAAAACCAAAACCATACCTTACTCTGGTATGAACATTGAAATATTTCTGACTTTTAACATGGGATGGTCAGACTGAAGGGATGGTCAAGTATTCTATGCTTTTTGCCCCAAGACAGTGCACAGAGCACTGCTGGGGAACATTTTAAAACTCTTTGCAACTGGTGTACGTGTACCAGCCTGAACCTACTGATTATAAGCACTTGAAGAAAACCATACCTTCCCATTATTATTCTGACTTTGTGTGTTGTTTTTTTTTTCTCTATTTGTCTTCCTTTGTCCCATTTAGTAACTCTAGTATCTTGGAAAAAAAGACAAACCAAAACAACTACAACAACAACAACAAAAACATACATAATTCTTATAAATGTTTGGGAGAATCTTTGTGGCATTCATAAGAAAACACAGTCAATATGTGTATTATTTTATTGGAAAGAACTGTTATTCCCTAATTTTATCAAGAAAATAATGTAACATGAGCACTTTTTTTACCTAGCAAGAATTTTATAGGTAATTGCTAGTTTGGTCTGAAAATGGTTATGTAGTGTACAGACACAAAGAAGTTCAGATTGTTACCTGTTTGTTTTCTTCATTTTCAGTTTCAGTCATGGTCTGAGAGAAATCTTCCTGTCCCTGTGATAGAATTAGCATTTTATCGTCATCTTCTTCAGGTTCTTCATCAAAATCAGGCCCAATTTTCTCTTTAATTTTGGGTAAGAGCAGTTCCTGTAGATATTCTTCAAACTGAATATGGAAAATACCAAATTTGTCTGCTAGCCATCGTGCACAAGTGGTTTTACCTGCTCCATGAGTCCCCAGTAAGCACACCCTTAAGGGAGGAGCCTATAGGAAAAAAATGGAACATTTTAAAATAATTTGGACTCCACTGTTTTTCAGTTCCAAAATATCATAAAAATTGCCTAAAAACCAGTCAGATTTTGCATTTTAATTTTTCCAGGTCTTCTGCTACCATTCAAACAGATAACCCACTCTCTAAATGAAAAATGAAAACCCATTAGATAATTCTGGTAAATATGCACTTCTTTTACTCTTCTTCCCCCTCCCCCCCCCAAAAAAAAAAAAAAAAAAAGACTTAGAAAAATAATATTTGTAATTTGTTATTTACATCAGGTGATTACTGTATGCCCTTAAAATCTCTTCTTTTCTGCTTTACCTGCATCATCAATACAATGCGTTAATTCAAATGTACACCATAAAGTTACTAAGGAAGCAACATGTTTTATTTGTTTCAGGGACTTGCATGTTATACAAATAATTAATTAGAAAAAAAATCAGTAATGATAAACAATTATAAATGGAAAATAGTGATTATAATTTGTTATTATATGCTTCAAATATTGTTAAAGATTCTCACTTGTATTGGTTCATTGTGAGCCACATACTCTTCAGGGTTCTTCAAAAATTTCTCTCTGTATTCAGGATTTGAAAAATAATAAATCTTTTCTTGATATTTAGCTGCAAGTTCAGAGAGTCCTGGATAAAGGACATAATTCTCTTTCAGACTGACTGGACAAAAGTGTTTTGTATCTCCCATGTGCCTTTTCTTTTCCTTAGCTTTTTCTTCATCCTGAAAAGATTATGAATTTTTTCAAAAATTGTTTAAGTAGTTCACTTGGATTAAGCAGATCATGTAGATTAGAACAAGTTATATCAAATGTGTCATCTGAGCATTGAATGAGAATGGTGTTCTCAAAACACTTTATAAGCTGAGTGTAAGTCTATGAAAATATGTACTTTTTAGATTCACTCAAAAAACAAAATATCCAATCTAGTGAGACAATTGTTGAGAAAAGGACCATGTTAATTTTCAAATGATAATACCATAGCCAGCTGTTGAATACCAAAATTAGGTTAGAAGTATCTATGATAATATCTTTTCCTGCAATGTTCCTGCAACTCACTTTCTGTTGCTTCTAAATGTTAAAAAGCAAGTAGACCTCTTTGGAAAATCAGTGAGAACTGGTAGTATGAAATCTATTTATCCAATAAAATGACATTCCAAAAAATATCTATTTAATACTGTTCCAGTACAGTATATAGATACTTTGTACTGTTAAATTTGGGAAATGACATATCTGAATATAGGATGAAAACTAAAGAAAGGTGAAGCCAGACCTCTAATTTAATTGAAATATTATAAATAGCTGAGATGATACAGAGGATTGTACATTAGGACTTTTAAATTGCATCTTTTGATACTTGCGTGATAGATCACAAAATCATTGCTGATTGACTGAAATTAAAGTTCTCATTTCCTTCTTTTTATAAAACCCCTCTATAGCATTAAAAACAAACAAACAAACAAAAACAACTAGCTACATTGATTCTATTAGCATGGGGTATTTATGCTTCCTGCTGGAATAAAACTACTATCAGCCAGAACACGGGAATACAATGAAACTGTTCTGGAAGCATGTGCTTACATTTATTCTTTAAGACAGCTGAAACTGGATCACACAAAACCAGGTGCAAAAACTGATTTCTATGGGATACAGCTCAAACTGAAAATAAACTAAAATCAGATGATAAATGGACAAAAAGAGCATGCTCACTTCTTCATCTTCATTTTCTTCTTCTGCAACTTCATTTTCTTCTTCAGCTTCCACTTCAGCAACCAGGTCTTCTGCTTCCTCATCTAAGTCTTCAGCAGATAACTCCCAACCATGATATTTAAAAGGTTCTGAAAAGGTTAATTCTCTTCTGTTTCAATATTTTTCATTTGGCTATGTTAAAATAAATTCTCTTTGTCCATAAAAGTAAGCACATATATGGAAGCAAATCATGCCAACTGTATGTTCCATTTCTCCTACTCATAGAACAAAATGTTCTTCCCAAACATATGAAATAAATATATATTAAGGTATTGATTCTTCCAAAAATTAAATTGCTATTTTTTTTTTAATTGAAGTAAATTAGCGTTGTCAATGGGATCTCCTAGTATGAAAGTATTACCTAGTATGAAAGTATTATACAAACACATGCAGATAGTGCCATTAATATGTGCAACAGTTTCTTTCATACTGTATATTGGCAAAAATCATCAGTCAAATTTTATTTGATTATAAAGCTAGCATAATAGGTGTTTTGTTTAACCTGAACTGGAGTAACTATAGGAAAAATATATTACTAATATTTACCCAGTACTCAAAATTGCTGGAGATTTGAGCTTTTGGGTGAAGAAAGTGTATTTGTCATAAAAATATTAACTGCAAAAATTCAGCCTTGAAACACAGTTGATGCAGGTGGGTAGATTATTACACACACTGAAAATCTCATTGACATAAATGAACATTGTACATTAATGAACCTTTATTATCTGTCCATTTCTCATACAGGTATCCTGGCACAAAAACACAGTGGAAATGACTAGGGAAATACAACATCAGAGTGTTTAGGGAACTATTTTGTATATATTTGTATGCCTGCATATGTATTTCAACTATATATATTCCCCACTCTTCCAAGGTCTGGAAAGCTGTTAGTGTGCTTTTCAGCTTACCTACATGTGCATAAGATAGAACTGAGTTTAACCTCTCCCCCATTCATCATACAAGCTCTCCAAAATCCATCTTGGTAAGTTAAATGTAAATCACATAAACAATATTACTTACCCTCCATAACCAGAACAACTTGATTAAGCAGACTTTCTGGAGTTTGCTCAGCAATCTCTAAAACAACAACCTGAACTTGAGATGACTGCTTAATTTCTGACTCCACTGTTTGCCAGTCATTCATGAAAAGGTTAATCTTCGTTTTAATTATTTCCATTTCTGGTATATCTAGAAAATCATCCTCTTCAAATGCAGGTAGCACAATTTCTGAAAATCAAATCATATATAGAAGGCAATGTTCCTCTAAAATATTTTGCATTTAAGTAAGTATCATTATGTTTTAAGATAATTTTTATTTTCCTCAGATATGGTGGTACAATTTCTCCCTGATGCTTTAATTTTTCTCTTCTAATTATAAATTATTATATTACTAGTTTAAGAAGATACTTTGAAAATGCCAGCTTCATTATGTTGAAGTACTAGATACTGATGCATCTCCAGGAATGCAGACAAGTTTCGATTACTTAATTAAATTTGCATGTGGTTATTTAAATTAGCACACATGCATATAATGGCTTTTTATGCATAGCAAAATACAGTATATATAATAATTTAAAATAATGATTTAATGATGAACAGTTTTTGACAGACAATCCATATGGTCATACCTCACATAGAACTTGTCAATATAGGAAGAAATAAAGAATAAGAAAACTAGCACACACTGCAAAGAAACTTAATGTTCTAACCTGGTTCAGGTTCAGTTACTAAAGACGTAGTGGATTGCTCAGGTTGCATGCTAGGTGTCTGTTCTTCTTCAAGTGGATTATGTTCTGTTTATGTGAATAAAAGTATAATGCACATTACTAGGTGTTTTTCCTCTCTTGCACAAGATGTCAACATATACATGTTAATAAATTAAACTTTCATTTCCTTAAATAGAGGTACATAAATATATAAAGATCAACATGCCAACATTGCTGAGAAATTAGAAAATTTAGAGAAGGGAAAAAAAGAGTCTAAACAGAGAAGTTCACTTCAGTGTAAATATCAAGGATATGAGGGTGCTATCAAAGACAGAAAGTCTAAATTGATAAATCCTAAATATGCAATATAAGAGTTATTAAACAAATTACAAATGACCCTTCTAACCATAACTAAAAAATGAGGCAAGACAGGTACACTGACATTATGATCCACCTTTTAAAAAATGATCTGTACTGGAAATGTCTTGATTCCTGAATACCTAAGGTTTAATCTCTGCAGGTACACATAACACCCTTTTGCTGTAACATGAAACAGAATCTGGGTGTTAAATAGCTTGATATTTAGATCTCTTTGTTTAGAGAACTGGAATACTTTCAATGTCACAACCAAATCTGTGACAGAATTAAGAGGGAATTTATTTCTGACTTTCAAGCCTTGTTTTGGCAATTTAATCACTAAACCAGGACACTTAGAAGTTATGAATCCATCTTTTCAACTGTGTATTGCTATTAACATACAGAAATTAACTCAGAGGTGATCTGCTACGTATTCAGAGACAATTTGGTCATGCATGTGTAAAGAAAAAATGAAGTTTAGCAGATAATATCATAAATTATGCACTACATATGAACTCAAAATACACAATATCATGAATATCATAATGGAACCTCTTCCAATTGTGGTGGTTTTACCGTGCTGGGCAGCTAAACCCCACAACCGCTCTCTCACTCCCCCTCCTTTAGATGAGGAGGGGGAGAAGTAAAGCAAGATGTATGGGCACTGTATGGGCTGCTGCCGGGAAAGTTAACATTCCAGCCAGACCCAGTACACCAATTTCAAAGAAAAAGTATTTTTCTCCTCGTTATGTTACTGACAATAACTATAAAAACAGAAAACAAAATAATGCTTGGAACATCTCTTTGTACTTCTTCAATTTTATAACTTGCTTCTAAATTCTACTAATTCTCATTTAGTTATCTGTTGATACATTTTGTTTGTTTTTTTATTCCCCAACAAAATGGATCAGTGTGATAAAATTACTGTGCTCACACACTGTCCCAGAAGAAACAGTTAACTCCCCTATTTATGCTACTGAATATGGGGAGAATATGCATGTATTAAGGGCTGAAGGTGTGTGTGTGTGTGCCCTCCCCAAATAAAGTAGTTGCATCACATTTGAAAGTCACTGTGCTATTTACAAAATTCTCAGAAACAGCTCCTCTTACACTACTGGCAAAACCCAGCAAGTAGCAGCAGCCTAGTTTTACTGTGTTTTTGGAGTGTGACTTAGTGTGCTGTTGTTCCCTCTGCACCTTCTCAGCTAAACACTTATAAGGATCTTAAGAATACTCTTAATTCTGCAGACAAAAGCATTTTAAGAAATGACTTATACCTAAACCAATGACCTACTGAACCCAAATACTGGTGCTATGAAACATTACAGATGTATGTACATATGGAGCAATTTTAAGAAGTGCCAATAATGAGATGCAAAAGTGTAACCCCTTTCTCTGGAGGCCAAAAACCATCTGTAGGTATACAAGGAAAAAGACTGTGAATGTAGATATTATGTGCCCAGACGATGTACTCTGGGACAAGGAGTACTATATTATTATTAGTAGTAGTATTTAATAATAGTTATTATTATTTAATAATAGTTATTATTATTTAATAATAGTTATTAATAAATAAATAAATAAATAATGAATGAATGAATGAATGAATGAATAAATAAGTAAAATTAAATGAAAAGTATATATCAAGGCTTCCCTCTGTGGAAACTTAAACTGAGGAACTCACAAAAAAATTAATTTTAATGAAGCCATGTCTGCATACAATAACACAGTTTAATGAGTAAAGGAAAAGAAAGACAATCTCTTAAATAACTTGTCCAGAATTGCAATTGTATAAGGTTGTCCAAGCCTGTCTCGTAACGCTTTCTCATGAAAAGTAAACAAAAGTTAGAAATTGAAAAAATTCATTGATTTAAATAAGAAATTCAAGGTACTATGCACGACAAACATGGCAAAAACTTCATGCATGGTGCTATACCAAATCTGTCACAGTGAGCAAAGTAATAAAGAGCGAGCTGCTTCCAACACCATCTATTTGCAGAAAAAGCCAGAGGTAATTAAAAACTTGTTGACAGTAGGAGAACACAGCAACAGAGAAGGAGAAACTCATTAGTTTGTAGGGCTGCATTTCATATCAATGTAGACCTTGTTAGGTCCTGAAAGTCCTGGTATGAAATTCTTTCTCAGCTAGAAGGTACAGAGGTGCCTAGATAGCATCATCACTTCCCTTTCTGTACTACACCACAGCCTCCAGCAGCTGCAGCGTGTTGTTGCTACTGTTCACCTTCCTCGCCCTCCTAGCATTTTCAGCCCTGATTTTCTTCCTTCTCCTATCATTTTTCTTCTGTATCCTGTTTAACAAGGCTGACATCACTCTCTTTAACACACAGACAGAAAAGAAGTTGAGAGCAATGACTGTAATGGCCTGATATTACTATAACCTTGCTGTATGCTGTGTTTGTCTCTTGCCAGAAATGAAGCTGCATGGAAGAGCTTGAACAGGGGACAGAGTGGTTTTCTACTTTGCCATATTTTTCCCCCTCTCCTTGCATTTCTGTCCTGTTTTGAGAGCAGGAACAGACTTTGACACAAGCAACATTAGGGTCAGCCAAAAAAAAAAAGGAGTATTACTAAACCTGAAAGACTTATCTAATGCTCTGTATGTTAAAAGCTTTGACCATTTTCTTAAAAATGCAGGGAAAACAGTGAAAAAGTGGTTTTTGGTTTTTGCTTGGTTAAAGGTTGACAGAATTTTATAGTTACCCTGACATAAAGCAGGCCAGTAGTCACTATGTGAAATTACAACAATGTAACTTATATTTTTTGTTTGCCCTAACCTGAAAACACACAAAAAATGTGTTTCTGGTTCATGAAGAGTGAGACTGCCCCATTATTGTTTTCTTCTTTAAGAAAATTAATTTCCTCCCAAAACTGAATGCTTATTTTTCTACTGTGAATTGCTGAAGAAATACACAAATGCCACATTATATTTTCCAAAATAGAGCCTGCTCAAAAAATTTTATTACCAAGTATGATGTAGGTGGATTTTGGTGATTAGATATCAGAAGTATATGGCAGGAAATAGGACTAAACATAACAGCAAGTGTGGAGATGCTGCCTAACTTTTCTCTAACATGCTACCAACTAAAGCAACATCCAGAAGTGTTAACAGCAGCTGAGATATGGGGCTAAGAGCGCCTGGCAGCCAGGGAACACATCTAACTATTTTTTTCTGACTTGCCTGGCTAAGCTACCTATGAAGCTATTATATCAAAGAAAGTATGAGTACTGCCTTCTAGAAGTAATCAAGTCTGTGCCCTGCCTCCAGTGAGTTAATTGCCGAAGAAATAGAAGTATTGACTCTCATTCTTTTGTCATCAGCCAAATTTAAAAAGATGTAAGCTTTCAGATACATTCCTCCTTCTGACATTCCTTCATGGCTTAGTAAGGTCAGCCCCTTCCTAGTTTGCTACTCGTGCCTGTTTCTATAGCCCTAAATTCCATATATGAAGGCAGGCATTTTAAAGTTCTGGGAACTGCAATGCCTACATCTCCTTACAAGTCTAGGTCTTCAGGTGTAGTCCTTTAGAATTAGAGTAAATTCCTAGATACTCCCATGTTTTTAAGAATTTTCTTCTTTCATTTACAGGGCTGAAGCTATTATTCACTCAATATCCCCATATACCTCTATTATATATATGATAAACAGATATTAAATATATCTGGCCATCTATGGCAATTTGCATGCAGGACAAGAGGGCCCTGCCAGTACTGACCATCTCCTGTTCCCCATCCCCTGGAATGCCCCAACCCTGCCGAGGCCCAAGGTCCCACATCACCCTGAGACCATCAGCTCTTGCCCCACTGAGGCTGCAGCAGAGCCAGGCTCCAGCTCCCCAGAACTCTGCCCTGCCTGGCCCCAGCTTCTGTCAAGCCAGGCCCACTTGTGGGCCCATTTCCTGGACCCAGCCTTGGCCTGTCCCTGTGGAGGCACCTGGTGACCTGTGGCTGGGGTTGCTCTGGTGCCCCTGGCTGGGGTATTGGGACTGGGCCCCGGTGCCATGGCCCTCTGCCCTGGTGGCTGTTTTGTACACTGCTCTCAGTTCCTGACACGCTGTCCCTAAGGTGAACGACAAAACTTCATTTTATTTGAGCTACTTTTCAATAACAACAGGTTAACAAAGAAGCATTTTGACGAGTATTTTTGTGATCCTTTATAGCAAAGAATAATTAATGCATTTCCTCTCCTCTTTTTACAGCTTTGAACAGCACATAATTGTTAGACTGACACCTCAGTGGCTAACCTTCCCTGCATTTGAGTGATTTTTAGTCCAAAAGCACAAACGGGCATATAATTAAGCAGAAACAGCATGCAAAATTCACGTAATTTAATCTTGAATTAGAAATTAATTATTTTCTTGAAAATGTTTATAAACATTTTCTTTTTACTAAGCTAAACATTCATCTCATCGCATTAGTTATCCTCAGCAATGGCACTGCTGTCTCCTGTGATTCTAAATAGGAACATGAAACTACCTTCCTTTTTTATGTACATTAAAATATGTTGTATAAATGCCACAGTTAATTATGTTTCAGTCTACAGTGATGTATTCCAAATGAGACAGACATCTAGCCAAGTAAAACCCGTATAAATCTGGGCAGCAGTAATGCATTATGTAATGATGATTCCATTAGGAACACAGATATCAAGAAAATAAGCAAAGGATACAGTAATAACTAAGTTACACTAACTGTTTTTTGCACATTATCCCTGGCACATTCACACTGTAGAAATCACATGTGCTGCCTTGTGAACCGCAGACCTATTCAAAGCAGTAATGTATGGAAGATGGTAATGCGTATTGTCTAGATCTAGCATTTGACAGAGCATCTTTCAGAGTCCTGCCCTTTAAAAACTTCTCAATTGTGAGTAGGTCATGAAATTTTGAAAATACACAGGCAGAATAATGGATTTAAATGAATATGTGGCATCATCTGAGACAGCATATTGAACACGGTAACAAATCCACTCAATAGAGGTCTTCCCACATGAACCTTAATCTCAGGAACACTCACAATTCATGCTGTACCTTTTCTGATAGGCTACATTTATCAAATGATGATAAGCAACTTTGATGTTCCAGGTCTGATTCACTACTCTAGATACATAATTCAGTCATATTACCTCTACCAGAGAGTTTTCTTGCTTAAGGAATCTTATTCAACAGCAATTGTTGCATACTTGGGGAGTTTTTAATAGATTATGCAGGCAAATCGAAGAAATGTTTAAAAGACGGGAGAAGTAACAAAAGGAAAAAAAAAAAAAAAGATTACATTCCTAGGGAAAAGGGACAATCCCAAAACCTTACAACCCAAATATTATTTTGTATTGGCTCTGGTATTTCAACATCATTATGATAAAAAACATTGCCTCCCTGACATTTGGCTTTTCTCAAACTCGGTCTTGGGGACCCAGAATACCAGAGAATAGTTTAGTAAGGCAACTGCACCTTTGCTATTATATATGAGTTACAACATTGTGCTTACAGAGGTGATTCACTGTGCGAAAAGATTTTTGAAGAAAGAAATATAATCAAGAAAAATATCTTGAAAAGACAGTAATGACTTAAAAATAACTGGATCTAAAAATCCAAACACACTTCCTGCAGAGTAGGTATCAGTCAATCTAACCATGCTGTTCTTAATCGGTTTCTTTTCTTCATAACTGAGGTGATAGGAGACAATCCCCCACACCCCTAAATCCGGAGCTTTCACGTGGCATGTCTATACCACAGTCTCTCATATTCTTTTGCTCTGTGTCATTTTTGCTTTTACTGAGTGTAGTTACCATAGAGACAAACAATCCTCAAAGGCTTTCTGCCCCCACATTCTCCAAGTGAGTTACTGGGGAAGGAGAGGCTTTAATGTATTTTTACAGTGTTCTGCTGGTATTAGATATGACTTGTTCTGCCCTCAGTCCATATTCAACGACAAAAAAGATGAAAAAGTCCTTCCCTCTCCTCAAACCCTGCCAAAGCTGAGACAGAGAGAACAGAAGCTAACATGGCTTCTTCGTTAAGGGTTTAACCATCAAAATAAACAGACAGGCAAAATGTGGGATAACAGCGACACTTTCATTCCTTGAAATTGATACACATTTCATTATGAACATGTTTTCATTTGTCTTTTTGAAACAGATCCTGTAGTTTGTTTAATAAAGACTTTTTATTACTTATAAATATATGCTGCCAAATAATTTTGAGCTAATTACAGTGAAATGCACTTAGTAGGCAACCTTATATTGTGTGTACTGAATCATGGTGTTTGGTAAAAAGCTGTTTAGTCTACAGATCAAGTTGACTCTTTCCACTGCATAAGGATTGAGGTGACGCAAAAAGCATAAAAATGTACATTTAACATCTTTCTATTTAACGTTAAATGTTTTATGTTGGATTTATTTGTCTCTTGGACTTCAATATATTCTAAATCTTCTAATAGCTAAAATCTAAAACGTTAATTTTAAATACTAAAAAGGACCATCCTCATTAAAGACAAGTTGCCTTCAAAATATTTTTTTGAGAGAAAGCTATGATATTATTTCTTGTTTATTTTCATTAGGTAATGGCTCTATGGCATTCCACATACTGTAGAATTGTGCCTTCTACCAAAAAGAAGAAAATACAACTCCATGGGAAAACATGAAACAGGACAATGTATGATTAGCAAGAAACAGGACATATTCCCATTATTTACATCCAAAGTTCAAATTCATCCATTTCCATTTTTTTCCAAGATTCCTTGCTGCAGAGAATGGATTAGTAATTTCAGATTAATGTGGATGTTTATATTAATTTGAAAGTGGTCTGTAGAACTGGGATTTGTTAAGATCACATGCAGCTATTTGTGAATACTGGAGTTTGTTTCCTGGTATGTTTTTAAAATTCCCTCATGCTCCTCTCTCTCTCTCTCTTTTTTTTTTTTTTTTTTTTGTCACAATTCATGATAGTGACTTTCTAATATATATTTTTTTCTCTTCTAATTTCCCTCACTTATCACTTCATCCTGTAAAGAGCACTCATTGGTTTCTGAAGAAGTTAACCCGGAATTTCATCAAGCCTCACTTTACTTGTTATTTGTATAGATCCCTGTACACATTTATTAATTTGGCATTTAGACTGGACACAGCAATGGAAATAGTGGGGTTTTGTTGTTTTTCAAAATGCATAGTACCTGGTACATTATTTTTAGCAGGAAATCACTAAATGCCTTTAATTGCATTTACAAATGTTAAAATGACTTGAACTTGACTATTCCATTATAAACTTTTTTTTTTTTATAAAAAAAAAAAAAAGAATTATATTTACAGCTCATTTTTCAAATATAGTAAAAACTTTCAGAAAATGATACAATTCATGATACTAACAAGTAAGAAAGAGAGATTATATATGCTACAAGGCCAACCTGTATGATTGGATTCTTCTTTATGACCAGCAGAATCACCGGACTGTTCCTGAGACACTTGTTCAGTTTCAGGTGGAAGCCGCTCATCATCGTCCTCAGATTCTATAGGCACAGAAGTAACTTTATTCATTTATGTTCATTAGTAACTTTAGCATACCCATTGATGGTTGATTGAGGCACTAGAGAAATAAAGGTATTTTTGGATCACACTGCAAAACTTACATTTAACCACCAGCAAAAGAAGTGTTTGTTCCTTTGATGCTTAGGTACTGCATACTGAACAAAACAGCTTACAATCAGCTACTTGATCTGTGCAGAAAGGCAGACTATCTATCAGATGCTACAATACTGTGAAGCGGAGAAGAATAGTACTTAGTTCAGTGCTTTCATGTAAGAATATTTTAAATTCATTATAAGCTACGTGATCTGTGCTCAAACTATGCTCAAAAACATGACCTTGCAAAAGAACAAACTCAGTGTTCTACAGATCAGCTCCTGTTGGATGGCAGTGCTTCTGACTTGAAGGGCTTGTGTACCTGAAGGCTGGTATAATTTTTCTGACTATATGAGTTGGTTAATAATAAATACCACTTTTTTCTACAAGCCTTGTTCTGCTTATGCCCTTAGTAGTAAAACACCATTAATATATCTAAACATATTATGACTACCCAAAACTGAAATCATATTATACAAGGATGTATTTTAAAATCTGAAGTTATGGCATTTATTTTTACATATATCTCTTTTTTTGGCAAATTGAATTTCTGATTTATGCAGTATCAGTAAGATTTAAATTTCTCATAAACAAGCATCTTCTTATATAGTTAGCAGACAAAACCCCACAGCCTTTAGCATGTGTCAAAGCAAGAAAATTCTTCACTTAGTCTAATTCTTTATTTCCTTTTGATATTCACAGGAATGTAGTCCAACAAAATGAGTTTTGATGCTCTGTATTAAAGAAATCAAGAGTTCGTAATATGCACAAAGAGGAGAATGACATGCAGAAAAATATGTGCAAAATGGAAGATAATTTGTGAAGGCTGTCATTGTGCAAACCCTCACATGCATACATAACAAAATCACAGACAGTCCTTAAGGTATTGGAAATAGCTGTGGCAGAGAAGCTGAGCATGTCTGATTTTCACAGTGTGTCTGAGTACTACAGAGATTTCATTTACAAGATTGGTGCTGAATGGGAACAAGAAAGACAGACAGACTTTAAACAAAGCAAACAGAGAAGATTTTTTCTTATAGATGTGCAGAAGCTGACAAGAGCTTTTCTCAAATCGTAGGCTTTCATTCTTTTTGCTGAGAAGAGATGTATAGTTGTACTAAACCAATATCCCTTAGCCTTTTTTTCTTCTCTGAATAAAAGGCCAAAAACTTTCAAAACTGAAGATATTTGGTATTTAACTGATAAGCTGTTCAAAACCTTTCTGCTTGAAAGTCTGGAATTCTGCCTAAAAAGCTGTGATTATGGGCATTAGAATGTAATTATTGTCTGGCTTATGAAGGAGACCAGAAAGTGGCTTTGAAGACCATGCAATAATGCTCAAAGACTGAACAAACCATTCCTGAGAAGATAATATCACTACAGCTTGCTTTGAAGTTTGTGGTACAAGTAATTTGCTATTCCCTTGTCTGCAGATTAATAAACCTTCTTTCTTCAATTTCTGTTCTCGCTGAAAAGCTTCCAGGTAGAGGTAGAAAAAACAAACAAACAAGAAGATTGGATTGTAGTTACACGTCCCACTGAGATACAGCAGCTGAGGCATACACATGCATTTGTTCCTGTCCAGTTTGCTCTAAGGAAGGGATAATCTCTGGCAGAAAAGCAGGGCTGACAAATAAAGGACAGAAGATAGTCTTAAACCATGACAGCTGCTTACTTCAGTGGACAAGATCAATTCCATCCAAGACAACGCCAGCTTTTATCTCAAGAGTATTGGAATGATCACCCAGATCATTTGAAGCTGTATAACTCTTCTATATTCTCATGAAGTTATATAGCTGTCATATGGTATAAATAAATCCATACTCATGCAAAGCTGCTAAAAAATAAAGACAATTAAAAAAAAACCTCTTGAAAATAATTTAAGCTCGGAATAAGAAACCTGAAAAAGATATGGGGCTATAATTTGCAGCTAGACACTACAAGAGGTCCTATGTAAATTTTTTTTGGCATACCTTCACCAGACATTTTCAGCATTGAACTTAGCTTCCTAACCTAATTAAATATTTTTGATAATTCAGCCAAAAAATTTCCCTATGTACTTTTAATTTCATTAGGAGACATGAAAGTACATTGCTCATTACTAGAATATTTTTTTCCTTTTAAACACAGATAATATTATAAATTTGAGTATGTTCAGTCCTGAAGCAATTCCCATTTAATTCAACACTAAGGTAACAAAGATTGCAGTTACTGAAATGCAACTTATTTATGTGACACATCAAAGGAGCATGACTGGGGCTCTGCAGTGTTTTTCTGTGTTGTTTTTTTTTTTGTTTGTTTGTTTGTTTTGTTTTTTGAGTTCTCATTTTACTATCATAACTGCTATAAAAAAAGCACTGTGAACATATAATCAATTTATATTTTTGTAAAGACGTCACATGGCAAAAAAGCTGCAGTCAGTGTGCTGATGGCACTACATGTGAAATAAAACAGATGTCAAGCTAAGAGCAGCATGACTGAAGTGGTTTTGGTGAGTCAGTGTTTGATTATTGAAACCAAACGTAGGCGTAGGAAAACACGATTTCCCTGAACAAGGACTTATCACGTGTTAATAGCACAAGTGTGTGTGTGACATTATTTCTTCTGTCATTAATAATTGTTGTTTTGATGTACTCAGATAAAAATGAGTTATATATTCAAAATTAAGATGAACTTTGTAGTTTGAGAGAAAGAATATGGTATGTCTGTAGAACACTTTATATTTAATACTTTAGAACCCACTCACTTTGGAGAACAGCTATCTGTTTTATTTGAAAATTGAAAATTTAATTGAAAGAACAAAGCTTGAGTATTTGTCAAGGAAAGGTAAAACGTTACCTAATAAAAAATTAAAAACAAGTTACCAAATTCAGTGTATCCTATACTACCTTTATGTCTTAGTCCTTTTTATAGACAGATAAAATAAATACCACACTGGATAATGAAAGAGTGTATGAGGCATATTGACAAAATAGAACATAGCTTGGTCACAATATCTTTTGACAGAAACTAGTATATTATACTTGAAAGTAAGACAGAAATGGAAGTCTAACCCCTATAGCTGTGAAGGGAAAAAAGAAAAGAAAAAAAAAAAAGAATATTAGCATGTATGTCAATTTTTAATTTCTGATCCAAGCTGTAGGGTATAATTTAGGCTGCCATTGAGCTACCTTCATACCCCGTAGCAGAAGCAAATCCCCTGAAGTCCCCAACCTGGTTCTTAATGTAGAAAGAGATACTTGTGCATTGTATTGTGTGAAGTACATTGTACTTCATCCTGACAGCAGACTTAAATCAGACAGCAACAATCTTCTAAGAAAGTAGGCAGTGACTGAAGAAGGTAAAAAGGAAGGTTCAACCTTACAATTTTTTTGACCACTGAGATTCAAAAATGTTGAAACTAACCAGAATTAATTTTAAATCTTGACCCAACTGATAGAATTGTCTGAGGAGCAAAATTCCAACTGGTTTGTGACGGTTAGCCTGCCCTCAAAACCAGGACAATTATATTCTCTCTTTTTTTATTTATTTTATTTTATTTTATTTTTTTTGAATCCTGATTATTTAATCAGAACAAAGATAACCCTGACTTGGTTCCTCTCGGGGCCATTGGAAGAGGAGTCAACCAGGGAGGCTCTCCCTGCCTATGAGGGCGTGAGACTCATTAAGAGATGCCAGGAAAAGCAGTTTGGGACTGTGAGAGACTCATAATATTATCGGAGGCATTTCAGAAAAGGACCACAGGCAAGGAGAAGAAGGGAGCAAAGTGGACTGTAGAGGAACAAGTGTAGATAATAGAGGGAGAAGAGGATGAAAGGAAAATTGGGAATAAATGCTCAGACTTGTTACTGGCTGGACCTGGGGACACAGAGCTGCAGCAGCCTTGCCTCTAATGGCATATGGGATTCATCAATTTGTAATATAAGTTGCTACTGTATTCAGCAATCCTTAACACATGTTAACAGTGCCACTCCTGAAGTAATTTCCATTCCCCTTTAATTGTTTCAGGCTGAGCTTCTTGGAGGAAAACACATCTTCTGACAGTCTTGCGATTTTCTGATTAGCCATTGGCTAAATTCTAACAAAAATTTCTAATTTGTGAGGGGGATGCAGATTTTTTCATGAGTATGAAGTTTCAATACAGTTAACAACCCACTTAGAAAAGTTACTAGAGAGGAAATAAAGAGTTCTGCCCTTCAGATTTATTGAAAACCATAACTGTGCTGGCTGATATAATAAACATCTTTATTCTGCAACATCCATTAAGAATGCCACATAGAAATATAGGCCTGAATCAGTGAAGGAAGCAAAGAAGTCATTTTTCCAAATGTTGAATGTAAAAAGAAATTCAAAACTGTAAAATCTGCATAAGCACCAAATTCCTAAATCATTTGAAACACATACATGGATAAAATAAAGGTTGAATGATACATACTTTCACCTTTCTCCTCAGCAGCTTCTTGAGACTGCTGTTCTTCTTCTAGTGTCAGTACCTCTTGCATTTCTCTTCTGTGAGTAAAAGATAATTCATTTTAAAGATTTATACAAATATAAACATAGCAAATTGCAAATTATTAAATGGAAGTAAATATGTGGAAAAATACTGTTAAGAATTGAAATATAATTTGGTTCATACATGTATCATTGTATCATACTTGTATCGTTGTCTCAAAAGGCTGGGCTAGTAGAAGGCTAATGAAAATGCATTTAGCAAGATAATCTTCTGCCACCACATGTATCGATCTAAATAAGATAACCCTTGAAGTTAACACATACTGGGTTATTTTATATCCATCAGGTCAAAGCTTAATGTGCTTTTTTATTAAATTTCTGTTGATTGATAAATGCACTGATAACGTTTAACTCAAAGTAAGGCTAGAATTTTCTTGTGAGCACTTTATATGTTTAAATATTTAGTATAATTTACCTTGCTGCTGCTGCTGCTTCTTTCTTTTCTAATGCTTCATCTTCTAGTCTTCTCAATATCTTTGAATTAATTTCATCTTTATTTGCTAAGTATGTTCTGCGTAGTATACAGCTGCCTGCAGTACAATTATGCAACAGTAATTAGTTTTGTGCAGCTGTATAAAACTAAAGCTGAGTTAGGAAAATTATTTAACAAATAATAAACAATTTTCCTACTTCTTTTTAAAGCCCAGAAAAGGCATATATACCACTGAAATGTTATTATAATGTTTTAGAGCTTTGTTTTCAACTTCAAGCATCTAATAAACTGACACTGGGATATTGGAAGGCTATGATGAAGGCTATAAGGAGAGAGAACACTGAAATGATTTATCTTATATTTCCATGTATCATGCATTTCTCTGGCATTTATTTTGTTTGGATGTGCACAAAGAAAACTATGAAAGAACAAATGAAAAACATTCAAATAAAAATTTAAAGCCTGTGCATACCTGTACTGCTACAGCTGGTTGACAGAAAGGAAGAAATACACTGTTCCTACTAGGAATTTCAACTGATTTATTTACTTTGGCAAATAGATTTATGATACATGGCCGTGTGGCCGAAATCTATTTCCAACAGTTGAACCATGCTAGTTTAGGCTACCTCAAGGAATAGCTTACAAAGTAGTGACTCAAAATGCTATGTAAACCTAGTACCACATTATTATTTAGAGACAGAAATATGGGAATCAAATAAAGAGTTCAGTAATAAATAAATTGTCCAAAGGGGGGAAAAAAAGAATAAATAAATAAAAAAAAAATTGCTAAGTTCAAGGAAACAGCCATAAACAAAAAGTTACACTCGCAAACAAACCTTCTAGCAGACATTATGGACTTGCCTCCTTCACCTCACCTTATCGATACTTATTCCTCCCAAATCTCATGTGGTCACTATTGTCAACTCACATAGAATTTATTTTTAAGCAAACTCAAGCACACGTTATTTAACTTTTAAGAACATTGAGCCTGTGTCAATTTGAAATAGATGATAATTTTGTGTGAATGGTACATATTTGAAATAGATTCTCTTAATTAATATATATAATTCTGAAAAATGGAGGGAGAGTAATGGGATTTTTTTTTTTTTTATGTAGTTTGTGAACTGATATTTAGATAATTCTGTCTGGATATTCTTTTGCAAAAAGGTTGTGAGTTTTCAGTGGCTTTGTCTGGTGGCCCAGATATGTACTTCCCCGACTTTGTGTCTTCTCACAGTGTTATGAAAAGCAGCAATGCCAAACAGCATTAATTTAATAAATTATTCAGAATCCAAATTACATTGAACTATAGTGAAGCAGCTTTAATTACTGAATCAACCTATGGAGAACATCTAGAGGAAACACAATTAGTATACTATCTATGATTCTACGATTTCAACCATTCTTTCTTCCTTATATACCATCATGTGTTGTTTCTCACTTAAAAGATCAATATTATTACATTTCATAAACGATTTCAGTATCACTTGATCAAATTGAGCAAGTGACTTATAAGCATTTATAATAACAGATAATAAATTAGCTAATTTCCAAGTGGCTGACCTGAGAATATCAACCACTAGTATTAACCAGAAATGAATTTGCTAACGGAGCAGGTTTGTAGGTAGCTGATCTGATTCTGGTTAAAAGAACAATGTTCTTGAAGTGTCCTGTTTTAATGCAATTTAAAGTCTTATGAAAATCTCTATGCCAGCATTACATTTCCCTTGCAGTATAAATACTATGTCTTGCATTCAATTTGCACAGGACTGGTTTCAAGCTGAGACAGTAAAAATATATATTTTATCATTTAAAGTAAGTTAATTCATTTCCTCCCACCTGAGTGAAACTCAGGAAAAAAAAAAAAGACATTCATTCATATGAAAGTCTGATACAGTACCAGGGATAAAATTAGTGTACAGTCTCATTATCATCTCAAAAACATTAAAAATGGGAATGGTGATTTCCTTCTAAGCTTGAACTCTACTTAAACTTAGGACCAAATGGAGTGCAATTAAGAAAGAAGTCTTTATTCCTATGTAATATAAAGATTATGACAGTGTTAGTTCAAATAGAGGTAACACTGGTGTTGTGAGCATAAAATCTAAATTTCATGAAGATCTGTCTCACTTCTAGGTGGAAAGACTTAGGTTTAGGCTTTAAAGAATCTTCCAACTATCTGACTATAAAAACAGAAGGTAATTGCATGGAAGAGGTGGCTACCAAGAGGATAAAACAGATTGTCCAGATCAGAACAAGTGATCCAGAGATAAGTTTTGAAAACTAGTGGCAGTGTCAGAAATGTGTGCATTGAAGACCCTAGAGCGGTCTTCATTTGAAAGCCTCTGTTATGGACTTCAAGTTTTTCCCTTCCACAATGAAAAAAAGGGGGAAATTATTATTGATGAGTTTCAACATGGTTCCCATGAAGAATTATCTACTCCTAAAGTGGCTGACCTATAATAAAGATTATAGACTAGACAACCTTTTCTTTATCCAGTTAATTCACTAATTTCTTAACTTGCTCTTCACTTGTCAGAATTTGACATAGTTCTGAAAGCACCTACCCCACCTCAGTCCTTTCCCTGCAGAAAAGGCTAGAACTTGACTCCTGCTGTCTATTATTTAGTATTAACTAACATACACCATGTTAATATATCACAGTATTGTTGTGTTTATTATTGTAAACAAGACACCATATTAATATCACATTGCTACATACCAACTACATGCATTAAGGTGTTTTTTGTGGTAGGAAGAAATGACAATGCACAGCATTCCAGAAACAAGGTTCATGACCATTTTAATATTCTTGAAATTTCTGGGAGGCAAAGATGAGGCATGGAAATGCAATGTATCCTTAAGCTCTTTCTGGAACTGCCCAAGATGAGCTCTTCTTAAGTGACAGGAACAACAAATATGATTTTTTGACAAGCAGTGGATCTAGAAATTTCTCATAGAAATCTTCATCCCGTTTTAAGTATGTATTCAAGCTCCAGCCACATTTGACTTTTCGTTAAGATGTTTAAGTTACAAAATTTCACAAAGTCATATAACCAAGTAGTTTGGGTACTTAGATGATTAGCTGATCATCTGATCAAGATGACATGCTTCTGAAAAGCCTCTTTTTTAAATAGGAAAGCTGCTCTACATAAACTATATAAGCAATGTTTGTTTTTATATTCAAGGACAAAGGATTTTGACTGATTTTAATATCAGTTACTGAGGTTTTTTGAACCAAGTGTTAATAGACGTTCCTTTATTGAGGGGCAGTTTCTACTACTGAAAAACATTTTGATAAGAAACTGGGTTGAGCAAGTAATGATTATATATGATTGTCACAGGACAATGAAACCTGCTGTGTAGTATGAATCAATCAATCGATTAAGACATGATTTGGCAAGCAAAACTGTTAACAATGTATGAATCTGTTTCATTTTTCCATACCTGGTACCAACCTTCCTTCTTGTTTGAAAGCCTGAAGTAAAAATTCCTTCCTCTGCATTCATTGATATCAAGCTATTGTATCAACCTGGCCAAATAGTTCCTTAAATTTCTTTGTCCTCAGGATGGGGAACAAGGTACATCTGCATATAGGTACTCCCCACTTTTCTCTTAAGCAGAGAAAGTTCATAAGTTATAATCTGATTTTGCAAGCAGGGAAACCAATGAACAGGCAGGGAAATTTGAGAGCCACATTAGAAGCTAGCGGTCAGCCAGACATGGAATACAGAGTCTGCAAGACAAAGTCTGCAGGAGTCCAGTGTTATTTACTAGTATTACTGATTGTAAGTAGGAGGAGAATGTAAATAGGTTTGTAAATAGAAGGTATTTACTGCTTTGTAAAGCATTCCTCTTTTCAGTTATCTTAATTCCCTTAATCTAAACCATAAGAAATTTAGAGTACCCTTGTTGATCCACTAAATCCTTCCTTCTCTGTTCACTTTCTACAGACTCCCAAAATTTGTAAATAGAACATAACTGCTGGGTTTTCTTGCAGGTGTGTTTTATCTACAGATATTTATTTTCAACACATAAAATAGAAAAGGTTAAGTTCCATTAGTGTGTATTTACTAACCATCTTTTTCTGTATCCTGCAGACAGACAACAGTGTCAGGTAAAAGTCCTTTTTCTGATAAAGCTGACCAGTGATCTTCTGACAAAGGGTAATTATCCACTACCCATCCTCCTTTTTCTGGAGCACCAGGATACCTGTCTTTGTTCTGCTTCGTGAGCTGTTATGAAATGTTCATTAACGTAAGGTTAATTAACATTAACATTTATGTTCATTAACATAAAAAGACTAAAACAGCTTGTGATATGTTTAAAAAGAGTGTGCAATACAAAATAGTTTTCTAAATGTTATCACTCTTTCCCTATTATAATTTCATGTTAATAAAAAGTAAGACATTTATAACTTTACATATCTGAATGCAATAAAAACATTTTGAACAAAGAGAGATGAATGTGTCAGTAATTTTTAGGGCTGCCTATAAACAATTTATATTCCAGGTTCAAGATTTACAAAACAGTGCATAAATTTAAAACAGTTCATGATTCTTGGATAAACTTCCAAAGACAATTCTTTAACAGTGACTAAGAGTGTAACAATGTACTTCTTCAAGATATTTCTCCTTGTCTGTAATAGTTTGTATCAACCTTCAATAGATTTGTCTTTCATGACCTTGCTCAGTCTATCATCAATCATATGTAAGCTTTCAGGCTGTGTGATATGAACTAGACTGATCTTTCAAATTGTAAAATTAAGAATATATGTATCAATAATCTATGAACTGTTAGAGGCTGCTCTTAGAAAGAAAGTGCTTTGCTATGCAATACTTGTAGGTTTACCTCTGCAATAGCTCTCTCCAGTGTTTCAGCATATATTTCAGGTGACAATATAACTTCAGATTCTGATGCACTTTTTACAGCTTCTTCTACCATCGCTTGAACTTCTGGGTGGTCAGCAGTTATCTCTGACATTTCTAACAATATAGATTTTATTTTAAGGACATCACAAATTCCTAAAATACGTGTTTCCTCTAATCAGGAGCAACTGCTTGCCAACTAAATTAAGCCACTGTATAGGTACAGCGTAGCAGTCATTTTAAGCAATATTACACAATGATATTGAAAAAGAATCAAATAGCACTCCCTCTGAACACATTTCCAAGGAATATCTTAAAATTTAAGTTTTAGGATCTTGATTTGCTGCTCTCTTATTCAAAAAACAAAACCAAAAACTTTTAACTCTACAGTGTATTCTACTGCTAAATGAAGTATTCTTTCAATATGAATGGAACAACATTTAGTATACTAGAAATATCAGGCAGCTGCGGCATCTGAGAATTTCCTTTGATTTGATTTCTCTTTGATTCTTAAATCCAAAGGTTGATCAGATTGATTTAAAAATTAATACAATGTGTAGTTCAAGACAGTATATCATCAATAATCAAGAAGCCTGCGTTCCCTAATATATACAAAATACTCACATTAGATTCATATTATGTTAATAATTACTGATACAATGAACTGTAATTACTTACAAATTTTTTAAGAAAACATTCAGAGTTACTTCACAATTTACATACTAATTTGATAAAATTATAGCATAGTTTGTTAAAGAACTGTTCTTGGTAACTGCAGTACTGTTATGTGAGGAGTATAATTAGCAAAAATGTCGTATTTGCTTTGTTTAATTATGCCAATATTTTTCAGTGATTGTATTGATATTTTTTACATGCACAAATATACACATTACTAGTTGCTGTGTTTTTTTTCTTCTTTTTTTTTTTCCCCACAAATTACAAGCTCCATGGGAAAGAGATAATAGCTTTCTAAGTGTTTCTATTCTGAAAACAAAAAAGCAAACAAAACCCACAACCAAACGGAAAAAAACTATAAATAGACTTTACACTTATTGTAGCTACAGACACTATATTCTATTTCCCCACATTCAGAAAATGCTATTTCTTCAGCGATCTCTTGAACACCTTTTGCTATTAAAGAACACCTTGAAAGGAAGATCATGACTGAAGGAACAATTGTTTTCCTTTCAAAAAGGCAAAGGAACTTGTAAAAATTACTTCACTTTCCATGTTTATTTCATTTCCATTTTAGATCCTTATAAATATATTTAATAATGTCCATTACTAATTGTATACACCTAATAATCCATTTTCATCACTTATGACAAAATGTCAGTCTGTTCTGTATGAGAATAAATCCTAGTATTTGTAAACCACGTCAGGCTTACAAACTGTTTTCATTTGTTTATTTTAGTTGTCATGAAAAATGAAAAAATCATGAAACTATTTTCATTTTGCTTATTTGTTTATTTCAACTAATTAAAACACAGCATGCTTTTAAGTTTCTCATATTCAAGTGGCAAAAAAATTTAATTCTTGAATTTAGATCCTTTCTTTCTTCAGTTAGTTTTGTGTGTGTGTGTGTGTGTATGTGTGTGTGTGTGAATGTACACTTGTTCCCTTATCTATGAAAATTTTCTGAAATGAGTTTATGCTATAAAAACACAAAGTGTAATTAAAACACCAAATTTAGCTCCTACAAAAATCAGTGGGAATTTTTTCCCTGTATAGTGAGATGGTATTAATGAGTTAACTAACCTAGATATGTTTTCAATTACAAAATTAACCATTTCATTTTGTTTCTTAAAATCATAGTATCAGCAACAGGAAAAAAAAATTAAGATAGTCCTACAAGTGTAAATAAGAAAAAAAGATTATCTTTCACTTTTTAATTTCCAAGACACAGTGAAGGCCTGGAGTGCCATGCTTAGAGTAGCTAAGATTTACTTTTTACCTTCTTGGATGATGTCAGATTTTACCTCACTACCCTCTTCTTCCAAGTTTATTTCTTCTCCCATTTCAGTGGTTTCTTCAGAATCATCTGCTTCCTCGATACTACTAAGTTCCTTCAAGTCTCCTATAGTTATGAAATCATAATAAAGTCATGAAAAAACAGGTAAGTAGAAAATCATTTTATACAAATACTTCACCACTAAATCCATCTGACTAAAACATGCCAGCTTTCCCTTCATGAACTCCAGCCTCCCAGTCTGTGAAAGCCCCCAAACAACCTTTTAGGAATTGTAAGCACCTTTTAAGCCCTGGCAATGGACAAGACTTGTACCCATCAGAGACACAAACAGCTCTCTAGCAGTATCATTTGTCTATATGCCTGTTTCTCTCTTTAAGAGAAAGATCAGAATTACGACAAAACACAGAAAAGAGTAAAAAATACATACATTCTGAACCCTTCTTCATTTCAACAGGTTTCTTACCCCCATACCTGATCCCCAAAACACAACAGTGTGGTTCTGTTCGAGCTAGATGTCATCCAAGTGCATTAAAAGACTAGGACTTTTTGTTTAAAGATATTAAAAGAACATGTTATTTTAATTCAAAATATTTCCACACTTCATCAAGCTGCAGAAACTTGGGCAGCTGAAAAAGTATAGGTATGGCCAGATATGCAGAATCTTGTGAATGTGCAATCTGAGACAGCATATTTGGAAGGCTTCCCTAAGGTGGAACATCTGTAGTTCATGAATTTACACAGGTGTAGCAGACTAGCTGCTTTTTTGAAGAAAAATTCAGTTTTGAAAAGATTTAACTTTTCAGAAAGAAACTCAAAGGGAACGATTCCAACCAGTATGAATCAGAATCAACTTCTTCTTTCAAAAGGAGCTCAGAAAACTTTCTCGTAATATGATTCTCAACTTCCGAATATTTATATGTAATACCAAAATACTGAGCTCTACTTAGATTCCATTCACTTCATGTTCTTTTGATTTATATAATATACACATTAGACACAACAACTTCTGTAATATTTTGTGAGTAACTTAGAGCATTTCTCAGTGACAATTGTTTCCATTAGATAACCTAAAGCAATGATAACTTCAAAGACCACAGAACATCTTAATCACCTGGCTCTTTCAACTGTTTTTCTGATTCCAACCTATCTTTCACTGCTTTTATAGCCTTTTCTACTGTATCCCTTCGCACTTGCTCGATGTTTTGTTCTCTTGATTCTTCTATGTGGAGCTGAATGAGTTCCGTCATATCAAGAACCTAATGAAAGTACATGAAAAAATAATAATTAATGAAGAATAGACATATAGCACCAGATCTAACAGCTACACAGTGAAATAAATTTGGAAAAGTTCTGCAAATTTCAGAAAAAAATACATATAATTCAGTGAGTTATTCGTGTGTGTGTCTAAAATACTTTCTAATTTGTGATTACATCTAATTAGCTTAGGTGCAACAGATAGTCAAAATATTTTTATGTTAAGACAAATAACTGACACAAATATTTGTCTCACATAGAGGAGAAGTAAAAGAGCATTTTTTTGGAAGTTAGCTACTTTTATGTAAATGAATTTCACTTAACTACTATTTTTGCATAGTATGTATGCTTGCAGTATGTTTGTTAATATTTGCGGTATGTATGTTAATGATACAACAGAAATAAGAATGTTTTTAACTGACTTACAAGCCTCAGCTAACACTCGTATTATATAAGGTATTTATTAACCTACCTTTCCTTTATATTTGTTTGCAATTAGGTTACAAATAGTTGTTCTTCCGGAAAATGGAGGGCCAAATACTAGTACTTTACAAGGAGGAATTGGCATTGGTGGTAATAGGTAAGGCCGTGGATTCAACATGAATTTTTTCAGTGCCTCTGGGGTTGACAGTACATACATTTTACCTAGAAAACTTAAAACAGAAGAGAAGCTATCAATTTAGACAGTTGTCTTATAAAACAGAAATAAAAATAAGAAGTGCCAAAATCCACTAACCTGACAGCCAATTCTGGGTCTCCCATTACAATATCACCCTCCTTCAAAGCCACAGGACATGCTTGTCCCCATCTGCTTCTACGCCATCGGTATCTGGGTGCTACTTGTTTGAATGATGACAGAGCACGGAAAAGTTCATCCTGTTTATTAAAACAACAATAATGGCACATGTAATTCTTGTCTGAAGCTACATATACCTTGTTCTGTATAAATTAGCCTTCTGAAATATTTTGTTGGAAAACAAGCAAACCTAAAAAGAAAATCAAATCACGAATTTAAAAATATTTAAAAATACATATATATTTCAGTATTGTAGTACAATTTAATGAGAAACTATTTAGGTTTTCAATTTTATTGAATAAAAAGAGTACTTAAAATAGTTCTTGTAGGCTTCACTAATTATTTTCAGAAGTTAAAATATGTAAAATAAATAGGTACAAGTTAGCCAGTTAATGAAGAAGACTGAAAGTGACCAAGATTTCTTCTAAAAGGGATGAAGAAAGGACCAAGATCTGGGAGGGGGAATAGCAAGGCCAAAGTATTTCTTTCAGGCATGCAGAAATGTCATATGACAGGAATAAGTTTAATAGACCTTTACAGAACGTGAATACTGGATGAATTCTAAGGTTTAAGGTGACTCTAAGTTACCCAAAATAGTACAGACAAGTGCTAACTATGAAGAACTGCAGAACAAGCTTCAGGATCTAGAAAGCTGGGCATTAAAATAGCAATTTTACATAGAAAATGATGAAATGTCATTGACTCTTACTACTCTGGAACAGATCTTGGAGTTTAAAATATTTGGTCAATGCCCAACAGCAGTCAGAAAAATGAACTGAATATCAGAAATAGTTAGCAAAGAGAGAGTAAAATGTTTAGATACATTTTTAAATTGTATAAATCCTGCCCTCTTTTTTACTGCTGTGTGCATTCTGCTACACTAATCACAGAAAGTATGCTGTAGAATAAGTTTCAGAAAAATGTGATGTGATGGATCAATGACACAAAATGGTTTCCATGCAACAAGAAATGAGATTAAGTAGATAGAAACTCTTCAGTTCAGGAAAGAGACAGCTACATAAAAACTGTATGGAAGTCTGAAATCATGAGTTATTAGGAGGCATGTAAAAAAAACAAAACTATTCACTGACTTTTCCATGTTAGCAGCTAGAGGACTAAAAGGTGGCAGGTTTAGCACAAAGGGAAGCAATTCTGTATATAACGTCCAGTTAAGCTGCAGAATCCCTTGATCCAAACACTGCACATGCTAAAAGCTTACACACAGAATAACACAAACACATAGACTAAATAAATAATCGGTATAGACCTCCTCTGATGCAGAAAGTCCTCCACTTGTGAATTTTGTCAGGGACTGAGAAAACAAACAAATGGATATTTTTTTTTTTGGTCTGAAATTGTATAGCTGAGTTTCCCCAGTTACAGTACGCATATATTCACGGTATTCGTATATTCAAAGTTTTGTTGAAAAAGTAAGAAAGATGACACTGCCAAGTGAACGCAAAGATTTTCGGTTTTCAGTTTCATTTGGAATTCAACAGTAACTTGTCATGTTTCTAAATAACTAAAGGAAACACAATGTATGTGAGTTCAGCAATGTTGCTAAATTCAGCTATGTTGCTAAATTTGTATTAGCATGCTACACTTTTCTTTCAGGAAAAAAGCAAATATTGAACTAAGAATCAGCTGCTGAGGCTAAAATTTGGCTAAAAATCCTTTGGTTAAATCCTTTGGCTAAAATTCCTTCAAAGGAATTCATTCTTCATCCATTGCTGAAACAAATATTTTGTTCAAAATCACCTAACTTTTTTTTTTTTTTCAATCACAGATTTATTTTTTTTTCATACAATTTTAGGTGGATTTCAGTCCCAGAGTTATCTTGAATTCACATTTTTTGAAAGTTGAGGTTCAAAAAATGCCTTCATTGTGTCATAGAAGAAACTGGTTGCAGTGAAATAAAGATTGTAGAATCACAGAATTATAGAATGGTTTGTGTTAGAAGGGACCTTAAAGATCACCTAATTCCAACCCTGCTGCTATGGACAGGGACACCACTCACTAGATGAGGTTGCTCAAAACCCCATCCAAAGATTTTATAGTATAAGCTCATAGTAGAAAATAAATATTTGTATAATTATTACAGTCAATAACATTTTAGAACACACTTACATTTTCCAGTCCTTCCAGCACTTCTTCTTGCTGACTTTGAAGTCTAGTTATAGGAGCTCCATTTAGAACACCCATAGATTGAAGTCGAACCACAACTGACTGAAAAGAAAACATCTTAGTACCAATCAAAATTGCTTTTGTGATGTGAAAGGACCCCCAAAGTAGTACTTAATTTGTAACTTATGGTCTATATAATGGCCCCACTATGTAAGTAATACAAATGTATATAAAATGAGATCCAATTTCTAACTTGAAGCCATGCTAGTTATTCAGTGGAGCTCTAACAACCAATTTGGTATATACAGGCAATGTAAAATGCTGAATCACAGCCTTTGTATCTCCTCAGTATGCTGTGAATCCAAGGCCTTCTAAAGGAATACACTGGAAGGACTATTTCCTACAAAGCAGTACAAGTATTCAGACGACCTCCATTCTGTGCCAAGAGGACTGGAATAGGAGGAAAATCTCTTTAGGAGATCAGAATATTATGCACACTTGAAAGCAATACAACTTTGGGTAATTTATTTTAAAAGATACTTATTATTGCCTGCCAATGAGAATCAGATGATAATGAATTTAATTAAGTATTTCCTGAATGTGATCTTGCTTGAATGCAAGAGTTCTTGAAATGAATAAGCTAATTTTGTCATGCTTGGACTAGTTCCATAATTCTCTTTGCCTTATTCATAGGTTAAATAGTTGGAAATCACTATACAACTTTATTGCATTTAGTATAAATCTCTTGTTGTGATGTTCACAAAGAGATCATCGATGATGAAATTTTATATTCCCACTTCTCCAAATTTATTTATCTATTATTTACGACCCATAGAACTACAATTGATAGTAAAGTCAAGCTTAAATTTAAACACTTACAGAATTTTACTCAATTTAATTTGTTTCAAACAACAGAAGGGAAAGTGCAGGAACAGCTCACATCCTGCATTCTCAAAGACAATCTCTCATTTCATTTTCAACCCCATACTTTAGGTTCTGATTGGAAGGAACTCTTATTGTTGAGGCCTTGGATAAGATTATTTATCTTCAAAATTTATCATTTTAACTTTTAATAGAGAGAATGAGTTGCTGTGTTATAAGCCAAAAATCTAGATACAAAGACTCAGAAGATCTGTCAAATGGAAAAAAATGAAGTGTCTTCTATTACACTGTAAAACAGTAACAAAGATAATAAGAATTCTGTCATTTTAGACACAAGCACATTAAGCCAATTCTGTAAATATATCACTCCAAAAATGTTTATTTTCACATGCTAATAATTATACTTGACACTAATACAAGATATAAAGCAGTAAAACTGGATGGATACAATGCAAATGAGTTTGTAACCTACCTGGAAACATTTTCCTGTACCACATATGTAAGCCTGGGTGCAGTGCAGTGAATTATATAGTAGTTTTAGAACAACAAAAGCAAGCATTTCAAAAGTGATGTTTTCTATTAATAATTATGTGAGCTTTATACAGAACTTAGAATTTTGTTAACACCTTAAGAAAGAAAGCAATCCAAAGAACTGATAAATTCCATTATTGTGGAAGTTAATTAAGTTGGTGTATAGCTTACTTACTGCAAAGAGTTCATCTGGCTGCTGATTTCCATCCAGTTCAATGAGATATTGAGAATCCTGTTCAGCCATCAAGTCCTGTTTAAGAACAAAGACATGCTCATCAACCAAATGTACCTAACCACGTAATGACATTGAAGCTCATTCTGTTCCTGTAAATATTAAAGGTTGGACTATTGTGGACTTCAGAAAAAAACAAAATTCGTTATGCTGATGACTTAAAAACCCTCTAGATTCTAGAGTAGAAACGACACACACAGATGACAATTTTGTATTATTGATTTCAGTATGAATTACAGAACTTGGGGATATGTTTTAGCATGCCTTGTGCCCACCTCCATGAAATAGGCCTCAAACTCAAGAAAAACCCCTCTGTTGTGGTTTAACCCAAGAGGCAGCTAAGCACATTATTTCTTCTCCTAAATACAAAAACACAGGAACATACTAGCCAATACAAAGAAAATTAACTATCTCAGCCAGAGCCACGACACCCTGAAAATAGTGTAAGATATTTTAAACAACATTTTTTTTAAGCATTATCATATTATTTTGCTTTCTCTTACTTCTAAAGAACGAAGCATTATATCCTTATACATGCCAACTCTTTCCTCTGCGTTTTCAAGAAAATCTTCAGGCCTTTGCACTAATTGATGCAAAATTTCTGACATCTTAAGTGAATCTTCTGCAATCTGAGGAATCAAAAGTTAAATATTTCAGGATACAGAAATAAAATAATGTACTAAACTAAATTTTGTCTACACTCAGAAGTAAATAAAGTAGTTTTCAGAAATATTGCAATGAGTGCCCAGTGATTGTTGACAAAGATCCTACTTCTGATGAAATGCAGTTCCTGGAAATGGAGAGTAATGTGACTGGAACTTGCATTGTGTCTAGCCAGAATTACAAAGCAGAGCAACCTAGCTGGGATTCAAAACTAGTTACTTCATGAAATAACACAAAATCTATTTGTAGTAGTCTAACACCAAAAATCATGTTAGACTCTATCTTGCATATATCCAACACGTAGAACATGTTACAATAAACAAAAATTAAGAACTTGTACTTGCTCAAACCAAGATTCAAGGCAATGTAAAGTCACCATTCTTCTGGTACACCCTTTTAACTTACGGCAAAAAAGATTTCAGTGACTTCCAAGTTAGAGGATTAATGCAAAGCTATACAATAATCACCATTTGCTGTAATTTCAATCTACCATTTAAATATTTTCCCACATCTCTTAAAGCAGAACAGAAATGGAATTATGATTAGAGCTCAGAAAAATTAATTCATAATGTAGTATGGGATATTTTAGAACTTGTTCTGCTTTGTCTAGAGTACATTCTAATACTTTGTACTGTTTAGGAATTAGCAATATTTACCTCTTCTTCTTCCTGCTCTTCAATTTCTTCTTCATCCTCCTCTCCATGCTGTTCACTATTTTTCTTTTGCTTTTCAATAACTTTAGGATCCCATTGGTTCCTCTGATATACCTGCCCTGAATCAGGGTGTTGCCTTTGTCCCGATATTCTCTGGCATAAGTCATAGTCTGAACACTAACAAGGAATAATTAAAAAGAAATGTGTTTAGTGGACTGCTATAACAATATTATTTTCCCTTAAACTGCAGAATACCGGGGAGTGGGAGGGTGGGCGATGGGACGGGACTGTTTGGCAAATATTTGGATTCATAAACTTTTTCCCCCATAACTTTCTAAGTAAATAATTATTTTTTTTAAAAAAGCAGCAAAGTTACTTGGTGCAAAAATAAGTTATTAAAAAGATTTAATCACTTCCATAGTTACTCCCCTTTAGTATTTTACATTTCATATCAGGAGTGCAGCCACAGCTCGAGCACATTTTGCCATATCCATTTTTTTTTCAGGATTAATTTATGGATAAAAGTCTCTTGCAAACAGGCTTGTGATTGCTCTTGCAATTAATGCTGAAGGGGTTTGGACTTGAGCAAGATACAACAATTTTAATAGGTGCCTCTGACCTCTCAGATCTTCACTAGTACCCAAAAGCATAGTGCTATTGTCCAGAGGTTAAAGATTTTCAGCAGTTTAGAGCTCTGAGAGAACAAGTACAGGTCTTTCTATAAAACCACCTGCAGACAACGTTAGTTTAACAATAAACACAGGTAAATCTGGATGTGGTCTTAACATGGATGTCTTAAAATTCTACTATAGAATTGGGGATCGTGTGCAACAAAGAAGAAATGGTCTTCCCTTCTGAATGGCTAAAACTTTCAAACATACATATGAAAAACCTGAAATAACAAGAAAATATTGTAGTTAATAAATTCAAAGAATGCCAGAAAGGGAAAATTGATTTCTGCAGAAGAAAATAGAGCTTTTGAGATCACATTGCTAGTAAGAGGCATACTATCTATGCTCATTACCTAAGGTATCCCTTGAAATATAACAATACTTCAGGATATTTCTACATTTCTGCTGTAACAGTGAGTCATACAGCTGACATTGACTACTATATGACATAGCACATTTTGAAATAGGGAAGAAGAAATTTGGTCAGATATAGCTCTTTTTTTCAAAGGTCTTTTTTCTTTGAGAGCAAAATTTCTCTAAATTGGTCTGTAATAACAGTATTTCGTTATTCCCAGAGATATCTAGTATGTCCCCCATTTCTTTCTTTTATAATGAAAATAGTTACAATTCTGATATATCCATGAAAACTGCTCAAACCCAACAAAATCAAAGGAAAAATTATTTATTTGAATTTGGGGCAAGGATTTTTAATGAGCATTCTGTCTCAGTTTTTTTCCAAGAAAATGATGTAATTACATGAAGTAAAGAATTCTGTTTTCTTTCTAGTGTAGCTAATATCACTCTTCCATATGAAACTATACAACATCCATTCTCAAGAGCTGGGATTTCTCACTGCCTGGTATTAAAAAAAAGGTTGACTTTCTGTAGCTGAAAAAAATAAAAACAGTCTAGAAAGCAGCACAAATATTTGTTTATTTAATGTTTTAAGATTTTTCCAAGAGAAAAAAAAATGAGGAAAAAAATGTTTGAAATAGGCATTCATGCATTTTAATAATGCATGGCCAAACAGATTAAGTCTGGAAAGTATGGAATGTAAGGAGCCTTGTCATTAAGACCCTGACTTAAATCTGTCAAAGTGATAGACTCAGTCCAAGCATGAAAGTTTAGCATCTGACAAACCACATAGATTAATGCCTGATCAATCTGGTGGCCTTCTATGATGGAGTGACTGAATCTGTTGACAATGGAAGACTGACCAATGTCATCTGTACAGGAGTGAAAAGACTGTAGCTCTTACTGAAGTTATAGGAAATGCTCATTATTTTATATGATCAGTGCTTATAATGCAACCAGTTAGTGTAATTATTTCCAACATAAAAGAGAACAATATATTACTCCTCAATAAATACTATACTCAAATGCATAGGAGAAAATACTCTTTTGACTTATGCAGTAAGTCTACTAATAATTAGGCAAATGTCTAACAAGTTATTGAGTAAAACATTACCTTAATGTTAATCAAGAAATCTGGTTTTAATTTTAGATTTTTTATTTTCTCTATTTGCTGTGAAACGGTCATATATTCCTCTGAGAGAGAAGGTAATCCACTGAGAATGTAACCTGCCAAACACATTTTATTAAATACATGTATATCTTTTAGAACATTATGATAAATATACCAGTTATACTTATCTCCTTTAAATAACACATCTATTTAGTGGCACAATTTAAAACCATGTACATGACATAACAGTGTTACAAAAATTGTGCACCCATGTCCGCTGTAGATGAAATACAAACATAAGAGTGTATTATTTTCAACTTAATATAGGACTCTTGAAGTCTGTTAACTCACTTAAGAAATGTTAGAAATATGTAGACATTAAGGATCATACTCAGACCACCTGCTTCATATGCCTAACTCAGCCATTACAGCTGACTAAAAGGAAATTAGGTTTTAGTAACTTTGTTTTTTCCCCACTAAAAGTCATTGTGAAAGGTATTGCACAAAATAGCCACTCTATAACACAAAGCATTTAAAGCATATTAAATAGGAGTCTAAGCTTTTTCTACAGGCTTTAAAGGCCATTATTGACAATACAGGAAGCTGAACTCCTCTGCTGGATACACAGTGCTCCTAGATGTTAAATTTTCTCAGAAGGAGGCAGTATGCACACAGTAAGCATAGCAAGGCACATGACTTGGCAAGCATCCATTCACTAAGGATTTGCAATACGAGTCCTTTTCAGCAAAGGCAACGACTATACATGACAGTAGTGGTAATACCTTTTTCCTAGTATTAGTGTGCTCAGCCCCAGAGAGATTGGAACCCATAGCTTCGAGCACTGTAACTACCAAAAACTACATACAGTGAAGGAAGAACTGCTGTATAGCAAGGAAATCAATATTCATGAGGCCAGAATGAAAAACTAAACAAGAATTGAGCTGATTTTTTTAGCTTAATGATAAGAATATTCCCTTCGTGAAATGCTCCAGATGCTTAGACTTGTATGTGATAACATTTAAATTCAAGTCTATGCAACACAAAAACATAGCAGCAGCCTCTGTAACGGATACTAGAACTAAGCTCTTTGGGGAGTTTCAATCCACAGATGTAAAATTTATGGAAGAGCATTAGCAAGAGAAAATATAGAGCATAATCATTCCTCTGGGAAATGAAAATCTAAGTTGACACCTCTAGAGGATTCTAGCAGGCAGTGAGATATGGGGAGCCTGCACAGCCTCCGCTTATAAATAGCTGGTTAACAACAGCTGATGTGAGAAGAATGTGAGTACAACATCTGCACAGATTACTCCAAACTGTTTGCTCTCTGAGAGGGTCTTTGCCCTAAGGCTGATAACGCTGTCGGGAAACTAACAATGAAGAAGTTTACCTACAACAACCATCAACCAGATCAAACATTAACCAGGGTAGTATCAAGAAACTTTTGAGAAAAGGAGTCATCTTGAAAAGAAACATTAAGGTCTCTTACCACAATTGTAATGCTTATTTAGAGTGATAACAAGGTAACAGCAGCCAAACTGGGTTTGAAGTGCCACATTCTCTTCTTCTAGGTCTCACAGAGCAGCCTCCATGCTGGGTGCTGTGAGTAACCTGCATTTCCGCTGCTGGACTGACAACCCAGGCTAAGTGACCCACACCTTGAGTGTGTGCATGGGAATTTCTGGGGAGTTTTCTCACTGGTGTGTGGATCAGCAGTTTGGAGGAAATAGCACACACAAGGCTGCAACATCAACATTTCCGACAGAAAGTGTGTCTAAACAGGTGAATGTGTGCTCTCAGAAGAGGGAATGTGTGCTTATAACCCCCACCCATGTTTGAGAGAGGGTTTTAATGCATAACCATGCAAGTTTGAGTGTACGCCTTGGAATTAGTTTTAGGAGTTCAGAAATTTGTATGTGTTTATTAAGATTTGGCAAGTGCCTAGTGCTGTGGTTTATCTGGTGCGTGCCTGATACTGAACCTATTCCCTGATCATCAGTTCACTGATTGCCAGTTAATCACTTGTCATTAATAAATCAATAAACAGCCTTGGTCTTGATATGGTTTAAATAATAACTGAGCAGTTTTCTCCGGTAACAGTGACACAGAATTTTCTTTGCAAATACTAGTTACACTAACATTATATGAACTTCTGATTCTTTTCTTGTTCTATTGAAAAAAATTAACAAGCACGCCAGCTACACGGAGGTTACCATTCTGTAATTTCTTACCTAAAATACAAGTGTGCTTGTTATTCTCCAATCCTTCAGTGGCTATGTTATTTTAAAAAGAGAGACTACTTATGCTGAGAAATAGTTTAGCAGCTTCACATCTGACCTCCTTAAAAACCTCAAAGAATTAAGCTCCACTTAGTGACTTAAACTTTTAAAATACCATCTTTTGTTTTAGCACTTTTAAATATCTCTGACACATCAGTCCCCCACATAGAAGGTGTTTATTTTCTAAGTCAGAAGAATATAATTGAAATAATCCCTAACTGTGTGTACTGTTTAGAAACTTCAATTTTGCAATGTTAACAACTAAAATTAAAAGTAAAACCTCAGCCTCTCATATAACTGTTTATCTTTAATGAATATTTAATGAATAAATAACAGTCAATTAACAGATTAGTTCCTGCTGAAAGCCTACTTAAAATCTCCAAGGATTATATTAAAATAATGGTTGCTAAACAAAAAATTATTAGAGAGAGAAAATATTTAATGAACAGAAAATACTTAACAAAAAACTGGGTTTGGAGTTGAGTTCTAGTTAGTAGAAAAAACAGCAAGGCCATAGGTTATTCTATCCCTTGTCCATTTGGGGGATTTGTAATACAAAAAATGGCTTTACTACAACAACCAAACTTTTATCAGCTTTTTGGTTTACAATCTCTAGAATCTCTGTGGTCCTCTGTGATACATCTATGACATTCATCATCAGACTGACTCAGAGAGGGGAACTTAGATAACACAGATGTCTCTGTAGGCCTTTATTGAAGTCCTGTCCAGACAGAGTAACATTAGCATTACTATTCCTATCTAACTTGCTGTGACAAAATGGAAAGGCAAGCAAGCCCATACTACTTCACATTTTAAATAATGTTTTTCTTTTTCTATACCTTAAATTTTTAAAATATTTTGGTAGTATTTTTTTGTTGTTGTTACATAAGTATTCAAGTCAAAAATTCTGTGTTTTAAATCCCATAACATTTAGATCCAGATAACACTGCCAAATGAGAGTCATTGAAACACTTAAAATTTGGGGCAAATTAATTTTCTCAAAATTAACACAGTATAGGATTGGCATGATGCTTTCTTATCTCCCACATTGGTAAATTAATCCCTAACTACACTCTCAGTTTAGAGATGCTCCACAACCTTAGGAGCACAAGAAAAGTTGCTACAGTCTAATATAAAATAAATTATATTTAAGCAGTAATGGATGTAAAATGTGACAAAATTATAGTTACTTTATTCTTGGAAATTTAAACATACTTACCAAAATGAGCAGCTTCTGGTGACTCAATCTTTTTCAGAATCATTTCTGTAACCAGTTCTTCGGAAATACTTTGACCTTTAAAAAGTAATTCTTGACACTAAGACAAAATGCAAAACATAGCCTTATTTAATATATATTTGTCAGGAATGTGACAAAACTTACTAGCACATCATACTTTTACCTTAAGCCCATATTCTGTTTCTTCACGAATATTCATTTCAATTACTTCCGAAGCTGAAGAAGCACATCAGACAGAATAAAATTAAAACAATTCATAAATAAACATATACATGCATGTACATGCAGACAAACATACATAGACAAATACACAAAGGTAGGTATGTGTGCTCCAAGATAATTCTGTGATGAAACACTGCATAGCAGCAAGCCAGACTATTTTTTGAATGACAGCCATTATATTTAGGGCCTTTATTATATTTTGTCCATCCAGAACTTGGTGCTTTCTAGCAATGGATGGGTAAATTACCTTCCCTACAATTCAGGTCTATGTAGTAAAGATAGCAGCCTTGCAAGTTTAACTAATGATTTATATCATATTAATATTACTGTTGTGTAATCCAGAGGAGAATATTTGAGCTCAAACACTTTCAAATTTTAAAAGCAAGTTTTAGAAAAAGAACTGTTCAAACAGAGAAAATCATCTGTTTTAATAATGCCCTTAAAAGCCTACTATGGTCTAAATAAATCATTTAATTAATTACCCAGTTTGACACCCCTCAAATTCAAAGGTCTTCCTTCCCGCTGTCTCTCTGGACAGTGACATCATGGCAGAATGATCCTGGAAGTCTTTCACACTTATTGAAATTAGCAGAAGCTCCCACAAAATTTTCAAGAATGACTGTTAAGGTTACATATATATTACCAAATAAACCAGGCCAGGGAACGTTCCTGAAGCTAGTGGCTCATGCCTATACAGCTAAAATCTTTCTCCCCAAAACACAGTGGCTGTGTCCAAACTACTGTTAGTAGTGATGATGACTGTCACAAATATTCTCCACACAGTGAATGGCTGCTTGGGAGACTACTGCTTGGCAGGGAGTCAAAAACTGGCCCAGGGAATGCACTGACAAGCAATACAGACCACTTAAAAATGGTATTGTACATGTACCCCTGCCTGGTTTATTTATGAGTATAGACCTATACACTGGACAAACGAATAGACGGTATTTTGTCACATTACAAAGACTGTGAACACTTTTCATATTTAATAATTCTTAAACTTGGGTTGTTTTCCAGATAAATAACACAGCGCAGGCCAGATACTGACACACTGGAACAAGGCCAGTGGCAGGCATCAAGATGATTAGAAGGAGAGGCCAGAAGAACTGGTCTTATTCAGCCTGGAGAAGACAGGCTGAGGGCAGCTCTTATTGCTATCTAAGACTACTTAATGAGAAGGCACAAAATTAAAAGCACTCTCTTCACAGAAGTGCTGAGAGGACAAGAGGCAACAGATGCAAGCAGGATATTGTGAAATTCCAATTAGGCAATTCTGATTTTGGTCTGATCTGTGTTTTGGACCAGGTATTAATTTTTTTGTTAGACAATCCCATTAGTTAAAAATTCTATAATTATTTAAGTAAAAAAAGGCACTTGATAAAACTGACTTTTATAATATTTTAATTCCAAGCCTTTAAAATAAAATCAAGTTACTTCATTTGATAAGTAAGCCTATATATTCACAGGAATATGAAGTGCTACACTGTCCACTAGAGGGCTTTTATTTGAACAATAAAAAATACTGGGGCACATTTAAAAGAAAAAATGTAATGAAAAATGATAGATAAAGAGTTAATTCACAATGCCTGTAAAAATATATACCATAAAATTAGATTTATAATTTGGTATCCTCAAAGAGTCATTCAAGAAATTTCTACATAATTCAGGTTACTATATGCCTTCTTTTTCTTCTACTTAATGTAAGGTATTATCCTTCAAACTAGGTAGGACAAATCTGGTGGAAATAATTTCTTTTTTTTTTTTTTTTTTTCATAAGGCTTAAGGGAATGGATCACAATTTGTGAATACAATATCACACATACAAAAACTTTACAAGAGATCTATATATATATATATATAGTGTATATATCTATATATATATGTTACAACTGACAAAATTGGTATAAAAGAACTCTGCCAGATAATTATTTTTTATGGAAACCCACTTTCTTGCTGAGGTACCTCAAAATGAATAAAGCCCTTTAGCAATATATTTAGGGGGAATATAATGTAAACATTGGATTTCACTCTATAGACTTAAAAATCTTTGATGAGACGGACTGTAAGAAATGGAGCTGAATGGCTTAGAAGATGAAATAGTATCTTCTAGTCTGGTGTATGATGCTTACTACAAAGCACCTACTATGGTGAACTTAGCTAAACTTTGTGAAATAAGCCATTGGACGTATTTGTTTTAGAAACTTGAAAGTGCCAGCTGCCATTCTTTCACTGATTTCTTACACTAATTCAAAAGCTGTGCTTCTGTTTCCTGGAGTACATCCCCCCTTGTATTAGACACTGCATAAATACAGAAGGGAAAGGTCCTCCTATTTTCTCATGGTCTGTATCAGAAAATGTCTGTGATCCCCGGACTTCAATCAGTTGCCTCCACATAAACAAGAAGGGTCACATGAAGTACCTCACATTACCAAGAATGTGATTTGATTATATATAGGCTTTTGAGGAAAAAAAAAAAAAGGGGGGGGGGGGGCAGGAGGGCAGTTTTTAAACCTCTTTATACCTAAAAGGCTATTTTTGAGCAATTGTGTATCTGACAAAATGATTACTTGGTCTTCATCAGTAGTCTTTGATGCAATCAGCAACATATCATTTTGAATTACCAGGAAAAAAGGATATTCTAAAACAAAAGGTATTACGAAGCCAATGCAATGTTCCAAATATAGTGTATGTTTACCTTCTATATAAATGCATTTCCATATTTGTGCTAGTTTTCTAGCTAATGTTTTCTTTCCAGAACCCTTAAAATGAAAAATACACATTTAAAAGAAAAACAGTCAGAATGAAAAAAATTCATATTACACAATAAATCATATATATTTTACATGATAAAAACAGTTAAAAGCAGCCATTGTGAACTCTGCACTGGACAAACACAAACATTTATTTTAATACCATCCCTTATTTTACACTTCCCAGCATTGCTAATATACTGTCACTGTCCTTTGCAGTTGAGTATCTCCAAAGCAATGGTATTGGCTTCATTTCTGAGTAATTCTTTTTAAAACTCAGCTATGATTTGTCCATAAATTCCTTTGAGAAACTCTCCAGGATTAAAATTATCTTCAGTCTCAGAGAAAATTATGATTAAAACCTGTATGGTCATATTTCTGAATAAGATACATAGGGATAGTGCTTTTTGGCTAAACAATGAAAACATAACTATTGCCCTTGTTACTCCATAGACCTGTTTTAGATACTGACAAAATGTTAATCTTATCACTTAAATTAATCCTGAGGAACCAACATCACCAAGAATAATGAGTCCTCTAAGAGTATGGCTACCTGAATGGGATTTTGCAAATTCACCATCTCCTATCCTTAGGATTAGGCCCTTTTGACAAGGGTATTCAAAAAGACCTTTTTTTTTTTTTTTTTTTTTGCCAGTCTGCTTGTCTGTTTGCCCTAGATAAATTTTGTTATTGAAAATAGTAAAAACAAAACAAACAAACAAAAAACAGACACAAATAAATCACACTCCCAGTTAACTCTGTATCAAACACTCCAGCCTAATCATAACTTGCATCTTACAGATGTGACAAGATTATATGCATTTGTTTTTGCTTTAACGGCACTATTTTTTTTAGCTGAAAAGAAATGTCTTAAAAAAGTCAGATTGATGCATTAGCCATATAAATACAAGGTATTATCATAAAAATAGAAATTTAATGCTCTGTCCTCTTGGCCAGGACAGTTCATTTTCAATCCTTTAGTTAAAATTTGCAAACCTGTTAAGTATTAATGTCAATCATTTACTGAATGCAATGATTTCAGAAGAGAATATCTATTTCCTAAATGTTTTTGCATTGTCTTTCACTGGGCATTTCATGCTGTTTATGTTTATAAAATCGTAAAGTTACTTTTTCCATTTAGAGTTCGAAGTTTGAGCTTTGTTTAAAACTTGAGAAGCCAGACCACAGTAGCTGTCTACTGAGCTGACTGTATTCTTCCATGTTTCACGCTGACCAAAGGCTCACTTGTCAGCTATCAGCTTACATGTATGTTCTCTCTGTGAAGCTTGTAGCTCAACCACTTGCAGAGCAACACCCTGGCTTCTTTCCCATTTTGGTCAGGTGTAAAGATTTGCAGTTAAGCATTATGTAGCACCTAGTGCCAAGAAGTAAGAAAGGATGCAGAGCAAACACTAGGAAGTGGGAGCCTCAGGCTTTTAAGAAACCAAATGTTGTAGCTGCATCTTGGCTGTATGGACATTCCCCATGACATAATCTGTCACTGTCATGTAACGATACATCCTGGCATACACAGGATAGGTGTGCATTAGTATGTGGTGTGGCCCAGACAGAGGGACATGGAGTGTAATTTGGTGGGTAAATAAGCACTGAAGTGTGGGTTGGTTGCCAGCTCTAGGTGCACATCACTTAACTCTGCCTGGATAGCACAAAGCAGATTTATGTACAGTCATTTCAGACTGTGTTGTGGTACCTACTGAAATTACATGTACATGCAGATGGCAAGCTGCTAGAAGACCTTGTGTTCACACAGCTTCCCGTGCTCTGCAGGCACTGTCACGGACAACTGCAGTGCTTAAGAGGAAAGCAGCTTCCAGTGTATCAATTGTATGTTTTGGTGCATACCAGGTTTAGTTCAGACATAAGGCATGTAAAAAGAACCCCCTTCAGCACACTTAGGGGCTAATGTAAGAGTCTCCCATACTTGGGAAGAAGAAATCTGAGAAGTCTATAATTACAAAGTATCAATCTTTCCTAAGTCAAGGAGGCCACAAATTATTTGAGAAAAAAGGAAAGCTTCAACTATAATTCTAATATAGCACAATTCTTCTTATCAGGATACCTAGAAGGATTTCAATTATTCCCAATCATATAACATATGAATATGTCAAAGTTCGTTTAAATATTTAATATCTCATTGCATGCCTCTAAGTCAGTACATTAACCTGAAAGTTCTTTTATGCCTATTTATGTCTTTGTCAAGTTTACTAAAAATTAGAATATTAAAATAACATAAAAACAATCTGGTTGCCAATACGAAAACTTTTGGTATTTTGCATATTTGCCAATATGCGACTTTATTTATACTAATAATGCTTTCAAGTGCATTTAACCTGTCATTCAGGCCCCAAAGTGGCCTCAGTCAATATGATCAATATATTTACCTCACTCTACAGGATTTGCAAAACGGAAAAGATAAAATATAAAGTAAGTGTCTGCTTTTCTTCAGTGTTACTAAACTAATGCTTTTGAAAGGAAAAGTAACATTACTAGCGGTGTATTTGAAGAAAAAGAATTAACTTCTATCAGACATCTTACGGGCTTTCCAAGGACAATAAAGCAAGTGGGCTTGGACAACAGAAAGGATTTTTCAGCTTCATCTTCATCGAAGATGTCTGTAAAGGGCAGAGCTTGTTTTTCTCCTTGTGAAGCCATAATTTATCTAAGATTGAAAGAAAAAACAGCTGGTTATAAAATATATTTTACATATGTATAAAATGACACATTCTTGAGGGAACAGAATAATAACGCAATACAAGGCAAACTGCTTTGTAACAGCAGATGTAATAAGAAGCAAAAGACTTTAGTGAACATACACAATGCATCCAGCCTTAAGAGAGGATGTGCTTCGGAAAAATAAGGGGTTATTGGAGCCACCCCTGATGTAACTATGCTGATGTTGATAACAATTTATGCTCTTCTTCCTGACTCTCCAATTGTCCATAGTATTTCTTAAAGCAGCTTTTATTTGTTTTGTTGCTTTTTCCTTCCTTACCCAATTACCACATGGCTGGAACTTCTCTCTGGTCCCTGAAATGGGACCCTGAAAAGGCCTTGCCAGAACCTCTTGTGAGCTTCAGGCAGAGAGGAGCCCCACCACTACCAGCGAACTACTCACTGTGTCCACAGCCAGGTAGGGGCATAAAGCTTTGGGGAATTATATCACGGTTCATGATCTGTCCTGCAATCCTCTGGTAAATCCGGGGACACCCAGCGCTATGCCACAAAGGGAAACAGAAATTTCTAAGTAAAGTAAACTAGAGCAGAAATTGGGCCGACATTTTAACGTTAAAAAAACAAACACAGGCACAGCGCCCCCCCCCCCCCCACGCCCCTACCCCCTCAGCGCCCGGCCCAGCCCGCACCTCAGCTCGCCCCCGGGCCGTTACAGGCGGCAACGGCCGCCGCGCGCGCCGCCGCGCTGTGTACCCCGTCACCATGGCAACCCCCAAACTCCCGCCCCATCCCATCTGACCACGCCCCCTCCGCGTGGCCACGCCCCCTCCACCCCCCGCGGGGGAGCCCACGCGCGGCGACCGCCCCCCCGCCTCACGCCGCCGCGCGCATGCGCAGTGCGTCCCGCCGCCGGGAGCGCCCTCGCGGCCTGTGGGGCCGTGTCGCGACAGGCGGGCTCCTGTCGCCTGTCGCCCCACGCGTGAGCCATGCCGGCCGCCGCCGCGCCGCTGATCAGCTGCGTGCAGAAGCTGGTGCTGTACGAGACCAGGGCTGTAAGTAGAGGGTGGGCGGGGAGGCGGCCGGTGTCGTGTGGGGCCCGCTGAGGTAACCCTGAGGTAACCCTGGCCCCACGCAGCCTCCTCGCTTCCTGACACTCCCAAACTCGTTTCCTATCGGATCTGAGGTAATACGAAACTGTATCCCCAAAATTCACGATGGAAACCGTGAGAAGGCAAGGAAAGGATGCCTTAGGTTGTGAGCACAGTGGAGTTTACACCAAGCCTGCTGCCTATTCCTGTAAAAGGCCTTTGTATCAAGAAACAAACTAGATAATAAAGTAAAAAACAATTCAGAAAGATTTTTTATTCCCCTTTTCTCTTTATTTTTTTTCTCCTCAAGATAAGAATGCACTGGCATTATTGGAGTCAAACAGGAAAGACTCCTAGAGGTGAGGAGAACTGAGTTCACAGCGCCAATTGAAGCACCAGAGAGCAAAATTCTATATTTTCTATTAACATTTATATTTAGGGGAGTTGCTGAGACTTTTTGAACAGCTTGGATCAATAAGTACCATGGAGATGCAAATTATATCTCTTGCTTATCCTGGGAAGTTGAGGGCTTGCTCGTTTAGAAGTCATCGAACTGAAACACTTTCATTCAGATCAATTCCAATAATCTTTCATTTTACGCATATGTTTACTGTTGAAATGCACACCAGAGGGCAGCCAAGATACTTCAGGAATCTGAAGAAGAAGAAACAAAAGATATTTTCTTTTCTTCTTCAGAAGATTGATCATGTGTGTATGCCCCAAGTGACACCCACCTGAAAGCGGTAGGCTGATTCACTGGAAATTTTCATTCCCTGGAGATGGTCTGACATTGAGCAAAGCAACTTGTGCCATCTCTGTAAAAGCATATCACTTACCCATTTTCAGGGTTTTATGAGGCTTAATTAATGTTATTTTATTCTAATCAGGTTCTTCTACAGTCTTTGTCTCCATAGTACCCAAATGACTTCCACAAGTTTATTAAGCAATGTGACTTGCATAATTACTTGTGGATTTTGCTGCCTTTTTCCCTCAGGAAAACTCTGTGGGTTTTTTATGCATTTAATTTCTCTTCAAAATAATTTGAAAGTTTTTGTATTAACAAAACGAGGTCAAAGAACCTGGTTAGCTTATGCTGAGGTTAGTCTGTAGTCAGACAGGAGAAACTGTAACGTAAAAAATGATTTGACAGAAAAAGCTACACAACTTTTACAGAATTATGAAGTGCACGAGTTTATACAGATGGTTATTTATATAGGTGGTTATAGATAGCATTTGAAAATTGTTAAAAGTAAAAAACCATCTACTGGACCATTTAATTAGCTATCATAATTTTCTAGCTAGAAGTTGCTGTGAAATTTTGTCTCTCTGGAGTAACTTCATTAACAAGAGAGAAAGAACCATCCAGGAATGGTGATGACATAGCATGGCAGAGGATGGAGCTGGGGCAAGGGCAGGAGTTTTGTGAAACTCAGGAAAATGTTGTTTCTGTCTTAAATGTCTTGGTGTAGTGCCAGGTATATGGGCAAAAAAAAAAAAGAGAAATTTAATGGTGTGTGGGGGATCTGAGACCATTTATAAGTACAGCAGTGCTTGGTGGAATAACAGTAATGAGAACACAATGAGTTTTGAAGGGTATATGCTATTCAGCTGGAAGAAAAACACTAAAGCTCCAGTGTGGTAGCACAGCACTGCATAGGAAAGATATGTCTTCAAAGGCCTGCTGAGTTTTTGTTTTGTTTTTTTTTTTAAGTGGCAGATAGTTTATTTCCTTTGTCCTGTTTTCTCCCAGGGGTCATCACGTGTTCACTATGTCAAAAGGAGAGAGGTACTCATGGATTTAGTTTTGCTGTGAATCCACTTTTCTGGTTGGGATGATAAGGGATTTGTGACCACAAATCAATGCACTTAAATGTAGTGGATGGATGAAGAAAAATAGTTTTTTTCTATTACTATTTTTTCTTTTCAAAACTAAGTACTCAGGCAATTATGTTGAAGACTTTATAGACCTGAATGTGTTTTTTAGATTCCTTTAGTCTCTTGAAGAGCTAAAATTTGTAGGAATCTAATCCACAGTCTGTGAAGGTGGAGAGGTGTGTGATGGGCCTGACATTTCACAGAAAGTTTTAAGTGGAAACCAAGGAGTTACTGGCCAAAAAAGTGTGTGTTTACTCCCTGACATCTTGATCTCTAAAGCGAGCACTGCCAAAAGTCATGCTCAGCTGATCACTGCAAAGGATGACAGAGCAGCTGCAGAAGTTTCTTCAGGTATGTGAATAAGAACAGAATGAGAAGTAGACCTGCATAGAGACCTGCATAGAGAAAGAGGAAACAAACTAGCTAGGTTGTTAAGGCCCTACAATGAAATGAGCATTTATCTTATTTTTAAGTAAGAATGACCATAGTGAGTGAGGGGAAAAAGATAAAATGAGCTTATGAAAAGGGGAACAATCAATGTTGGGCTAGAAATAAAATTGGATGTATTCAGCATGCTCTGGTTGGAGGGTAATACCTCCATGCTGGAAACTTGAAGACAGGCATGCAAAACTGTGGTATTGCTGTAAATATTTTCAACAAGCTGTTCAAGTTCAGGGTGACGCTGTGACTGGAACATCAAATGAAATGCTTAATCCATTCTGAAGGCCTGTGCATAATTTTGTGGAGGAAAGTAATTGAAAATTGAGATAAGTGACATAAAGTGCAGTCTAGACTCTGAAAGATGCAGCCAGATTAGTCTGATTGTTTTGCTTATCTTCATCTAAAAATTAGATGGCCTTATGTATTTAAACCAAATGCTCTGCTGAGGTGCAGTGCTATGAAGAAGGCTTTTGGCTTCACACATGGAAGGGAGGTTAGCAGAGAAGTTAATTGTAAAGTGAATAAGGAATCATCTCATGGGGGGATTTTTTTTTCAAGTAATGGATTTAGGACCAATATATTTTAGCATTTACAGTAATGATCTTGACCCCAAACGAGGCTGAGCTCTGAAATATTGCCAATAATTAGGATAATCAGAGTATAAATAGCATGAAATGGTGATAACCCTCAAAAGAAATAATTTGAAATAGAATGGTATACTAGGAAACAATGCACCTAGGGACAGATTACACACCAACAGAAGTTTGGTGAGAGTTTATCAATTCAGAAGGTATAGAGGAGGAAGATCCGGGTATTTTATCTGAAAAAAAGATGGAAGGTTGAGCTGCTAAAGTGCAACTGTGAAAAAGGCAGATTTGTTCTATTGTGGTATGGTCATTAATGAGAAATAACTAATGTATCTGTATAATGAGACCTTGTTTGGTGTATTGAGTGTGGATGAACAGAAAGTGTCCACAAAAAGTAAGAATTCATCATGGAAAAGGTACAGTGAAGGTCCAAAGAGGTAACAGGTGCTAGAGATACCTCTCATAGGAGGAGCAAAGGGTCAGGAATATTTCTTTAGTCTGTTGTAGCGAGTGCTGAAAAAGGATCCAGTTACTTATGTTACTAAAAGCATTCCAGTAGAGTACGATGCTAAAGAGAGGAGAAATATTTGGCTAAAGGAATATGTATAGATGGATGGTTAATAAGTTTAGCTGAAAATTAGAAGGGAGCATCTTGAGATCCTCAATGGAAGCAGCAAGAACAAAGTCCTGACTGGGACAGAAACACTTTGGTTGCACTGGGACAGAAAAGAATTAGCAAATGTTGTGAATTTAGGATGGGGAGTAAGTAGCCATTTCTACGTGCCCTGAGAGTGGTGTTTGGCAAGCTATGGTTTAAAATTTCCCATCTTGAAAGTGTTTGAGGAACTTCAACAGACTGGGGGAAGTATACAACATGCTAGCTGAGTTTTTGCTGTTTCCAGAAACATCTTTTTGCTCCTTCTCTCTACCTTTCTTCATGTCATTCTGCCAGTTTGTCTGAGAGGTGAAAGATACTCCCATAAGAGCTTGGGGATCTATAGAAAGAAGGAGTATAGTACAGTTTTTGCTATACCTTATGTCTAGGTGCAATGACTCTTCTCCCTTTCTCTGCTATAGTAAAGAGGCTGAACCTATATACTTTTAAAGCTTATATAATGCCTCGTTTAAGCCATGAAGAATTTCTGATTTACAGTCAAGTTCACTATGTATTAAGACTACCACAAAATTATGAAGACAAACAAAAATTTGCAGAAGTTTTTTGTTTTGCTTATACTCCAACTCCTTTTAGAAGAAGCTATTTTTACTGGCTTGGCTGAATCAAGAGATTGATAAAAGAGGGTGTAAAGCCTTTCAATTAGATTTCTTTGCTTAAAACTCAGTCCCAGGTGGAGGTGACGAACGATTGTTCCTGTCTTGTGATTGCTTAGTGATAATTGTGCAATAAATTAAGCTTCAGTCGAGATCTCAAGGTACTGTCTGCATGGTGTACTGCCATGGTTGGTGAAGTACAGTAAGCACTGTAATGGTCATGTACAAGGTGGAGGGAGGTGCTGATGATGTTCCCTCTTACTGTTCTTAAAGTTAAGTTGTGTGGTTTTTTTCTTCAAGAGTTTACTATTTAAGTGTTGTTGTGCTTTCAAGGAAACTGAAAGGGGCTTTAAGTTCTTCCATCACCTCAAATATTTTAACTTCAAAGATGTTTCTTAATAAATAATGGGTATGAATTATGAAATCGAGTGTTGTGTGAATGCTGTTATTGATTTCCTCTCCCACACCTTGAATCCATGTGACTGTTAAAAGTTAAGAGCTGGCTGCATAGATTCACATGAATTTGCCATGCTTTCCTCCTAGGCTGAGCAGTATTAATGAGTTATCTTGCTGCGTGGTAGCACTATACTGATTAAATGAATTAGTGAAATGAGAGCTGCCTACAGCATGTCAGTCTTGCAATCTGCACTTACTGTCAATTACTCTAAATGTAAAAAATTACTTCTAGTCCATTTCCCTTAAATGAGAAATGGACACACTATGCATTTGCAGCCTTTCTTATTTTAAATGAGAAATATCACAGAATCACAAAACAATCATATAATTGTTTTTAATATATATTTTTACAAAGAGGAATGAAAAGCTGCATAACTGGAGATGATTTGTCTGGAGAATTTCATGTGATTTCAAAGTAAGCTTTTTCTTTAATTAAGGTGTAGTTTGGTCCTAATCATAAACTGCATCCTTATTCATGCAAACACCACCACACAGCTGTTAGTACGTATGTGTTCCTATTCACAATCAGAGACAAAACTTGTATTGAAAGCTTCTTCATTTGAAAGTGTTGATTAGAAGAATGGTTATGAAATGTAGAACTTCCATTATTTGTGCCCCTTTTTTCTCTTTTTTTCTTACTTTTGCTGTTTTCCTTTGTCTGTCTGACTGCTGTTGAATTATTTTTCCTTTTCACATTTTTTTTAGCGTTTTCTCATCAGATTGTCTGTCAAAGCTCTTATATCTTTCACTTTGTAAGAGTGTTTGAGTTCCAGTGTCAGTGGAGAAGGACACCGACTCATTCAAACTGGCCTGTTCCTGTGGGTCTTTGTTACACAATGCCACCAAGAGACACTGGTTAAGTTGCTATTTTGCTGCAAATGTTTGCAGCCTGGTGCAAAAGGCCAAGTGGTTGAAGAATTCACAAACTCATATGTATAAACTGCTGAATTGTGTATAGCAAACAGGAAGACAGTTAACATCTGTGGCTAGGGTAGTTGGACAGTGCCTGCTGTAAGATGCATTTTTTCTTCTCTAAACAAGTTTTCACCTTTCTTCATTTTTTATTTTTTCCCTTTCATGTACAGTGGAGTGAATGAGGTTTTTTAAGTTGTGAAGTTTGATTATATGCAAATGTACTTGCCTAAAGTACTTATATCTAGAGCAGTTTATGGAATTCCAGTGCATATGGAATACAGCTTATTTTATGTTAATCGAAATGGATCAAATCTAGAAGCTATATAAACAGCATTGCTTATGTGTAATGTTGTAATGGGCTTTGATTGCTTTATGTTGTGTCTTACGTGTTATGTTCTGACTTTTTTATCTAGAGGTTTTTTCTTGTTGGAAGTAATCCTGCAGAAACCAAGTACCGTGTTTTGAAAATAGACCGCACTGAACCAAAGGATTTGGTTATAATTGATGATAAGGTGAGTGCATCTCTTGTTAGATTTTTTTTTTTTCAATTACTCCAAAAATACCATGTGTTATCCACTGGCTGAATTTTAATAGTGCACATTTAATCTGTTTCAACAAAGGTATGGTACAGAATAACAGTCACGGAACAGTTGAAGTTGGAAGGGACCTCTGGAGGTCATCTAGGCCAAGCCCTATCCCTAGAGCTGTATCCGCTAGATCAGGTTGTTCAAGGCCGTTCCCAGGCACTCTTTGAATATGGATGGAGACTCCGTAGCATCTCTGGATAATCTGTTCCAGTGTTTGACCATCCTCATGTAAAAATAGCTTTTTCTTATGTTCAAAAGGAATTTCCCTGTATTCCAGTTTCTCTCTGTTGCCTTTGGTCCTTTTACTGGACACCACTGAGAAGAGTCTGTCCCAGTCATTGTTACTCTCTTCTTTAGGTATTTTGATACACATTGATAAGATCTCTGAGCTTACTCTTCTGCAGGCAAATCAGTCCCAGCTCTCTTGGCCTCGTATGTGAGATACATACATTATTAGCATGATAATGACTATATTATGGGGAGTAGTCTTGAGATCTCCAAATAGTTCATTCACTTTAATGAAAATTTCCCAAGGTCTTAAGTTGGCTGTGTATATGCTCCTAACAGTTTTCTTATGTTTGTTTATGCTGTTCTGAATGCAAAATACATTTAATTACTATTTAGCCAGATTTTCATTGTTTCTAATATATCATATCTGAAGCAAAATAAATATTTTCAAGAAGGTTATAATTTAAAACCTTAATGTGTAAGAGTCAAGAGATGTTTGAATTCACATGTGACTGTGATTATTACTGTTGCAGTGGACATTGTTTTTTGTGCATAAAAACTTGTTGTACCTCCTGGTAAGAGTGAAACAGGAGACTGAGGATGCAGGGCAAAAAATTGTTTTATTCTATATTAAGTAAATACTACTGTTCTCTGACATGGAGTAACATCTAACTACCAAAGCAGTGACTTGAGGGACTTTTTATTTTAAAGCATGTGTATACACAACAAGAGGTGAGGGAACTTCTTGGCCGCTTAGACTTGGGAAACAGAACGAAGATTGGGCAGAAGGGCTCTTCTGGGTTATCCCGAGCTGTCTCTGCTTTTGGAGTAGTAGGTAAGTGTTTCATTTGTTTTTTATCCCCTTAAGGAGGTGAGGCTTACTGTGTCACACTGTACATCTTTGTCTCCCCTTGAGGTTGTTTTTTTTTAAACTGAAGATTTTCACAAGGAAAACGGTCTCCTAAATTTCAGAGCTCACAGAATGCTTTTTAAAGTAAAACAAAAGTCAGAGTTGGTGTCCTTTATTAGCTTGTATTTCTTCATCACATACTATTCAGGAAGATGACTAATTTTTTTTTTTTGGTTAAATTTTGCAGTGAAATCTTCAAATATTTCTTTTTCATGTTTGAACAGGTATGACTGTCAAGTATGTCAACTGAATTTTTAAATGCTGATTGGCTGTCCGTTATCTTAGAAGCTATTAAATTCTTGAAGCAATTTTCTAACTAACTTCATCTGAAAGTCACTACTTGCCTCCCTATTGTCAAATATTGAGTTTAATATTTGGATGGGTGATGTCTCCAAAGTAGATGTTAATGTGAGCTCTGACAGCCCCAAAGAATACTTTGTGCCTGATTGACATCAGTATACACCTGAACATCTAAATCCAAAACGGCAGGGAAGGTAGAGACTGCAAGTACTTTAAAAGATGCTCCTAAATTTTGTATAACAACCAAATAAAATAGTTTTCTAAAGTTGCAGATTCTGCAACCTTACATCTATATTTTTTTTTCTGCTAAAGAAAACCCCCAAACCAAAAGACAATTTGGAAGCTGTCAGTGGATCCACTTCTTTTCAGAAATTCCTCAGATGAAGTTTATTTCCTATTAATGTAGGGGCATTACTAACACAGCTGAAGATAAAGATTCTTCTTATAGTCTTACAGCATTGGCTTTCTTTGCACAAACTACCAGTGTTCCTTACATAAACGTATGATATGTTTGCTCAGTTGGCAAGTAGTCATGTTCAGTTAAAATTTTGCATCCAAATTGTATGTATATTTATATGTATGCTTCATAACCATTACAGAAGAGTTGAAATTCTGTGTATTGATTATTAGATATGGTGTACTATTTTTAGACATTTTTTAAGAAGCAATATACTCTTTTGGTAATCCTCAGGTATTTATCATGCACTGTTAAGGTACGTGCTCCAGGCGTTTTATGTCTGGGTCCTATCTAATCTGAGGGAATTTAACAATTTATTTATTATTGCCTTCTGGTCAGGAGGACAGTGCTATTTTTTGTAGAATCAGAAAGGACAGTTTTGCTCTGCTTTCTGGTTACTTTGTTAACCAGAGGTGGTATATGTGGGTGCTCCAGAATGGGGGAGATGATATAGTGTTTAAAAATATAAAACACTACTAAATTGGGAGGACTAAGCAAAATGGAAAGGCTGGATTCCCAGTCAGACTTTAGGATAACATTTGGTGAGATTCAAAGGACAAACAATGTTCGCTTAAGAGATTTCACTACCTAGAGGATGCAGGAAGAACTTCGACTGCTGTTTAGGAACTGAAAGTCAATAGCCCAGCTCTTTCAAACAGAAGGTTTTGCTTCATAGTGTCAGCAGGGTCTCCTTTCCTTGTGGAGGTGAGAACATTTTTCCATGGCGGATAATAAGGGAGAAGAAAAGAATTGCCATTCATTCGATCGCCTTGCAGCCTCCAGCAGTGACAGGGTGGAAAATGAGTATGCTTACTCATCCTTCTTTAAGTTATAATGCAAAACTAAAAGAAATTATAAATGCACTTTAAAATGACTGTGATTTACTTTTTCCAAATGAATATATTTGTTGACAGTGCAGCAACATTGCAAAGCAGCTATTTTCCAAGAGCTCATTCATACAATTTATTAGTTAATTAAACTTTGTGTTGCTGTGTTACTACTTACATTGTATTGAAAACAAATTTTGGTTCAGGGGTGTTTACGTATTTCTCTTTTTAATTTGAACTTATGCTTTTTTTTTTTTTGCATTGAATGGTTTATTACACATTTTCCTGATGATACATAACAGAGACATGCAAAGAAACTCAGTAAAGAAGTATGGCTGTACCCTGTAGTGGTAAGGAATAAGTAGAGAGTTCAGAAGCCTTTTTTAATACACAATAAAGCCAGACACTGCCTGTTCTGGACTTCAGCAGGGTCAAGCATATTTCCTGAGAGAATAAATGGCAGGATTACCCTCGATTCTCTGAATGGCTAATTTTTGGGAGAATCTGGGAGACATTTGCCTACTGTTAAGGAGAGAGAACATAAAGGTGATATTGTACCCTTGTGCTTTTTTGTGCCCCTTCCCAGCAAAGAATACATAAACCTGAAAACAAAAGTTTTAGACTTTTGGTGTCTGAAGTAATTAGGCTATGCCTCACTCTGAGTAGTGAGAGACATTTAAAAAGTAAATGCAAGTATCGTAAGCAGACAGCAACTTACTTGGAATAGTCTGTGTCTTAACTCTGCTACCTAATATTAAAAATATAAACAGTGAAGGGCGGGAGGGTGAGGAGAAGAAAAAAACAGACAACAAACAAGCAAAAAACCCCAACTACATGTACATTGTTTTATAACACATTGAGGTGAACATTAGGAGTCTATCAATAGCAGTATTTTTATTTACACATATAATCATATATATACATATAAATAAATAAGAATATTTTTATGAAGTCCTGAATGGTTCTGATACTGTTTTTCTAACTACGATCAAATCAATCCAAACATCCAACTAATGGTATTTGCATACTTTTTTTTTTTTTTTAAACAGGTTTTGTCAGGTTTTTAGAAGGCTACTATATTGTGTTAATAACTAAAAGAAGAAAAATGGCAGATATCGGAGGTCATGCCATATATAAAATAGAAGATACAAACATGATATACATTCCAAATGACTCTGTAAGAGTCACTCATCCTGATGAAGCCAGGTAAGTTATGGTGGCAAATGGTGTGTGCCTTTTGAATGTTTTCCAAGCAATGAGGAACTGGAACTAGAGATTTTGGTCATGGATTCCCTTTTGTTATGTCATTCAAACCATTTTATCCTAGTTGATAAATCAGTCTAGAAGAATGGAGAATGGGACACAAGTTCTGTGGCTTCTACCCTGGAGGGTATCTACCGCTGTTAGTCTCAGAGCAGTTTGTCAGCCTCTCCATGCCACATGTCAAAGCTGCATCTTAGCCATTGCACAGCACAAAACATCCAATATAAGCATTGTACTCTACAAAAGCAATGTAATGCTAATACTAGTTTATATTGTTTGGGGTTACTGTCCTTTCTTAATCACTTGCATCATGTTAATCTCACCTGAAGAGATCTTTCAAGACATTCTGAGTAGATGATTTAATGTAATCTTTATGTGCTGTCAGAACCTTGTGGATGTTGGTGTTGTAAAGGGTGATAAACTCACCCATGGGTAACTTTAGCTTCATTTTTCTTTCTGTGACTTCTTTCTGAAGAAAAAAATGGGGCATTTGATCAGCAGGGAATCTTGTATGAAATGTACAAATACATCCTGATGTTGATTTTATCAGGATGGTGTAACTTTAATTTTATAAAATGCTGGCGAATGGTATCAATAAACTACTTCTCAGTGTCTACCAACAGTGAATATCCTAAAAGTTGTGATGGGTTATGATAAACTGATGGCAGGTAATAAATTAAGCCGATGGCAACTATGAAAAAAAAAGTTTCCACGTTAAGATATGATTGACAGCATACCTCAGTCTCCCCTCTTAAAGTGCAACAGACCATATTATCTAAGCTATTATTTCAATACCCATGGTGTTAGCCATTTTATCTTTCATAGGCAGTGTTAGAGTTTCTTCTGAGAATTTGTAATTGTATAACAGGTTGATCTAGATATTTCTTTCTCTGTTCATTTGAGAATAACTGTAAAAATCTTTAATTTTTATATAGTACTGTTGGGAGTTTACTTATGTAGATCCTAGAAATTTTGACCCACATTTGTGGAAAACAGAATTACAGCTGTCTCTACAGCTGCCTAAAGAAAGAGAATCTACATGAGTAGACACTGTATAAAAAAAATATTTGTTTAATCCAATTGTTGACATTGTAGTGGAATTACCTGACCGTCAAAACAATTGCAGTAAGATAGCTAAAGAACTTCTGACAAGAATCAATATTTATATGTAGTTTACTTGCTGAGGTCCTGGTTGACTTTGGTCTGTATGGCTAGTAATAACTGTCCCTTTAACTTCCATTATTTTTTTAGGTATCTGAGAATCTTTCAAAATGTGGACCTTTCTAGTAATTTCTATTTTAGGTAAGTACTGATTACTAAGTCCTTTAAAGTAGTGTAATTACACTTCCTATAAGATTCTGCTTTTGGATTCTGATAATCAAGATCTTTAAGTTGTTATCTTAGGGAAGTTAGATGGATATGATCACACAGTTTGTCTATTTTCTCTGAATTTTGAACCTGCTTCAACAAATTCATTGAGAATATAGCCTCTGTGAAGCTGAAAAACTTACAGAAATATTAATGACAGGGTAGATACTGAAATTTGCGTTTCACTGACAGAAAAGCTGCAGTATGAACCCAGCACTAATCTGTTCTGTTTGTTATGCTGCCTTGTCAGTCTGCACATGAGGACCTTGTGGAGATCTATGAACTTGGAGGGGAAATTGTAGAGCTGAGGAAATTGTAAAATATAATGAGAGTTTTGGGATCACTGCTTCCTTGCAGTTGTAGATAGAAGGACATTGAACTGAAATTGATAAATAGTTCTGCTGCTCAGAAAATAATGGGATTTCTCTTTGCCCAGTTCTCAGATCGTTTACCTTTGTTTCATTCTGCAAGGTGTTCACAATAAGTGTCTCCTAGATGCAAACTGTAAACAGTTGCCAGTATTTTTGTGTGCTGTTACAGGCTCATTATGAAAACTGCAATTTTTTTCCTGCAGCTCTTCTGGATTGGTTTTCTCTAGTCAAGTTGGATGGGGAGAGTGTAATACTACTTGCCTTAAATAAATAACACAACTGTTCACCCTTGCCAGATAACACAGTCGTTCTTTCTTTAAAAAAGTGGCGTATTTCAGGGGATTTGCTTGTCCTGTCAGTTTTTCTTTCTTGATCTCATTTTACAGAAATGGAGCTTTGCCTTGATTCTGAAACAAAAGAACAGAAATAATACCCTGTGCAGAGTGTATCTTTCATAGGGCCTTCTTGGCATTACTGATTCACTTGCCTACTCTTTCATAAAGTGACAAGTCCCTATGTCTAGTCCCAGCTGCTATCACATGTGAGATTTTTCGTACAGTAGAAAAATGAGGGAAAGGTTGTGCTAAACCTAGCAGTGTTAGTTACGAGACTTTGTCCTAAAACAAAACGAAACAAAACCTCTTAAAAGTACCAAAGTACCTAACAGTCTAGAACATACTTCCTCTTGGAAAATACAGGCTTTATGTCACAGCTGTATCAGTGAAGAAGAAACCTACCCAGGCTTTGTGTCTGTTTCGTGGCTTTGAACAGGAAAACTGTTTTCACAGTGCTGAAACTGCTTTTTTCTTATCTCTCAGATCTAGTGTAATATAACCCCCATTTTTAATCTGCTTGGAGATGATGAACATATGCTGTTGCGGTGGTTGTGCCTAGAGGGGAAAGGAAAGGTTTCTTGTAAAACTCTCTGATAAAACACATTTACCAGTTTAATTTTAATTGTTCATGGAAATATAGTGGATACGTGGGTTAAATGTTGTTATCATCAACCATAAATCTATACGCCTAATTTGTTTTAGATTGTTAATGAATATTTAGAATTTACTGGAGGGCCAATAATCACCGATGCTGCCTTAGGCTAAAGTGGAAGTCTCTTTGTACTTCTGATTTAAGTGTTGCATAAATTTGGTTTCTCCATGGGGAAATGAATCCTAATGGCTTGTAAAAGTTAGCAGTAAGCATAGTGTTGTCAGTATAAAAGGCATGAGATGCTGCATTTGTTACTGTTACGGAACTAAATTAAAAAAAAAAAAAGACAACTTTTGCTTATTCAGCAGTCCTTACTCTTAGGATGTATTTATGCTGCAATCACAAATTTCAGGTCAGAAAGTTTTTGTGGGTCAAATTTCTTGCTGCTTTGAGTTCAGGTAGTAGGTAGAGAGTGATACTTAGATTTCTGAAAATGTAGGTTGTCTCTGTATGGGTATTTCTAGTGGAATAGCTAGCTTTGATCATCTGGACTGCTTCTTAGAACAAAGGGAAGTATGTTTTCAGATGTGTTTTGTTCAAAAGCTGTGTTCAATTTTCAGTTATAGTAAGAATATAAATACAGTTTCATCTATTGTAGCATAAACAGTTTCTGTGTTTGTAAAGCTTCATTTGGAAACAATCTGTACCATTTGCTAGTATAGAATCAGATTTTTTGTGTGTTGTTTAAATGTCATTTTTTAATGTATAACATAATATGTTAAATAAAAGTATAGATAGAGAGTAATGGCTTTCAGAGAAGTCTCATGCATTTACAATTATTAATAAATGTTAACTGTCTATCAGTTACAGCTATGATCTGTCTCACTCCCTTCAGTATAATCTTACTGTTCTGAGAATGCCACTTGAGCTACTGAAAACCGAAACAAGTCAGACCCGACAAGAGAGTTTTGATATATTTGAAGATGAAGGACTTTCAGCACAGGGTGGAAGTGGTAAGCAAATAAATCTAATAAAACAAAATTTGTTGGTCATGAGTACATTTAGAATATATTCCATTTAAGTTTACTTTTGAGAAACAGTTGTTTCTTCAATATTAATCAGTAGTCAATAAAGCAGTGAATTAATAAAAGATTACATAAAGTACCAATTAGACATTTGAATTTGAACAATGCAATTTGTAGACATGATCAATCATTGTTTTGGTAATTTACATTGCAGTTCAGGCAGATAATTGAGCATGCTGACATTTTTCAGCAATTGATTATTGAACTGATTTGTAGTATTCTCAATAGGATTGATTTACAAACAGAATAGGAAGCAATAACTGGTTAAATACTAAACCTTTTTTGTTTCATTTTGGGAAACTTACTGCAGAGGAATTGTATGAAGTTAGTATCAACTTGCTGCATCAAACACTGTCAGGAAGCCCAAGAATATTTGTTGATTTTGGTTGAAAACTACAGCCTTCACTTTGGAGCTGACATACACACATCAGACAAAAGATTATAAAGATGACCAATCAGACTTGAAAATTGTTTTCTCTCCCTTATGCTTTGCCCTTCCAACTCTGCCTCCCTCCCTCCCATTCCAAAAAATCAACCCTACCCTAAATTCTTAATATTGGATTTCATTCTGTTGAGGCTGATGTTTCTAGGTTTTATTATCCTGTGACTTACACTCATCATCTGAACACAATGGCAATAAATTGTGTTTTGTTTTTTTTTTTAATTTTTATTTTTTGGTATTGTGTCACCACTTTTTTTTTTTACTTGTTTAAACATATAATATTCTAATTTCTGAAATGAGTAAAGACTCAAGTTCCAGATGTATTGGAAATTGAATTTTAATATGCAGCCCAACAATAGCTGTGTTTCTTAGTGTCAGCACAAATTAAGAAAACCAGACTAAATTATGTAAGAAGGGGAGGTAAAATACTTTTTTTTTAAGAGGATAAAGGCTATTCACAGTCTTCCAGAGCTGATCCAGAATTGAAAAGCTTATATAGTCCTTCTCTGGGAGTATTTTTGTCTGAACTGGAATTCACAACCTGATTTCTTTTCTTTTATTATCAAATCCTCCATTACCATGCAGAGATCTCTCTTTAGTATTGGAAGTAGCAGAAACTTCTGCACAGTGTGTTGAAGACACTCAAATACTACAGTGACTGGCAACCATATTAAAAATTTACATCTCAATAAATGCTGAACTTCAGCAAGTGCTTCATGTTATCTGTGTTTGGCAAACTTCAAGGATACGAGTAGATGTTATGCTGGGTTGCAGCCGAGGGTAAATAAAAATAAAGGTCCAGTGACCCCATGTTTAAAAAAGAGTCCAATGTAATTGAGTTTGTTTCTTAATCGTTAATGCTGTTTCATTGTAACGACTTCTAGGTGTATTTGGAATTTGCAGTAAACCTTACGAAAAGTACGTGTGGAATGGGAAGCTGCTGGAGGCAGTAAAAAATACTGTTCATCGTGACTGGCTGCTGTACATCATTCATGGATTTTGTGGGCAATCAAGTATCCTTTTACCCTTGTAACTAATGGCAGTTTATTGATTTAAAAACTTTGAATGTGTGAAATACATTGAACTATTTCTTTTTAAGGTCACCTTTTAATTTTATAATTATCGATTGTGTTTTATTTTCATTACTTCTCTAGGCTTTGCGGCTAAATATGGTTATGTTCTTTTTATATGGTTGTGATGCAAGTAGGCTGTATTCTCACAGAGGCACTAAGTAAGCATGGACTTCAGTAATAAAGAGCTTGAGAAGATTTTAAGGCTCAGCTGTATCTTTCAAAGATATTTGAGGAAGGGCAGAAAAGCTGAACAGAACTGAATTGCTGACATAGAAATGCCCTCTAACTAATCCCCTTTAAAATAGTTTTTTAGTAAGTGAGATTTGAAGAAAATCTTGACTTTACACTGTTTCTTTCGGAAGATGATGATAGACCTCCATGACTTCTGCAGCAATTATTTTAAATGTCTCTATTTACATAATAGTACTAGGAGAAAAAAAAATAAAAAAATGCATATCTCATTCCAAAGAAATGCCATCTCAATATCTTAGTTGATAAGAATTTAGTAAATTACGGGGATGTTAGATTTTAATCATCAACAGTATAATGCTAGTTAAAATAGACATACTTCTCTTCCATATGTTGTGAGGAGGTACTGTGATGTAAATTCCCTTTTCAAAATGCTTCCAAAATGATTGTTGAAAAGGGCAATATTTTCTCCCAACTGCAAAAGAAATTTGGAAGTGATACTTATCTCTATAAGGAGATTTTAGTAGAACAGATGTTTTGCACCCCAACTTTTTTTCCTAGAATTTATTTTTGCTCACTTGAATTAAGCAAACAAAAATCAAGTACGACATGTAAACCTTAACTTCTCTTTCAAGAGCTGTTAATTTATGGTCGCCCCATATATGTCACTCTGATAGCCAGAAGATCAAGCAAATTTGCTGGAACACGTTTTCTGAAACGAGGAGCAAACTGTGAGGTAAAATAAGTGTGATCGCAGTGTTGTGTGGTAGTTCCCCCTTGTCCCCTAACAGAAAACGTGAACCTGGATGACTAGTGAACTGATACGTTTAGAGGGTTGCTATGGCTTTGGTTGTAAATTATATTATTAGATAATGTTACTAAAACTATCACTACATTTTAAAGGCAGGTAATAAAGCTTTCTTAAAATAGTAATTTTTAATTGGAAGTTCTTTATAGCATTTATGTTATTTGCATCAATAATGTTATTTGTCAAATAGAAAAAAAAATAGATCAAATACATTTAGGGATAAATGGATATTCAGCCTTCATTTGTGTTGTCACTACTGTGCTTTGGTGTCTTACAGCTTAATTGTGCTCCATCTGTAATGATCAGTTCTCTGTAATGCATGCAGCTCTGAAGTGTCATGTCTATTTCATGTGTGTATTTCTGTTCATTGTAGGGGGATGTTGCTAATGAAGTGGAAACTGAACAAATCCTTTATGATGCATCGGTTATGTCATTTTCTGCGGGGAGTTATTCTTCCTATGTTCAGGTTCGAGGATCTGTCCCTCTGTACTGGTCTCAAGATATTTCAACTATGATGCCTAAACCACCCATAACACGTATGTACAATTTTTTCTTTGTAATAGGTTATGGCTAGCACTGTGTCCTAATGGAACACCTGAGAGAGTAAATGAAAACTGAACTTGTAAAATGAATAAACTGTCTAAGCGTTTGTTTTATGGGAGGCTATCATTTAAGGTAAACAGAGTTCTTTATAATAAACATAGTGGCTTATAAACATTCAACCATATAAACAGCTGCATTTGATGAAATTGAATAGAAAAAAATCACCATCTTAGACTTCAATGTCAGATGTGGAATACAAAAAAACTTACATTTAAAAATGTCAGCTTTCTTTGTTCTTATTGGTTTGTATACAGTTATGTATTTTATCTTAAAGGGTTGTGGATAAAATTTTGAACCTGTTGAAAATGTTGGAAAACATCTGGGTTAAATTTAATGGGGCCAGAATAATTGCTCTCTCTAAGTATCTCACAAAAGTTTTGGTTTAAAAGTCACTTCCATTTATGAAAAATGAGGATTTTTTAACAGCTTTTGCATGAAAAGAATACATAATTATATCATTATAGAGACTTAGTAACTGTTTTGTGAAGAGTACATTTAAGGGAAAATTATATAAGTGACTCTACAGCTCTCTTAATGTGATCTTGAATATATGTATCTGTTGCAGTTGACCAAGCAGATCCTTTTGCACATGTTGCTGCTCTTCACTTTGACCAAATGCTTCAAAGATTCGGCTCCCCCATTATTATTTTGAATCTTGTGAAGGTACAATATTTTGAATATGTTCTGTATGTTTTGCTATTTTAAATACAATATGCTGTTCTGTGGAGTCTCTGTGTACTTTTGTTTGTACTCTGAACTAACGTTAGCTTGTAAGTGGCATATTTTCTTCGTAAATCTAATCCTATGCAAGAGTATACATAATTTTATAACAGCTTCCACTGTAGCCCTTCCAAAAAAAAAAAGTATTTCCCATTTTTGTAAACTTCTTATAATTATGTTTCACGTTTTCAGGTTGTTGCTATTACCCCTTAGATAGGAGTAAGTCCAAATAAATTTATGACTAAATCTAATTTACTATTAACTTTCTATGATAGTAAGGTTCCATGCAAAATGAAGTTTGTAGCTTTCTTGACACAAATGACTGAGTTTTTTTGAAATATCATAATAAATGGTATTTCACTTTGTTTGGTCTGGTAGAGTCATGGGTGTATGGGCAGGAGACAAAGCTGAAGCATCTCATACTGGTTAATGGGCAGTGCCAGGGGCAGCAGGGGTGGGCTTACAGGGAAGCTCCTTGATTGCTGCAGTAATTTTGTTAACTGCTGTGTGGAAGGCTGTGGTAGCCAAAGCCTGGAATCTGGGTGGCACTGTAATTCTGAGTATTATATTTTGTGTTTGTGGTTGTTTTTTTTGTTTTCCTGTTCTGATTCAGCCATTTTCTCTCATGGTATCTCAAGCTGGGCAGGTTTGAGCTTGCTGTTGGAAGGTGGGAGGTATACCAGGCAGCAAAAATAAGAGAGGAGGAGTGGACTCCAGACCCTGGGAGTTTACCCAGTCTCAAACAGAATTTCTAATAAGTGAAAATAAATCTCAAACATCTGAGTATGATGTCAGAAGAGAATAACAGTGTAACCTGTTTTTAAAATTAGTTTTATTTGCTACAAGGCAGAAACCATAAATTCTTTTTACATTTTGGCAGCTTTAGTAGAGCAGATGCAAACTTAACAGTTTGATTTTTTTTTCCAGAATTTCTGTCATTTTATTTGGTATTTTCTTCTGATAGCTGGACAGTGAAGGTTATTTTGTATATCTTACTGCAGTTTTTTCTCTTTAATGAACTGCTTCCACATTCTGTTTCAAATTGATTTGTTTTGCTTGAATATCTTACTACTTTTTAGGCTTTAAAAAAAAAAACAAACTATCATTTCATTTATCATGTAGAACTGTATTCAGTAGAAAAAAGGACCTTTTATCTGCTTGTAGGATCCATTCCTAGTATGAAAAAAGGTAGGGAAAATACAAAAGGAAGACTTTTAAAACCCAGAATTGTAATAAATGGCAACTAGATGACCTATTTTTTATTTCTAGAAGCTTTCCTACATAGCAATACTTTTAAGACTGTCCAAGAGTCTGTGGAATCAACTTAGGATAGCATTTGTTGACAAGAAAATTTTCTCTCTTGCAGCCATAGATTTCAAGGGCCATTATTACAGTGTGAGTCTAGACTCACATAACCTTGACATGTGAATGATTATATGTCTTTATTCACAGGCCTTTTGATACTACAGCTGAAAATGCATCTCTTTCTTTCCCTCAAAAAAAAACCAAATCATCTTTGCATGTTGCTTTTGCTTTTACACAAATGCTAATGATTTTTGTCTCCAGTACTTTTATTATTTGATTTCTTAAAAGCTGATCAAATGTAAATCTACTTCACGCTTTACCTGTCTAGCCTGGAAGTTTGTTTATCAGTAACAAATGTATTAGACTTTCTTTGGGTTTGTTTATTTATGGCTACAGTTATGTATTTAAATCAGTCTTCGTAACATAAGTTCAATATAGGTTTTAGTTTAGACTAAATTGAGAGAAAAGCTATTTTATAAGAGTGCCAAAAACATACGGTATGTTCAGAGAATGGCGGTGTAATTCTAACTTTTGTCAAATATTTAGATTATTCTCTATTCTGTTTGTAGTGCAATTAGACTAGTTACGCAGATGTGCCAGCAGTGGTGTGGTGTACAGCTTCCAATTCTAATTTCTGTTAATGACTAAAACATTCAAATACACCACTGAAGTGAAGTAAAACTACTCATGCTTAGCTTTTTTTTTCAGTGGCATTCAAAAAAGTGACAAAGTTTGCTCTAAGATGGTTGAGATAGTGCTGTGCATTGATTGATTCAGAATGTACTAATGCATAAGAGGGATGTGAGTCTGTTTTTAAGATAAGCATGCACTGCTACTATATGACTGTTTAATTAATGCTGCTTGTTAACTGACTGTTTATTGGCTTAACAGACAAAATGTTTGCTAGATTTTTTATTTGTTTTTCCTTGTCTAAGCTATTCTACTTGAAGAAGAACTCGTGATACTTACTGTTTAATTTAGAAGGCATTGTTTAGGTTTTTGTTTCTCCCATAGACCCTTTTATTTCTCCCCAAAAATATATCTAGGAAATAAATGGGATAACTGTTAGAACACAGGTATCAAATATGCCTGACACTGCACACCTACTGCTAGTTCTGATTTTAGTACAGTTATACCCTATTTGATGCTGATACATAGTATCACTGTGATTTTTCACAGATTTTATCAGTTATTTCACTTAAGAAAATATTACTAATATAAGTTGATATTACTCTGATATTGTTCTTCAAATTCAAATGCTCATTTTCTGATTTTTATGTGTACTATGTGAACATAATTTACTATTTTTGTTTATGTCTTGTTTCTGCCTCATTCATACCAAGCAGGTAACACTTAAGTCTAGGTTAAAGAGTCTGTGTTAGAGTGTATCAGTCTATAATATATACACAGACCTACATATGTAAGTGTAAAGGTTACATATGTTTGTTAATGAAAGTACTGACGTTAACGTCCTTTTCTTTTCACCAAAGGAACGTGAAAAAAGAAAGCATGAAAGGATTCTTAGCGAAGAACTTGTTGCTGCTGTGACATATCTCAACCAGTTTTTACCCCCAGAGCATGCAATTATATATATTCCTTGGGATATGGCCAAATACACAAAAAGGTAGAAAAGGTCATTCATTGTATTAGTGCTCTTAGCCACAATTCAAGTAACTATATGATTTCAGTTAAATTTAGCTTAGGAATGATGGGAGAGTCTTATTAAGATCTATGGACAGAATAAAACCTGACCTTTCTGGAGGTTTTTTAATGTTCAAATATATAGCATCATACCAAATTGGAGCAAGGCCTAAAAACTTTGAAGTTCTCTGCAAAGGAAAGTTCTAGAGAAAAGTCAACAGCATTCTCTTTTTATTTTGAATGAGTCAAAACACTGCATTTTGTCAGGTATTTCATACCAGTCTGGAATTTATTGAGTTAGAACATTCTTTTTTAAGGAAAAAAAAAAGGGAGGAGGGGTGAATCATATCAATGTCTCTTCCATTTCTGCTTTCAAAAGGAAATGAGGATAATAAGGATATTGTATTAATTTCAGTGTTATAAAGCATTTAGATTTTAGATTATTTATCGTGGCAAATATATTTAGTAACTTTTATGATTTTTGACAATAGATTGTTGTACTAGTGTCATGTGAAAAGGATTAATGTTTTCATAAATGGTGAAACATTTACAAGTAGGAAACATTTTAAATCTATAAACGCAAATTGCTTTTCTTCAGTAACACACAATTCAGTTTTGAAGTTGTGTGGCCTGCCTATATCTACTGTTTCGTATGATACCAAAAATTCCAGATGAATAACAAGAATGGTTTTATCTGCTTTTGGGTCTCTGTTACTGTATCAATCTGAGCAAAATAATGAAAAAAATAGCTTAATTCAAAGGATAGGGATGTAATTAAATATTTTTAATGGAAAAAAAATGCTTTGAAAAGCAATCCTAACTATTTGAGATTACAAGGTGGGAGTTATGGTAGATAACATAGATGTGAATGACTATTAATTTGAAGTTTGACTTGGTTTCACACTTGGTTTTTATTCTAAAATGTCATTGTGCCCAGTTACGTTAGGTCTCTTTCTGTTATGGTGAAATAACAAATCTCAAAAGAAGAGTAGATTTTCTTTCACAAGATATGCTAGATGTAAGTTCTTGGGCTCTGTATGGAGCAATGCTTCATATGGGGAATGATACCAAGTGATCAAAAGATGCCCCTTCCAGCTGTAAGATAAGTCTATATTTATAACCACACTAGTACAGATACAAAAAATATCTGAGGGCATTGAACAAGATTAATTTTTTTATCCAACCAAGAGATACTAAAGAATGAAAGATAATGTGTCTTTGCCTAAAGAACTGACCATTTCAGGAATGCTGAGATTGTTTAAACATGTACTTTTGAAGTAAGTTTTCTGGGAAGTAGTATTGTTGGAAACATTTCAAAATAGTACTTCCGTCTTAAGATAAGCAGTTGTGAAAAAAGAAGTAATTTTTAACTTCTGTTTACACATACTTGTTTTCAAAGTTCTTACTAAAATGTAAGAACTGTACTAAAATGTCCTCCACTTGAGTAATAAGGTCTCAACTAATGGATGGATGCCCTGATCTGAACAAACTGGTGTAGGAAAATGTGAAGAACACACTGAAACAAATGCTGCTGAGTAACACAGCACCTTGCAAATAAAACCAGGGCATGCAATTTAACATGAACATTTATCCTTTTCTGTCACATTCTTATTTTGTGGTAATCACAAAAACTTCAGCAGGGAAAAGTGTGCCATATTAAAGGCAAAGAGTTTTAGATTTTTGATTCCAATTCAATTTTATGTAAAATGGTTATTAATAACTAAACAAAATTGCTCAATGTTTGTTTTCTAGGTCTGCAAACTGTAAGGAAAAGTGTATACATCATTACTGTTAGATAAAAAAATCTGATGGGAGTCTTCAATTAAATCATTTTTGTTATTAAAAGACTTCCAAGCAGTGAAAATTGTTGAATATTAATGTATCTTTACTGTGTTTTTTTTCTCTTCTCAGCAAACTTTGTAATGTGCTCGATAGATTGAATGTGATTGCAGAAAGTGTAGTAAAGAAAACTGGATTTTTTGTGAATCGACCTGATTCGTACTGCAGTATTTTGCGGCCAGATGAAAAGTATGTATTCTTATACAGATGTAGAATGAATAATATCTGCTGTCTGGAGAGTTGTCTGGAATTTCTACTGTCCGTTTTAAGGCTTCACTTAACATGAAAATATATGCTTCATTATTAAGTTTTAGCCAAAAAGGATTGTTGTCAAAGGCACATGCTAAGAAATATAATACACTGAAAATTTTGTAGTCAGTATAATTATGCTGCTGTTTCTCCACTTAAAGTGAATTCTTATATCAAACCATTATTTCTAACTTGTATTCTGTGCCATGTGTATTTATATAAAGCTTTTTTTTTCCTTAACCAACGGAATGCTAAATTTGAGGGTAAATTTTAACAAAGAGAACAATGAAGTAAAAAAGTTCAGAAACAATGAAGTAAAACTCAGAGACTCTTAGAGCTTTTTTGCTATGCAGAACAGTAAAAGTGGCAACTGTAAACTAGCATGAATGAGGTTGATGCATCCTTGTAATGCTGTGGGTTGTAGGGAGAGTCTGATGAGACTCAAAAGTAGTGCATAAGCTAGTTAACCCTCCTAGCTTGAAAATAATCAGTCGTTCAGGGTTTACGTGCATTAAGTATAACTGTTCTTCTACCTCAAAATGTCATTAATTTCAGATTTGTGTTCGCTGCCTCTGGGGTACAGCTAGTGCCTGTGCAGAGTAGCAAGAACTGGACAATGAATAGTATGTATGTCTAGAATCAGTACGAAGGCAAACTTTAAATCAACCAGCGTGTGCTACAGAGAATGTTTTGCCTCTACCTCCCAGTCACTGGCACAGTACCTACTTCTTTCTGTTTTTACACTTGGGACCCATTGAACAATGCTTGTGTAGCTCAAACTCTTTCTTGAAGGAGCAAAAGAAATATTTCATATGGCTTAGCAACATTTCTACTTCAAGGCTAGATTTTGTTTGTTGTTTTTTTTTTTTTATTATTTTTTTATTTCAGTGTAAATACAACACCTTACTAATGCACAGAGCTTTCCCTGCTTTCTTCTGTTCAGTGATTCCAGTTTTGCTTTGCAGCAGGTTTTTAGTTGACACCCTTTTTCACTGAGCAGATCTATACATGGTATGATCTGATATATTTTTAAATGATTTGTAAGTCATTCTATTCTATTTCTCTTTCAGGTGGAATGAACTTGGAGGTTGTGTTGTTTCCACTGGTCGCCTGCAGGTACTAAGATAACATACTTCATTATTTCATAGTTGTAGTGATGTAAATCAGCACTCAAAAAGCACCAGCAAGCTACTTCATGTAAATACTTGATTAGAGATTCACAGGTTACTCTCTTAAAGTAATATTTATAGTAAACAGAATTATTGGAGTCCATCTGAGAAACCTAATTGGGAAATAGGGCTTTAAGTTCTTGGGTAGTACCACAAAATTGCTGGAATTATATTTTTGTTGAATGTAGTCTGAGAAATGTTCAGATTTTAGAATAGTTGTCACTGCTACATAGTCTGTAGTACTACCCAGGTAGCAAAAGTTAAAATACCAGCTTTTTAACAATCTGTATAATACAATATTAGATAGGAGGGGTGAGAACTACACATACTTAAGTCTGTTGACATTCACACACGTGAAAATGAGTATTAAATGCATTTTTGCTGCTGCTGGAATGTTCTGTACATTGTTACAATTATTGCCACTAAACGAAAATACAACTAGAAAAACTGCTTTGAGGTCAAAAAAGTGCAGGGTGATAAATTATTTAGTAACGGATTAATACTTGAATGTTACGGTTATATACTCTGAACACAGGATGTGTTCTGGAGAAACATCAATGCCTTTTGACTTGTCATTCATTACTTTGTAGTTCACCTAAGCTGGAAAGCATGTGACCATTTCTTTACTAACTGAGCACACTAGGATACGGTCCTTAAGGGCAGATAAACAGCAAAGCAGGTAGAATTTGGTCTGTTCTAAAATAAAGAAGCATATCAATGTCATGTTTTTTTTTAATGCTAGTCTTACAGTTTTACCTGTATTAGGGGTATGATATTTTTTTCTTTCTCTAAATTTAATCATTTGAGGTTGTCACCACAGGAGTACTGCATAAGCATTTAAATCATGATTTGTCTTGTCTTGGGATAGACAGCTCGTGTCACACTCAAAATGTGCTTCTTTATTAAGACAATAAACATTTAGATGACTATCACAGATGTAACCATATAGATATATATATTTGAGTAGAAGAATCCCCCATGCTACTATATTAAACATTTTCTAGCAGCTGTTCTTATTCTATAATAACTTCTTTTGTGTGCATTACGGAATTGAGGAGTGGAGGTGCAAGGAGCATTAAAGTGTGTATGACTGTGACCAAAACGTTCATACATGTTGCTTAAGATACGGGAAGCTTAAAATACAAGCACCATCACAGTAGAACCACAGCAAGCAGGCATGCTTTTGTGCAATAGTTAAAGCGTATTTGAAAATCAGACCTTCACTGATGCAACACACTCTTCTTAAGGTAAATTTTTACGACTGTTTATGAGTTGAAAGATTCGGTTTGTGTGGTGAGAGAAGCAAGAATATTTTGGAAGTTGGCCTTATAATAGTAATTTAGATTGCTAGAGATTAATTTAAAAAAAAAAGTCTTTGAACAAGGCTTCAGTTCAAGGCTTGAACTGACATAAAATTTAGTATGTCAGATGTCATAAGTCTTAGGATAGCAGGAAAAATAGTAATCATGAGTGCAGTAGCTTTTTAATTAAAAAAAAAAATAAAAAAATAAAAAATTGTCTTATCTGGATTGCCTTACCAGACTGGAGTTCTCCGAACCAATTGTGTGGACTGCTTAGACCGTACTAACACAGCGCAATTTATGGTGGGAAAATGTGCTTTGGCATACCAGCTCTACTCACTGGGACTGATTGATAAACCTAATTTACAATTTGATACAGATGCTGTTAGGTAAGAAATACTACTTCAGTGTGTCAATTTTATTTTATTCTTTTGTGAAGGGACTTTGGAAAAGTATTGTCTGTGTACAAGAAAAGTGCATTTCTTTTTCTATTGCAATGATTTCATATTTATTCATCTAAGTCAAAAGTCATTCATGTTTGAAATCTTCTTGAGAAAATCCAGGCAGGTTGAAAGTTTGCTACTCTGAAAAAGTGTGTTAATCATGTTTCTTAAAACTTAACTGCTTGGCTTCATTCTCTTTATGTACCTAAACTTAGACTAAAGAGTTTCCCTCTTAAATAACCATAACAACAACAACAAAGTCTCTAGTAGTCATTCATTTGCTTCATGCAAAATCTAAACCAAAAATGAAAACTGAAATTGATACATGCTTTTCTACAGAATGCCAAACTGATACTTGTATAGAAGCATCTTTGTATCTGATTTGTATCTTACCTTGCTATTTCCTACTTTTCATTTGAAAAATGTTATGCTTCCTGATTTATTGAAGAAAGGAGTTTTCAGCAAAGTTGTTCTCTCCAGTCAAATATCAATGGCACTTATTCAAGCATCCTCAAACAAACAAAAAAAGTTAGCATTTAAATTAAATGCTCTGGAGGTGGGAGGAAGCTAAACTACTTAACTTGTGAATGCACTTTGGAAATTCCTCTAAGGATCTATGAGGCGATGCATCTTTATTCCTTACAGCTGTAGTAATGGCCATGAAACTTACAGCTTCATTGCTGTCTTTGTCTACTGGTTTGTTAGTTTTAGAACATGGATGTGTAACTCATATTTCTAGAAACAAAATAGCACTGCGTCACATGTTTTTCTCAATCCCTCTCCCCTTTACTTGAGATGTACCTTTAGCTCCTGTCCTTTCTCCTTTGTTAGCGTCTGGCACTGGCCTGGTGCCAGGAGCAGGTAAGTTGTACAGAAACAATCTCACTTGCAGCATGCTGGCTCACTGGGCAAGCAGTGGCTTTTGACCTCTGTCTGATGGCCAGCTGGCTTTCTCAGTGTGCTAGCAATACCTTTCATACACCATGTACCAGCTGCTGGGTGCTGCGTCTTTACCTCTGAGAACAAGCAACTGCTGCAGTTGTTGTGCAGTCCCTGGGGACTTGGTAATTGGGGCTGTTGGCTTCTAACCACAGGGGATCAAGAGTAGATGGACATGTCTTCAAAACCACAGAAACAAACTGGAGATTCTCATGGGTGGCATCATGAGCAGTGAACAACTATATGGAGGCAAATGTGTTTGGTTTGGTTAAGCACATCTTTTCGTACTTGACCTTGGGCAGAAGATTTGCTGGACAAGTGTTTTATTTTTACAGAAAGTGATTTGTTGCTTAGGTGCTATACTGATGTGAAATAAAATAAATGTCCACAGGGTTGAGGGTGATAAGTATATTAGTTTTCTTCTTTTGACTACACTTTCAGTGTATTCTAGCCAGATGTCCTCCTTGTCATTGTCTTGCTCAGGCAGGGCCATAGTCTCTATTTCTGAGAAGTGTTTATTCAGTCTTATCTTTTAGACTGGGTACCATTTATTCTGTAGTGTGAATGTATTCTGGTATATTACAAATTAGTGAAAATCTTAATCTCATCCTTTTTAGTAGTTATTATGTCTGAATGAAGAATACAGACACAGCTTGAAGTTTCAGAGTTAACAGGATAATAGCATGTTTTAATGAAATATTTGTTTTTGTAAACTGGAAAAGTACCGAGAAGAAAAGGTATTGCTTGTTACATAGAAAAGCAATTGGATGTGTGAAGATGTCTAAAGTTCTTGTTTTCTTTTATTTCCAAGTGTTATTTTGAATTTTAAACTTTATTCCTTTTTTCTTCTAAAAGCTCTTTTCAACAGTTTAATAGATGCCACATTTTGCTTTTCCTTCAGATTATTTGAAGAATTGTACGAAGATCATGGAGACACACTTTCTCTGCAATATGGAGGTTCTCAGCTTGTCCACAGAGTAAAAACCTATAGAAAGATAGCTCCATGGACTCAGCATTCCAAAGACATTATGCAAACACTCTCAAGATATTATAGTAATGCTTTCTCAGGTAAATCTAATTAAGTCCTTTCCTTTAAGCCATTATTTAGAAAACATCATGTAATGCTTCAATAATCAGTACTATGACCTTATGGCAGAGATCCTCTCTACTATGATTTCCAAATAATTTGGTAAAAACTGGTGGATATCAAATGGATATTATGATTTGATGGAATCTGTATAGCATATCTTATTCGAAAGTGTGCTGTATCATGTAACCTTATTTGGATAAGTTAATGAACTGATAGAAGAACTGTTTAGTGAATGTACACAGGTAGCACTGAAGCTGCCAGTGCCGTGACATTTGCAGCTCAACAGAGGAGCAGGTAGCTATTACAGAGCAGTTGAAGTGATAGAGAATGGCTTCAAAAATAATAGGACACTGGCTAAATATAAATTCTATGCACAAGTAGAAGGCTGCAAGTGGAATAGTTCTCAGAATGGAATTTGGTATTTTGTATAGCATCCAATACTCCTGGGGACTATCATGTGGGATATAGCTTGTGGGATTCCTGGGGAAAGCAAGCTCTGATGCACATAATTGTTACGCATGAATAGAAACTACTAATTATTAAATCTGTGGTAGAAAGGGCAAATAAAATTGAATTAAAAAAACAAGCCCCGCCAAGTAGATAAACTATTATTTAAGATAAATCACTTGTAAAACATTAGCTTACTCCTTTACTGGCATGTGTCACTTATTCATACAGTTCTACTTGGCTATGGAAGAGGGAAATTAAAAAAAAAAAAAAAACACCTTGAAAAACACTGAGTCATATCTTATGCAAAAAGTTTTAAAAAATGCCTAGTGTTTTTAGAAGTTATGAGAAAGATCTAAAAGAACAATCAAGGACAGTCTAGGACTGTGTGTCAAGACAGCAAACACTGAGTGCTGCTGTGTTCTTAATATTGTGTCAGTCCTATTACTCTTGGTCACAAAAGCTTCACTGCTAAGGAACAGTGTTGTAATTTTTTCTAGTTGATTTTTAGTAACCATGTTAACTTTAAAACAGTGAGATGGACTCTGGCTGAAAATACTCGGGTACTCTGGTTCCTTTGGCTGAAGTTACTGCTTTTATTAGTGACAATTTTGTGTATGTGACAAAATGAGAGCACGCAGCATTTCAAGTATTGTTTCTAATGGTAATTTGCATATCATATTTGCTCAGATTAGTGAGAAATGGAGAGCTTGTTCATTTCAGTGTTAGAGTCGCTTATTATTTGCCATGGTAAAGGTATGGTTTCATCAATTCTTATAAACAAAGGGAAGCATGTCTGCAGTATCACCTGTTCTGGGAAGTACAAGATGGAGAAGAGGAGGCTCAAGGGGATCTTATCTATGTGCATAAATACCTGAAGGGAGGGTGTAAAGAGACAAGAGATGGGTTCTTTTCAGTGGTGCCTAGTGACAGGACAAGAGGCAGTAGGCACAAACTGGAACAGAGGAGGTTTCATCTAAACATCAGGAAGCACTTCTTCACTGTGCAGGTCATGGAGCACAGGCATGGGTTGCCCAGGGAGGTTGTGGAGTCTCCCCCTTGGAAATCTTCAAAAGCTTCCTGAGCATGGCCCTGGGCAAGCAGCTCTGGGTGTCCCTGACGGAGCAGGGGGTTGGAGCAGGTGGCCTCCAGAGGTCCCTTACAACCCTAAATACTGTGTGATTTTGTGAACTCCTAAGCTGTTCATACTTATGGCAGACACTGAACTGGTTAGATGGAAGCTTTTGGAAACAAGCTTTAGGAGAGTTCCAGATCATCATTTGAGGACTTGGTCTACTTGCAAGTATAGTCAAAACTGCTGTTTTCATAATCAAAGAATTTGTTCTGAAAAAGGTGTTACAAAAAAGGAGAATTAATTTTTTCATTCTGCATTCTCTCTTGGCACAACAGTAAACTTGCGGCTGAGTACACAAACAGATGTTAGTCTTTACTGAAGTCAATAGCACAACGGAGACTTTCATAAAGTTTCTGCACACTTTCATCAATTTCCTTATGTTTTTGGTATTTGATCTCATTTGAGCCAAATATGCTTTATGCATTTCTTGCGTTTGAAGATGGTGTTGTTGAAATGCAACATTCTGTTTTAATTACTGCATGTTTAATATGAAATTTTAAGATTAATTTCAGAGATATGTGAAGGTTCACTGTCCAGCACTGCCTGTTGCTCTTCAAGTAGTATCTCCAATCTGTTACTGAGACAAACGAAGAGAGATCACTTCCTTATGTTTCTGATGTGAGAAACTTCTTTTTAATGCTTATTATTTACCAGTAGTAAACAGGCACAGAAAGTTATAGAAATCACGGAAAGTGCCTTGCCTCATACAAGATATCAGATTCAGAACAAGATTACAAATGGTCTGCTAACAGTGCCTCCTAAATATGCCACTTAGCCACTCTTGCTTTGCTTATTGTAAAAAAATGTAATTATAAAATTAATTTTCACTTTCTAAGAAGATGGTTTCCTCTGTTGACCTCAAAGCTGTTAAGATAATTACCAGGAATTAAGTTGTACAGATGATAAAAAGTAAGACATGTAATGGTAAGGTGTTTTGCCCAGAGATACTGATGCGGTAGATAAGACAGACTTCTAAGAAAGATAAGACTTAGACTTCTAAGAAAGATACCTTTGAGTGCAGCTTGACCCTAGTTCTTGTGCAGCTTAGCTTTCCTGTAGATTTTTTGTATCTATAAATTTGTAATATGTCGCCTATATAATAGAAGAGTGCAGAATTACAATATATTCTAACGATCAGTTTAGTAGCTGAAGCATAGAAGAAAACCAAGTTTTTCTTCTAAGAATATGGGACAATGAATTTTAAGGTAACTAGAAAAAATTTTACAGGTTTAGGCAAAAATTCTGGCCTTTTTTCCCATGCACGTTCTTAGCATGCATGTTTTTAAATTTAACATTTGAAAAAAAGTAGAGGGTATAGTGTAGTTTGAGAATTCATCTGTTGAAAGTACCCTGGCTATAAACAGGTAAGTTGTACCAGAGATAAGAAAGTCATCTAGCTAAGAATTACATGTTCCTTCAAAACCATCTCTGGCAGGCATTCTGATTATCTGAATTCTAACATTTTTCCTTTGTTTGCAATTGAAAAATTAGGGAATAGTATTCCAAATAATACTCTTTTAGCTTTTATGCCTTTAGAAAGTAAGGTGACATTACAGACTTCAGTGCTGGAGTTGCAACATGCATAATAAGCTTCTGGAATCTGGAATAATCTGTTTATCCACAGACAGGACTGGACATAGTAAACCACCTTTTAGTGTTGTATGAAAATAAACTTAATTACTATACCCTTTTAGTCATGGGATGTCACAGTCCCAATTGTGTTGAATCTCTCATGATTTAGTAATTTGTCATGTAGTGCTGTTGCAAACTCAGATTGAGAGCAGTAGATTATTTTTGGCTAATTGAATTAAACATCCCCCTTCAGTTCCTGTTTTCTCAAATGGTCTTAAAATGTGCTAGTCTACACGTACATTGCAGTATCTTTTGAAAAATCGGTGCAGTCTTTCTACTTGCTTGTACATAATTATAACATTCAGTGCTAACAACGAAGTAAGAAAACCTGTTTGCTCTTTTGTCTGCGCTCCGCTGTGCATTGACACATTCTTATTTATTTTTGAAGAGATTTTCCACCTAGATAAGAAAATTGATCTGAAAAGCTCAATATCCTGTATTCTCTGCCTACTGTGTCAAAGACAAAAGCTTTCATTATTTTTGTTCAAAATATATCATAAGATTGTTCAACCCTTGAAGTAAGACTGTAAAGAGGGGAAGGATTGTCTCCTTTTGAATTAACTACCTGCTTCCCAAGTCTCATGCATATATGTTACCTATATTCAAATTGGGCGTTGAAAAGTAAATCAGAAAGACATTTTCTGACAAATGTCTCACTTTATAGTTACAACACTACAGCTGAAACACAAAATGTAGAAGAGAGTTTGTGTCCTTTTGCAGAGTAAAATTTAACAGCAGAGTCATTTTTTTGCTACAGAAGAAAAGTGGAAAAGCTTTAATGAACTGCTGCCATAGACCTTTTTATACAGGTGGTTAATTCAGTTGGTGTGGGTTTAGATTCAAGCTGTTTTTCATGGAACAAATTTCATTTTGTTTCATTTAATTTTAGCATCTGTCATATAAGTAGTGACATAGTTTGTTAATTGAATTTTGTTGTTTCACTCTGATTTAGTTAACAATTTCAGAATACCTTCTGTTCATGGGAGGTGAAACAATGGTAAATGAACAAAGGCACATCTCTGCCTTCAGTGTTTACATATCACACCAGTTTTAACCTATTAACCAATTAATTAATTTTGTCTTGGGGGTTCCTCCAGTTACTATGCTCAAGGTGGAAACTTCTCTGTGTTGTTGGATCTTGTTAAGCACTTTCTTTAAACCACTAAATAAATAATTTAGCAGGAAGAAAGAATGTATGTTATTGCTTGTGACTTTTCCTTTCTGTTTATTACTCAGTGTCCTTAACAAGTTTTTCTTTAAAAAAGATGTTTTTACTGAGTTTTGCATAGCCTTCTTGCATAGGTCCTGGCCTTCCTCATTCTCTGCTTGTGTCTTCCTGTGCTGACTTAACACTGGTAGATAGCCAAACACCACACAGCTCTCTCACTCCCTCTCCTCAACAGAACAAGGGGAGAAAAATACTATGAAAAAGCTCATGGGTTGAGATAAGGACAAGGAGATTGTTCACCAATTACTGTCACAGGCAAAACAGACTCAGTGTAGGGAAGATTAAATTAATTTATTGCCAATTTGTAACAATAGAGAGCAATGAGAAGTAAAAGCAAACTAAAAACACCTTCCACCCATAATCCACTTTCTTCTATGCTCTCCCATAAGCAGTCTGGGGAATGGGGACTGTGGTCAGTCCCTAATACTTAATCTCCGACTCTCCTTCATGGTCACTCTTTTCCCCTGCTCTGCTGAGGGCTCCTCCACAGGCTGCAGCGTGGAGATCTGCGCCATGTGGGACCCATGGGCTGCAGGGGGACAGCCTGCTCCACCAGGGGCCTCTCCACAGGCCGCAGGGGAACTGCTGCTGCCTGCCTGGAGCATCTCCTGCCCTCCTGCTGCACTGACCTGGGGGTCTGCAGGGCTGCTTCTCACTCCTCACTCTCCCAGCTGCTGTCACACAGCAGGGTTTTTTCCCTTTCTTCAATCTGCTCTCCCAGAGGCCCACCCAGCATTGCTCACTGGCTTGGCTTTGGCCAGCAGCAGGTCCCTTTTTGAGCCATCTGAAGCTGGCTCTGCACTGACATGGGGCTGCCCCTGGTCTCCTCTCACCCCTGCAGCATCTCTTGCCATGTAAACCCAATACACTTTGTTAAACTGTGACACTGTCTTGCAGAAGTAATATGTTCTGAAAGCCCTAAGGACCTATGTATGCTTTTGAGTATTACTGTGTAAGAATTAGTAAGCTGATCCTCTTAAGAAAATAAATAAGGTGAGCAGCAAAAAAGAAGGTAAAATAAGTATATTTTTGTGCAGTGCTCTGAAGGGACAATAAAAGTATCTGGAAGGAGTACTGGAGAGAAAAGAAAAGAAAAAAGAAAAGAAAAGATAAGATTCCAGGTGAAGGGCTCTCTAAGTAGGGAGGGGATGTGGAAAAACATCAACATTTCCCCTTTCTTTCACTTTTCCTGGTGCCCTGCCCTGCTTCACCATGTGGCTGCTTAATACAGAAGATACCATATCCAAATATTGACCCCAACATGTGCACTTTACTGTAAAGTTTCATACTACCCTATAATCTTGCCACCAGATTTCTATATAGCGCTTCATTTGTCAGCTATTCGTGTGTCTGAATTCCCTGTAAAAACACTACGCGTTGCATGGGGGAAGAGATGTGGGCTGAGATTTTGGTATCACACCATTGGTTTGTGGATTCTGTTGGTTATTTTACCTGCTTTTTGGTACACTGAGAATTCACAGTTTGTCTTTTTGCTGCAGTGTGTTGCTAAAGGGACGCTCATCTCATAATACTCTTTCTGAAACACGGAGAGAGCTGAAGAAGTAATGCTGTCAGAGTGCCTCTCTAGTCTGAACTATTCCGTGTCTGATGATTACTGAAGTGCCAACAGAAGTGGAGACGAGAGCTTTCCACATGCTAATTTCTCAGGGCTTAAGTAGAGCTCAATTTCCCCATATTCCCCCATACCTAAAGATCTTTTCCATGTAAGCGTCTTCTGCTTCTCTACATCTGCTTGCAAATTTGTCGCCCTCACTGTTCACCATCCCCAAGCCCTCACCTGACTCCTGTATTTCCTCAGATCTGTTTTAACTCATCCTATCTGCAGCTGGGTAGTGAGGGAGATTTCAAAGATGTAGATGAACAACATTTTTTGTCATGCTTCATCTACAGTGGCCTGTAACTGCTGGATTTTGTATTTGCCTTATTAATGTAATGAAGCTTAGGACATGGTGATGGAAAAAAAAGTCCACATTTTTAAAAGGTGTTTATAAAGTTTAATCATTTTACTGACTGTTCTGTAGTAAAAAACAAACAAACTAAAAACAACAACAAATTCTTAATTTTTGTCTGCTGAGGGAAATGTGTGCATTGTATTGGTTGTTGCGTAATTTCAGGAATTACTCTTCTGTTATTGAATGTTTGGTATCTGACTTCAGTGTATTTGGTATCTGCTCTGTAGACCAAGTCAAAATGCATGCACGTGTTTTGTGCGTGCACATACATGCAGAGGTGGGAGACCAAGCTGCAGGATGAGATCTTACCTCTGCCAAGGCTGCAGGCAGAGCTTCTGCCTCAACATTGGTAGAGAAGCCAAGGAAAGAGGCAGCACTGAAACCAGCCCCACGTGCACTGCAGCGTGGCAGAAAGTCAAGTCTAAATGAAGTTTTGTTGTGTTGTTTGAAGCCCAGAGGTCCCTGCGGGAGTCTTAGGACATGCGTGCGGGGTCTGTGAGGAGAAAATCTAACAAATAAGCAGCTGCCTGAAGGAACTTGGGCTCTGCAGTGCCAGTAAGTGTGTCTCTTATCTCACAGATGCAGACAGGCAAGACTCCATCAATCTGTTTCTGGGAGTATTCAAGCCTACGGAAGGGAAGCCTCATCTCTGGGAACTACCTACTGATTTCTATTTGCATCACAAGAACACCCTCGGTCTATCCCAGACCAGGCGAAGGTATTTTGATGTTCTGGTTTTTTGTTTAGTGTTGCTCTAATAAATTTTAAAAATGCATGCTGCTAACCAAATAATGTGGTCAACCTGTTGAAAACTCATTTTCTTAATTAACTACTGTTTTTTTACACTTTTACAAACACTTAAACAAACAAAAAAAACCTTCAAGAGATTACCAGAAGTGTTGGACGTTGGTGTTTTGAAGGGTTTGCTTTAATAAGTTATTTTCCTGCTGTACTGAAAAAAAGAAGGTTCATTTTGCATGAAATAGTCCTGCAGTGTGAAGTGCTTCACTGTCTTGCTGAAATACAGTTAGCAATGCCCTAGTAAGCTGCATACAGGTGTGGTTTTGATGGTTGAATGTATTAAGTTGGTGTTGTGTTGGGTATTTTTATGCACATAAACTTCATGTATATTTTTGTCTAGTGCACTTAGTCTGCTGCTGTGCTTACCAGGAGGCCCATCATTTTTTACCTTCCTTTCAGCCATGTCTGGCCTATTTTGAAGATTTGTTTTCCTTCAATTGCATCCCATCGTAATTGCATAGTAATATACAGAAATAATAGAGTTGAAGTTTAAAAACTGTAGAGTCATTTTTAGACTGATTGCTTTGGAATGTGGAATAATTTCATTAAAGATTGTAAATGCTATGTCTAAGAATATGTTTTCATTTTAATAATAAGGACAGCACTAGGCTTTTTGCTACATACGTTTTATGGATTTTGTTTTGCATTTCTGTTTGTTCTACAAGTTATAAAGCTCTGTACCACTAATGGTGGATGCAAATATCTGCATTTAGATTTTTGTCTGGGGATGAGTCCAAGCGTTTAAACTGTGCATATGGTCCCTGTTGGCTGCTTGTTCCATTAACCCATCATGATAGGACAGTTCTTAAGTTTTAGTCTTTTTCTCCTGTCTCCTGAGGCTTTTGTTGAGGCTAGCTCCTATCAGCCATGTAACTGAGTGCTAGTTCAGACGTGAAACATGCAAAATTCATTTTGTTGCTTACTGGTTCCAGACATTATTGTACGTCAAAATGAATTCAGCTGAACAAAATGACATCTCCATGTAATAAGCAGATAGCAAAAAAAACCTCTTGTGAGTGATTTTTGCTTGTTTCTACTGAAGTATTTTGCAAGGTCTTCAGATAACTTCTTCCTGCCTCTCTGTTAGATTCCTTGGGTAGAGGAGCAAAGGAAACAATGAAAACAAGGATATAGAAAGAGAATGAAGATGTTTCCTGTCATTGAAACCTCTTATGACTATTTCTGCTTTTCCTATATTGTATTTGTCTCTGCATCAGGAAAAAAAAAAAAAAAAAGAGATTTCATAATGACTTTCATTATTACTTTTGTATAATTTGTGACTCACATGAAAGGACAGTGAAGATGGAAAAGAAGATTTTCTTTTGTCTTTTTTACTTAAATTAAGTAAATTTTTAAGTAAAAAATTTTACTTAAATTTTTTACTTGTCATTTGTGCAAGCAACAAGACTTGGATATGTCTACACAGATTCTGAAGGCACTGAAAAAACTGTCTTGCTATCATGGCCTGATATAATACTTTATCAAGAGATGAAGAGGTGGGACTGACAGATGTAACTCAGTCTTTTCTGTTTAGGACATTCACAGTTGTTGGAACTGAAATACATTGCCCTACCTGTTTTACACCATTTGTGAAGTCCCACTGACAAACCTCTCCCTGGGTATGGGAATACACCCATTGCTTGTGCTCCACATAGCTACATTGACATCAGTAGGAGATAACCGCTGTGTAATACTGTGATAATACAGCCCTTAGCATCATGAATACACATGTATTTGAAATAAAATCAATGAAGATATGTAAATATGTTTTCCTTCAAAGTAATGAAATAATAGAAATTGTCAGAGTAATTCAGAGAAAATTTTGAAGTATGTTTGAGAAGAGAAAATCAAAATATGTAAATATAAAAGATAAAACATGCTTTATTTTAGACGTGCTGTTTCCTTTGTTTTTTTTTTTTGTTTGTTTGTTTGTTTTGTTTTGTTTTGTTCTTTTCAGAAATACTGAATAAGCTTCCAGCAGGCCATGTTTTTTTGCTATTAGTTATGCCAACAAATCATTCTTAGACTTGAGACAGCTGTCACATTAAAATCTATTTCTATTTGTACAAGTCAGTTGCTTTGAAAATCTTCTGGTTTTATTTATTTATTTTCATTTACCTTCATTTCTTCATACTGTTTTCCTAAATCTTGTGATCTAAATAACAAATGGTGGTGGGGTGAGGGTTGGAATCTTTTTTTTAATTACTTTTTTTTTAAATAAGAACAAGAAATATACATGTGAAGTATGCTTACTCCATGGCTTGTATTCTTCATTGATTTCTTTATATACTTTCAATATGTCATAGGAGCTTAATTTTTAGTCCCATAGGTAGGGCAGATGTACTTTGTTCAGTGGAACAAAACCACTCTGCTCCCCATACCTGTTGTACAGTAGGGGCCTGTTGAGAGCATCTATTCAAGGATAATTCTTTACTTTCTTCCACTTGATTATAAGAAAATGTTTACCAATGAGACTGTATGGTTAGATAACTGTTAAGTGCAAATCCTTAGATTGGATGCAAGATGAGATCTGTATCAATTCTGACTGTATTTCCTGTACAGCTATACTTACTGGTGGACCACTGATGTGCTGAAGCATTTACCTCTTCCTTTTGATGAAGGTATGAACTGTATTTGCTCTTTTCCTACTGTAGACACTACAGTGTCTTATTTCTCTGGGATAGTGTGGAGGATATCTTATTAGGAATTGTCATCATGAAGGGAAATCAAATTATGGTGGTTGATAACGTGTACTTATGAAAGATGTGCTTTGCATTTCCTTCATATTTTCTTGTCTTAGAGGGAATAAGACTCTAGAAAAATGCCTGCTAGGGTGGATACATAAATGGGCTACTGTTTACCTAGATTTTTGTAGAGTCAGTAACTGTTAGTAAAAGATTTTTTTTTTTTCACCCAGTGACATGTGCTGAAAACAGACGCAAGCTGACAGTGAAGAAATTCCACAAGTATGAAGAGGAAATTGATATCCATAATGAGTTTTTCCGGCCATATGAGTTGAGCAGTTTTGATGAGACCTTCTGCTTGGCAATGACCAATTCTACACGGTATATTTGGGATGTTTTGGGAGTATCAATCGTGAACTGAAAATTTGAATTCATTCAAAGTGAATGAATGATGCATTTGATTAATTTGCTTAAAGCTAGGTAACAGGGTAGATTTTTTCTGAATCTTCAAATTTAGCCAATTCTTAGAAACTAAACCATAATACTAAAATGGAAAATTAGTGCTGAAAAATTCTGTTACGATAGCACTTAAATTTACAATTATTTTCCACTATGGAGTATGTAATATAAGGGCATTTGTAGGCTGAGAAATGGGTTTTCTCTGTGGACTCATTAGATCATGGAGGCTACCATCAAAGCAATTGTTTTTTAATTGTTCTGCTTGCATTTTACAATTTTATTATTACTTTTTTTAGTTCACCAGGTTCTCAGAGCTGGCTTGGTAATTTTTTTGTTGGCAGCAACCAGATGGATATTCTAAGCATAATCTTAATCACACTTTAGCTAATGATTTCCAGGCAGATTATGCTTCATGTAGCTTTTTGACCCAATTTCAGTGTTGGCAGCATTTTGAAAACAATGTATGTGAGTCACAGGGCTTCATCAGTACAGGAGTATGCCATTGCTCTAGCCTTCTTGGCAAGTGGTAATGTTTGTAGCTGTTTCATGAGACCAAATGAAGCTATGGAAAACTTTTTAAATATGTAGTAGGGGTTTTATATGCACATGACCCTTAACTTGTAATGACAAAGTTCTTTTCATGCATATATATATATATATATATATTATTTTTTTTTAATTCAAAGGTAAATGTTAGAAGTAGTTCTTCCAGATCCATTTTTTTTGTGTGTGTGTGTGTGTTCAATTTTGCTTATGGTGAGGTTTTCTTTTCTCTTTTGCCAGGGATTTTATGCCTAAGAATATGGGGATTGATCCAAGCCCATTTACTGTTCGTAAACCTGATGAAACTGGAAAATCAGTGCTGGGGTAAGTTAGAAACAGAAAATTTTGTTCTGGTTCAATAATAGTGAAATTGCAATGCAAATATATAAACACTGTGTGTTTGCGTAGTATATTCTCTGAGAAATAAATAATCGTTGATGGTATACTGTAGAAGTGTATGCTTTGAAAATCACATCTAATTCATGATTTGTATTTGATGCTGGGAATTCTTTATTCAGATTGTTTAATCTTTTCTATTTAAGTGAAACTCATAAGGTAATTTTTTCTAGAATGAAGATACAGAACTTGTTAAAATTTGATCATCTCTTGGTACTGGTACCAACTTTGTATTCGCTATTGTAGATGGGCCATATATCGTTGCCTTACACGTAAATTTTGTATAAGTAGAACATATCCTGAAACAGCAGTAACTGACTATTTCAGCATAGTTTTTGATCAAAAAAATAAAAATGTTACAGGAAAATATTTATATAAAATTATATAAAACAGTTATACAATAGTTACTGGGACAAATGAATGTTTCATGTAGCTGCTTTTGCATTCTGCTCTTGCATCGTTACTTCATTTATTCCATCATTGCGTTTGATCTGCCAAATCACGTAAGAGCTGTGGAACTCTTCCAGAACCACTTCATTCTCTCTTAGATACCTCATATTAAGGAAACGTTTTATCAGTAGTGACTAAACCTGTGCCGTCACAGTGTTGTAAGTTCTTCTGAAAACTTTGCGTTCTGTTACAAGCTATAAAATTTGACTGTCTCATAAATAACATCTGTTATGCCTTGACGGTGAGAGACTCACTGTCCATAAATGTTGAGCAGTCTATGCTTATCACTAGCAGAACCTGATTTCATACAGGTAATGTTCCCTGGGAATAAGCAGAAAGACTGTTTGATAGTTATACAATTTAACTCTTCTTAGAACTGTGCCTGTTTGTATGCTTTTGAAAAAAAACTTTATGCTTCTCCTTTAGTATATTTTGGACTAACTTCTGTCCAGCTATACTATGAAATACTTAACCATTTTATATCTTTCTCAAGTTCTTTGCTTCAGGCTCTCCACTCTGACTTTGAGGGATTGTTTCAAGATAGATAGCTGGATCAGAGCCATGATCCCTGGGTATTTCTCATAAGGCTTTCCATGCATTGGCTAACGTCCTGACCTAAAATGTGGCTTCAGCCTTCCACCTTACCTTAGAGATATTTAGCCCTTTAGATGGGAAAGAGATTTTATTTCTAAATGCAACAATGCATGCAACAGTGAGTTATTCCTATTATTTCGTAGCAACTTTATAGTCTACAGGTCTTTCAAGCAGCTTCCAGAAAAAAAGACTAGCAATCTGTCCTGTAATGCCCTTTTGAGGGTATAAACTTCTCCAGCATAGTCCAGGCAGGCAGCAAGATCTTTTGAGAACAGAATCATGCCAGTGAGATGATTTCCTCAGTGTTTTCAAGGTTGGACATTTTGGATGTAGTTCTATATCCCTGCTCTTTCTATTACTACAATTTCATATTCCCCAACTTTTCCATTTAGGGAAATGCTGTGAAATTGCTGACACAGCAATCTGTCATTCTCAGTAGAAGAGTTTGTAGCTGGGTGTTATAATATTGAATTGTTTGTTTTGTCACATCCAAGCTTCTCTTTTCTCACTAATTTTTTCAATCTGTTCATTGTCAGATACCTTTCTGAGACACCTGTTTCAAGAGGAGTAATGGTCTAATGGATATGAGTGCAAAAAAAAAAGTGATTCATTTAAGAAATATTTTTTTTTCCTACAGAAGCTATTTCACAATTAAAAAAAATATAATAACATGATGGTATCATCACTTTTCTTAGGTCACAAACAGCCTTATTTGTAGTATGGTAATACTGACTATTTGTAGTATGGTAATACTCAGTAAATTCGTAACATTTATCAGTGGAGTTGTGTGTTTGTTTTTCCTGACATGTGGCATATGTGCCTCAGTGTCCTTATCAGGTCATGGTACCAGAATTATATTTGTTTCTTCTTAAGCCATACTTTTACAATACAATGCCCACGTCTGATTCCTCCACAGTACTGGAGGCGTTTTGGTAGATGCTGGTACTTGGCTCATGGCCAGCTCTGTAGAAAAAGGAAAATAATCATTTACTGATGTCTAGATAACTTCTTCATAATAAGTTTCTCCAGAATACGTGGAGTTTTGTTTTTTGTTTTATAGGGCCACTAGTTGTAGTCTCTTTGCCTTGCATTTTTTTCAGCATCTTCTGATTTATTATGACATTTCTGGAGGATTTGATAATCTGTTTTCATCTGTTAGTGTTGTGGTCCCCTAGGACAATTAGATGTTGGCCTTCTCCCAGAAGATTTGGGGCCTGAGAATAAGAAAGTTAATGAAGTGGATAATATTCATCAGCAAGTGAAACTTTTTCCCAGAATAAAATCAAACATCTTATGTGTCAATGAATTCTTGTGTGTGTGTGTATATATATATATTAATATGACAATATGGGGGAAACATTTAAAAAGAGAGACAGAGAATTGCTGGCTTAATCCAGTGAGATCTCTTTAGATGTTCTGGAATAACAAGAGATTGGTGAAAATCAAATCAATCATGGGATTCAAAATGTGAGCAGCAAGTTGCTCCAGCAGATGGAACTTCTCTTTTCCTCCTGTAAGGTAGTAATCAAAATTAGGAGTTTTAAGTCCTTGCTATTAATAGCTTTCTGATTTCATAAATACACACTGCCTTTCATAGGAACAAAAGTAATCGGGAAGAAACTGTGCTGCAGCGCAAAACTGCTGCTAGTGCTCCGCCACCCCCAAGTGAGGAGGCAGTGTCGAGTAGTTCTGAAGATGATTCTGGGACAGACAAAGAAGATGAAGGAGCTGTTTCTCAGCGATCTACTCCAGTAAAAGTGACTGATACAGGAGATAACACAAAAATCACAGAGGTAAGAAATTATTATGGTGGGCAAAACAGCTAACCATGAACTTCAAGTTCACATTTCTGTTAAAAAAAAAAAAAAAAGTTTTTATAAACAGTAAATATTACAGAACAATCAGAAGTAAAACACAGAGAAATTAAAAGAAAAACGTCTCCAGTATTAGCCACGCTGGCTATAAAACTTTGCTATTCTCAGTTTCATATAAGAGTCTTCAATTACACTGCACATTTCACACAGCTTAAAGTGGAAAATAACATACATAAAGAATGGAAAATAATGTTTAAAACCTATGGCATTTGCAAAGGACTCAGGTCAGGTGTAGTCCATAATACTGTCTAAAATATATCTATGTTAGTGTGGTAGTTCAAAGCAGTAGTGCACTTTTGATCATCATCCCTTACTATGCTTTAGCTCACATTTTGGTACAGATCTGAGGTCCTGAGACCTCAGACCACCTATTTCATTTAGAAATCGCCTCCTTTTGAATGATGGTACTTGCTCATGTGGATATTACTGTAAATTAACGTTCAATCTGACTAAATTTCACCCTGATTTATCTGTGGAGTTTTAAATTGTTTCCTAATGAAGTTCTCTGAATTGTTAAAAACAATAGAACAAAACTAATTCTAAAAATGACTGTTATCATTTTGTCACATTGGTCCTATGCTGACCATTAACTCCAAGGTTGAAGACAGGGGCAGGATAATAGGTGCAATTGTGCATGCAGAGTCATATAAAAAGAACATGTATTCTCTGCTACGGGCTATTAATCCTTTAATGCCTTTTTTTTTTTTTTTTTTTGCTAGCATAACTCAAATTCTGTTGGAATCCCTTTGGTGCTAATTTACACTAATTTGTATGAAGTGTTATGCAAATACCAATTTTACAAATTCATGTAACATTTCTCCAAATTCTTTCTAATAAATACCTATTTTGGGTACCACAGAAAATGTCTTAAAAACACGTGTATTTCTTCCAAGTCACAGCTAATTTAAATGGTTATCATTCTACTTGTGTATGTTATTGCTTTTGTAGAAACTTCAGTATTCATGACCTTCATCAGTATAAGATGTAGTACCTGACAGGCAACAGAGAATAAACCTGCTTGTTTTTCTGCTACAATTCAAATTTTCATTCCAATCTGTCTTTACCCTACAGTAGATTTTCACCCTCCTTTATAACACTTTCTTCCAAACTTCAGCAAAGTTTTTTGCAATAAAATAACTATGAAGTTGTGTGATATTAATTTTGGAGAATTTGGATTAACTGTTAAATACTTTTCCAGCAATTCAGGTTATTTTTAGAGTTTTTGTTTTTTATCAGAAATCCAATCCTATTTTCTTTATGATTCTTACCATTGAACACTTACACAATATATTTCACTACAAATTTTCCATCAGTGTATTAAGTACGCTTCAACACTGAGACCTAAGATACATTTTTTTTTAGATATTAAAGATGTTTAAAGTGCATGTAAACACAAAATATGATTTAAGTTAGTATTGAATATTAATAGCTTACAATTGGGTGAAATATTCTGATTTTTGTTAATGCACATGAAGAAATATTTTCCATTTTATTGCACCTTTTCATGCATCAAATTTTAGTCATAATTTGAATTGCTAATTTTCATCAGGATTACCTATTCAGATAGGCTGTGTTAGCAATTAACTTGGCTTATCATTAATGTCTGTGCCTGCTATTGTAAATTTGTTTATTCTCTTCAAGAGTACAAAGCCTGTATTAGATGCATTATTTTTTAAGGCCTAATGTTTATGGAAGCTTTTTGTTCAGAAGTCAAACATAAATTAGTAATCTTAAAGACTGTTACCCATTAGATTTTAATATATTCACCAGCTAATCTTCATTTAGCTTGGGAAGAGTTGTTTTTCCATTACTAGGCTAAGCAGAACATCAAATACAGGCTTTTTAAGAAAAGTTTTGAAATTACTCTTCTGGCAGTGGCAATTATTTGTTGTTTCAACACTTGTAGTTAAAAAGTTTTAAAAGAAGACCTATAAATGCAGGGTTTCAAAGCTTGATGGCTGAACATAATAACCTAACAAGAAGCAAAACAACAGTGAAAAATGATAGCCTATCTAATTGATTAAATAAGTGTCTATTTTCTAGAACTGGTAAATCATAAAAATATTCCAGATATACTTTTCAGTTAAGCTTAAATTAGAAGAAGAAACTTTAATGAAGACTGCACTTAAAAGCATAAGCTTACAAATACACTGTTATGTGTCTCTGTTAGTTAAATTGACAATATGCTAACACTCTAGCCAGTGTCAGTGTGCACTTTACTGTTTTCTCATTTGTGGAAAATGGATTTTGTTTAATAGTGTTCAAAAATATGAGAAGTTTGGGAGAAAAGCAGCAGCATGTGGCACTGCTGTGTGTGAAGGAGTTTATATCTGTAAGCTTATATTTTTAGGTGCATTTTTGAGTATATATAGTTATTGCAGAACAATTGGATGTTTGGTCAGGAATTTGAATTTTGGTATTTTTTTACATCAGCAATTGTAAAGCAGAGAATTGTATAGCCGGGGGTGGAGGGATGTGGAACCAGCTAGTTCCTTCCTATTCATATTTCCCAGAAGTTAATAATAAAAATCTTTTATTCTTCTGATCAGGACATACCTTTCTGAAGAGCTTCTTTCACTTCAGATCTTTTTGAACTAAAAGAAAGCTACCTATTTTTATAGTTGACACTCTTGCAATTGCATGTGCCTTATCAGTAACCCCTTAGTTTAACACTGACATACTAAGTACTGTATGTGCATTGGCTCCTTATTATAGCTGACTGACGTGATTGTGTAACTTATAAAATAAAAATAGTTTTCTATTTTACTGAAGGTTGTAATTATTTCAGAATTGACAGAAGGAAATGTGAAAGCAAGTTCTGAACTAACATGTTTTTTTCTTTGTTAAATCTCAACACAGAACAGAATTTAATACGTACAACTTTATATGCCCTATAAATATAAATTATTTTCCTGATTGTTATCTGATGTATATACTTTCTTGATAAACAAATGTCTTGAAGAATTTTTTTACTAAATGATTTTTATTTAAAGAAAACTTCCTAATGTTACTATGTATATGAGAAACTTGTTTGGTTTTGCCAGAACTTATAAAACTATTCTCAGATTTAGAAATAACTCTTTGAAAGCAATTTTGTGTTTGGATGTTGTTACAGTATCCTTGGTCTGAATCTTTGTTCTTATTATGTTCCAGAATGTAGTTCAGTCCACCAAAGATGTGTATGGAGTTAATCTTTCAGATGTTCCTTCAGAAGATGATCTCACAATATACACAAGGTGATATAAGTTTCCAGCTGTAATCATTGAAAGATAAGTTAGTTAAATAAAGCTTGTCAAAAGGGCTTCTTTGAAGCTTATTTAAATTATAAATTTTAGGCATGTTTGGATGTATCCAAACACTGTTCTACTTTTTAAAATCAAACCATTTTCAGATGTCTGTGTTAACTCTAAATTCTGTGGAAATAATGCATGTATCTCCACATGCAAAATTTGGAACTTAAATCAAATGAAATATACTTTGATAGAAATGACCATCACTTAATACCTTCCTAGAAATTAATAAGCAAATTCCATATTAGGAGTGGTTTCATGGTTCTAAACTATGTAGTCTGTGATTTTTTCCTGCTTTTTTTTTTTTTTTCCAAATACTGTATTACACTAATGCAGATTGATCATAACTGAAATAGCCTTTTCTATAAACATGCATACAAATGAACGGAAGGTTTTTTTTGTTTAAAAAACTTGACTTATTCATAGAGGTGTGTGTTAACTGTTACATTTTACCTGAATGTAAATAGTTGTGTGACTTTTGATGCTTAAAGAAAAATGTTTTCCTGACTAATAGCAAAATTTTTGTATTGAAACATCTTGACTATTAAGCTTGAAGTACAAAATACTGTATTTTATAGGGAGACTTTGAGGCCATTACTAAATCTGGTATAGGCTCTGGACAGTAAAGTTGAGAAAATAGTAGGAGGAAGCGGGTAGCAGCACGCTCTAGGGGCATGGATATTCAGGTGACAGGTATTTCTACTGTAAATTTCAGTAGAGGACAGAAGAGACTTTAGCTGTTGGCATTACCAAAGTTGCATGAAATAACAGCACACAAATATATGTGGTGTGTGGGATTACATGTGCTTGTGTTTATAAATACATATGCACAGCATGAGATGTAGTGTGTGTAATAACGTGCTCTTACATACTTCGTTTTGAACTGCATCATGCTGCCACTTGTTTGTAATAATTGGTCTCATGAACCCGAACCATACGTGCAGGAAATGAGAGTAAGGTACAGCATATTGCAAGACAGAATACAGCTCTTCAGGTGGTCCAGCAAGTTCCCACTCAGTTCCTGCACTTTGTTGTAAACTGCTACAATGTGAGGCAGCACGCTGCACAGCATGTGCAGTTGCTTCTCAGGAGCTGCTGGCTTACTGTGAGCGGCTGGAGGTAAGAGCTGGTGTGCAAACATCAAGGTGTCACCTCCCAGCTCCATCTAAATTGTAGCAGCTACAAAAACTTCTGCTTTTATTTCAAGGGTAACTTGGACTTTTGTCCTGTATAAGACAGTTGTTACCACTCCTGCAGGAGTCATGAACTGCCAACTCCCACAGAGCAATGAGCAAATTAATAATATGCTGCTCCAACAAAAGGGAAAGACTCCTATTGTATCAGGAACACTTGTTTCTGAATCATCACAACCCCATATAGGGCACTAGTTGTGTGATGCCATTGTTTAAAAAATGTGTATTTAAGCTATTCTCACATTCATTCCTCAATATCACAGAATAGTTTCACTAGAATAGTTTCAGTTGCAGATGAAATGAAACTAGAATCGAACTGAGAAGTTACTTATACAACTCCCTGGTTAAGGACATCATTTCCCGAGTGGCAGTCTTTCTCTTTGAAAACTAGTCAGAATAATGGGAATTCAGTACCAGAGGTCAGTTGGAGAAATTTGAAGGCAAATTGAAGACCCTCTAACTTCCTGAAGGCTTGGAATGCTGTTGCCAAGAGAGCAATTGCTTATGCAAGACACCAGGAGTGCAAATCAATTATATTAGCTTAACAAACCCGTGTTTCAAACACCTGCTTGACTGTAGAATTAATGGGGTTTGAAAAGGGTTCAAGAAAACTACACGTCATCTCAGAAAAACATCGTGTGTATACTGAAGTGAACACTTGAGAGGCATGCAAATTGAAATGAGCTTGTGTGCATTTGTTTTCTAATGTGTAATAGCAGTGACTATCTAGTATTTGAATCATCTTTAATTTGTGATGGATGTTCTAATTCACTTTGATCTTTTCTGGTTTGATGATATGTTATGTTTTAGTTCATTAATACCTGCTGTTAATTATCCTCTTAAACATTTTAAGGAAAAAACAGTAATTTTCTTTTTATTTAAAAACTATTTTTCTGTTAACTTTTGTTTAGGGGTAGCTAGTTCTCTTGCACTCTTTTGTGCTTTGGAATTCCCATTTCTAGCTATTTTTTAAATACGGTGTAATTTGAAGATGGTTCACTTGAAAGAGGTTGAGGAGGATGTTTCTTATTACCTCTGATGAAGTTTTTAACTTGATATCTCTAACTTCAGTTCCTTAATCACTGGAAGATGGGTGCCAATTTGCCAAGTATCACCTGGGCATTTGCAGGGCTGCTTCTAACTCCTTGCTCTCCCAGCTGCTGTTGTACAGCAGGTTTTTTACCTCTTTCTTCAAACATCCCTCCCAGAGGCCCAACCAGCATCTCTCCCTGGCTCAGCTCTGGCCAGCAGCAGGTCCCTTTTGGAGCTGGCTGGAGCTGCCTCTGACCTGACCTGGGGCAGCTGCTGGGCTCTGCTAACAGAGGCCACCCCTGCAGCCCCCTGCTACCGAAACCTTGCACATAAACCCAGTGCTGCCAGTGCTGTTTGTTGTCTACTGCAAGCTACTTTGTGCAGATGAACATTTTAGAATTTTTCAGGCTGGAAAAACATTCATATTGTTAGAAAAGACTGTAAACTTCATGGGGGGTTTGAAGCTCCCCATTCATATCCTGTTCAAGACCAAAAAAAGCTTGCATTCATTTAATTTCCCTCAAGGAACTCAGATTTTAAAAATACAACAGTTACAGACTCTTACCTCTTTTATCTAACATGACATAGGGCTATTTATGGCCTGATGCGCTGATTTATGCGGAAAGTATAGATTTTACGTGCATCCTTTATTATAATGTACATCATTTGAGAATAGCTGCAATTTATTTCACAGTATGATTATAGTTCTTGCTTCAGATCTTCTTCTATAATTATAATAATGGAAATGGAGATAGAAGATCCTGGCTCTACTTGACATTGTTGGACATGTTGCATATTTTTGTCTTTTTTAGCATCATCAGGTTATTACTCTCTGAGGACTCATAGATATAAAGTACCTCAGGATAAGTTACTTTATGTTAACTGATACATATAAAGTATAGATGCAAATGAAAAATAATTCGAATCTGTTCAGTGCATTTTCATGATATAATTTGTGTTAATTCTCATCAAAATAGAAACAAATTGAAGGTTTATACTGCAGATCAGCTATGCGTCATATCTTATTGAAGTCTGGTAATTTGTATTAATTTGGGCCTCTATGTTTCAGAATATTGGATAATTTGAAGCAATTCATGAAAATACACCTTTAGTTTGCCCTTATTTGTTTTCAAACAAACATTTTTTTCACTTTGGTTCAGTAGCAGGCTCCTGCACTAGAAGATATTTAAGAAGATCTTTATTTCCTCTGCTAATTCTCCTATCTAGAAATTGAATGTTGCAGTTTTCTGGTGTTTTCATTTCTAAAGTACAGAATCTGAATGGAACAGAAAAAAAAAGCCACAATCAGTTGTTTGGGAATGTATTATTCCGTTGTCTTCTGGGTACTATTCCTTGTAATTGCTTTTGCACTGTTTATTGTCCCCTGTTAAAATGAAGTAAATATTTCTGAAATAGAATAAGCCTATCTTTAAGTTAAATGGGATTTTACTATTTAAAAAGAAACTCCACCTTAGAAAATTGAATTAAGATCACAACATTTACTTATATCTTCAGTAGCACAGTTTTAGAGAGTGGACAAATTGAGTTTAAATGTGAGTTAAGTACACACTCATTTTTGAAACACTTTGACTTGTCTTATTAGACTAGGAATTAACTTTTTTTTTCTCTATTTCCTTCCAATTGATTACCAAGAGGAAAAAAAAAAAAGACAAAAAAAGAAAGCTAAAGTATTTTACGTCTTCGGTGTCTTCCAGCAAACACGTGGAGATGGAGAAATTCTCCCAAAAGGTTGTGCTTGTGAACTGGACTGCCACCATTTCACCTGAATGGACTAGGTTGAGTTTGTCTGAGGGCTGACTTAAATCTGAAACTTGAGGGACCTTCTGTCTCTTGTGTTGACTTTTACCGTAGGTTACCCAACTGACTGATTGCTTTGAAGAAGACATAGGAGGTGACTGTTGCGGGCTGTTTTGTAGGAGCAGAGGCCTGTTTCTGCCCCTTGAATTCCTACGTGATTATTAATTTAATAGGCAAACTTTTGTCAAGCTAAAAGAAGCTGTTGAGTATTCACATGCACCTGTTGTGAGGTTTTAAAACTCCCTGTTATTTACCACAGGGGTAGGTTTTCATCAGTGACTTGCATATATTTACTTAAAGACTCATTGTTTGTGTCACTTTCTTTCATCCGTTGAGGTTTTTGGGAGATAGTTCATTCATTTTCTCCAATGTACTCTACTGTTTTTGCCAGATTTGTTCAGCTGGGACAGAGTCAACATAAACCAGACAAGAGCAGCCAGCAAGTTTGCACAAAACTCCACTTGGATAGAGTTATAAATTTGTAAGTATTCTTTTTCTTTTAGCCTATTTGTATTTACTTTTGTTATTAGACCTAAAAAATTGTCTGGTAAATTTGATGTTATAGAGCCATACTTCTGTTGAGGATTCATTGCATAGCATGAAGAATCAGGTTCATATTTCATAAATCGGTATGCAGTGCATTCCAACAAAAGAGCACGTTGAGTCTGCATAAATGTTATTTGAACAATTAAAATCCACGACATTTTCCTCAGGAAAGGGAAAATCAAGGTCAAAATTCTTCCTGTCAACAAAGCACTGCTTGAATACTTTAATCCCAAAAGATTCACACAAGGGCCATATTCAACAAAGCCAGGCAATTGAGGTAGGATGGTAGGAGTATCACTCCGTAGGGATATTTGGAGTAACTTCTATGTATTATTTTTTTTAATTTTCCCTTAAGCTGAAAAATAAAGTTATAATAGGCATACCTATTTAATTTATACTGAGATAGGGAATGTAACTGTTTGTGATTATGAATTGATTATCACTGTACAAGAATGTCCTCTAGTGCCAGGACAGATCATTTGAATCTTTTCTTAATACTAAAAACATTGGATCATGATGTTATTCAAGAATCATACTATTATTGATGCTGGTCATGACGTTTAGATGATCAGCTCCTAACTTCCCAGTTGAAATCTCCCTGTACTGTAGGCTGCTTAAAGTTTCACCAGGGCAGGCTTTTACTTGCTCGTGTTTCTGGGTACCTCTTGCCTGACAGCGCTGCCACTCCATAGGACTACAGACCTCTAGAGCAATCCACTGATGTACAGACACCTCAGCTGTGTTTCCTGCACTCCCTGTAGTCCATTCCCTGTGTGCTGATGAAGTGGGGAAAGCCTGAACATGGCTCTTGCCTGAGCAGGAATAAAGACTGTGGGTGTCTAATGAGGGAGCAGGATACCGTGGAACAGATCTATTATTGTGTGTAAGATAAATACTACCTAATATCAGTTCTTAGTCACTTGATATTATATATACTTAAATTGATGGCACCACTGTGCCTTGTTCATCATTAATAAGCTTACACTTTGTAGGTGAATATGTCTGTAGTTTTATAATGAATTATATCTGATGGGTATTAAAATAGTAAGCTAGGTTGGCAAACTGTAAAATTGTTTTTAAACATGAAGGAACAACTCAGAGTGTTTTGAAAGGAAACAGTTATTAAGAAATCATTTCATAACAATAGGAATATTTTTGCTTTGAACAAAGGTGATTCTGTTTGTGTAATTGCAAAATCTCCCAGTGTGTTTTTGACAGTTGTAGGAGACGATCATTCAGGTTGGGATGCCCCATCCCTGGTGGTCTTCAAGACAAAGTTGGATGAGGCCCTGAGCAACCTGACCTAGTGGGTGGCATCCCTGCTCATGGCAGGAGGTTGGAACTGGATGGTTTTTAAGGTCCCTTCCAACCCGAGCCATTCTGTGATTCCTTTCTTGCCCCCCTTAACTTAGAGTAAATTGTTCCCCATGCTCCACTGCTGTAAAATGCACACAATAAAAAGAATCCATGCATATAATTGTGATGGCAGATGGGTGGAGTCAGACATTCTTTTTATTCTTTTCTCAAGTGTAATTTCCTTGCATATCTGTATTGTGAAAGTGTCAAAGTCATAGAGCACGCAAATCTGTGCCTCCTGTCACTCCTCCTACTAAAATCATGCAGCTCATCTTTCTCTGCCAACTCTACATAATTTGTTCTGTGCAGATCTGAGAGGAAACAGGGTATTTTATAGCTGGTAGTTGGCTTTGTTTGTTTGTTTGTTTTCCTGAAAGTCTATGTTTGTACAGCTTAAAAAAAAAAAAAAAGAAAGAAAGAGAAAGAAAGAAAAACCTTAATCTTTTGTTTTGCAACTTCTTAAAAACTTTGAAGTACTGTTTGGATGGCAACAGAATGTTCTTTCAAGAAAAGTCATAGATGTAGCCATTCTTTTAAAGCATGTTGTTCAATTCTGGAACACTGAAGCTTTCTTCCTGTGTGCTAGTATTTGAATTGGTGCTCTGAATCAGAAATTTCCTTGGAGAATAGTAACCTTTTAGACATAAAATAGTATAAACATATTAAGCTCAAGATTAGGCTGAGGGAGAGTTTTCAGTACCAGCAGCTGAGGCACATCTTGCATTTTGTTGGGCTGTATGTTCCCTTATGTCTCCAGTAGTTCTTCAAGATATTGAAAAAAATGGTGTTAGGTACATTTTAAAATGGAAAAAAAAATCATTCTCCAGTAGTTCCTTGCAGATAAAAATGCAATTAAACCGCAGTCTTTTTAATAGTAAACTGAAGTACTCAGTCTAAAACTTTTGTTTCTTATCAGCAGTAAGATAGAATACAGTTATATAAATGTCCTATGCATGATTAATTTTTGCATCTATGTCGTTTCCACACTTTTCAAGAAAATCTTTTATTCATATCCTTTTTAGATTGTAAAAGAGCTCACAGCCTTAAATCCTGTGGCCATTTGTATGTATCAACTACATAAAGCCGATATAAATATTTCTTAATTTACTATTACTGAAGGTGTGTGTTTTAAGTATTTGAACCAGTAGATTAGATATCATGTATACTGTTAAGGATCAAATTGATTTCGTAGAGCACATTTTATTAGCACATTTATGAACGTGAATATGCACTGTAGAAATAACGAAGAAAAGAAGCTTCTGGCCTAAATTTAGAAACTGCAAGTATAGATTAGAAGCAAAAAATGGACCCTTGAACAAGGACAAACGTGATTCTTTTAGTACAATGTATTATGGTGTATCTGAAGAAAGACTTCGTTGAGTACTGTGGTATAATTGCTGTTGGCTGACACCATGCACCTGTACCTAGTTTCCTAGTACTCCCTGCAGTGTGATAAAAATAATCTAGGAGTGCTAGAAATTTGATTTCCTCTTGAACAAGGAATTGAGTGTTTTGATTCACTGTAGCACTTCTGGAGAAGAGTGTAGATATGCTTTAATGAAGAGCAGCTAGCTGGTTGCATACATCAGGGTACAAAGTGTTTTCAGTGCCTCTGTACATTGTGGCGTATGCAATACAGCAACAATGCTTACACCAACTTTAATTAATCCATATACATCTACTATCCTATTTTGTTATGCAGGGCATTGATGAAGCTCACGTAGGAGAATAATTCAGTGATGCCTGCAGTAAGGTTCAGAGCTGTGTTCTCCTTAAATCTTTAGAAAATGGACCTTCTTCAAAGATGTATCTTGTAGTCCGTGCTTTCAAAATTCTCTTGAAGTTAAATGCGTAATTTTCAATTTCTGTTAACTTACTGAATGTTTTACTGGAGTATTTTTAATCAGATAATACCACTTCAAAATATTAAAGTAAAAATACAGCAGAACATTTTGTAATTCTAATGGAGTGTTTTACAGCCCTAGCTACTTTTGAAAGCTGTTACTTTTGAGAGCTGGTTACCTCTGTTTAGAGCAATTGTCTTGTTCTTTCAGTAGTTCCATATGAATTTGTTCATATAATGTCTTTTTCTGGGAGGATTAGAAAAAAAATAATGTTAAATTTGCTAAGTAGACATGGCATCACTTCCATATAACTGCACAGAACAAACAGTTGTTATTGAGTGTGTCATCTTGCTATGTTTTTAAATCTCAGGAGTTCTTGAGGAGTTCTTGGGGGGGCAGTCTTTATGTTGAACGGCAGAAGTAAATGAATAAGGGATCTGAAGAATGGTTAGTATATTTATTTTTTACATGAAACCTTTGCTAAATATCTAAATGGTTTCTTGACACTGCTGTGGGAACAAAGGCCAAAGTAAAGCACATTCATAATTAATTAGTCAACAAGTAACTTTTTAGAAATTATAAGCTCATATCCTGATTACATTAGGGTAATGTCGTCTTCAATAACATCCTTATCATTTGCCTAATTATTAGTAGACTTACTGCATAAGTCAAAAGATAGTATTTTCCCCTATGCATTTGAGTATAGCATTCATTGAGGAGTAATATATTGTTCTCTTTTATATCGGAAATAATTACACTAGATGGTTCCATTATAAGCACTGATCATATAAAATAATGAGCATTTCCTATAACTTCAGTAAGAGCTGCAGTCTTTCCACTCCTGTAGTACAACATGTACTATCATGAGCCAGGGATCATGCCCTTTCTCTCACAGTGTTTCGTTTATTAACTAGATTATTTCCTCCTTTTATTTTGAATGTGCAGAATGAGCTGCTGAGACAACATCTAATAGTGAGTCTCTGGTGTGGTGCTCCAAAATCATTCAGATTTTGGTTCTAGTTGTCATACAGAATCACAGAATGGCTTGGGTTGGAAGGGACCTTAAAGACCATGGGCAGGGATGCCCCTCACTAGACCAGGTTGCCCAGGGCCCATCCAACCTGAACTGGAGCACTTCCAGGGATGGGGCATCCACAGCTTCTCTGGGCAACCTGTGCCAGTGCCTCACCACCCCTCTGAATAAGTAATTTCCTCCTAACATCTAATCGAAATCCTCCCCTCTTTTAGTTTAAAACAGTTTCTCCTTATCCTATTGCTATCTGCCCGTGCAAAAAAGTTGCTCACCATCTTTTTTATAAGCCCCCTTTAAGCCCTTTTTTAAGCCCCCTTTAACTCCTGTCTGGGATTGCTCTGACCCAGGTGCAGCACCTTGTTCTTGGATTTGTTGAACCTCATTAGGTTCACATGGGCTCACTTCTCAAGCTTGTCCAGGTCCCTTTCATTGGCCACCTCCTCTCCTCCCTCCCATTTTTTTTTGTTTTTGTTTTTGGAGTATGCATGAGTGAGTTCTTTGGGTAGCTGCTTTGTTTTGTCCTGTCCTATGACCTGGTTCCTCTGTATTGATTGAATCTTTAAATTTTGAATTAGCGTGGTCAGCATTTATCATCCCTACTTAAAAAAGAAATCATCTTGCCTCAGAGATCAACCTTCTGTGTCAGGTGTTGTAACCTTCTCTCAAATTCCTTGTCTGCACTTTGGAGAAGCTGCTTCTAATTTGGATCGTAAAATCCTCATTTGGATGTATAACTGAAAAGAAAGTCTTTTCTTTCGCTAATATTTGAAGCTGTGCATGCTGTAAGAGTTTCAGGTGATTCCTCAGGGACCTTGATGCAGTCCAGGTTTTGCTACTGGTCAATTCTTCAAGAAACAACTTGCAGTAGTATATGCTAATGGACAGAGGAGGTTTCCTATTTTTTCAGTCCTCTCCTCTCCTAAAGACTGATTGAAATTTTGCTGTATGTAGGGAATGGTGTCTAAGGAAGGAAAAAAATGTTGAAGGCTTTTTCAAAAGCTCAGCAAGCAATTTAAGGGTATATCATTTATAGGAAACAAACAAGCAACTAGATTTGCCAGAGTTTTGTAGGTCAGATCTATTTACTTAGGATTCAAACAAGGCAATAGAGTATGCTTTGTCTCCTTCTTCAGATACTCTTTAGGACTTGAGGAGAACTAATCTAGTGGCTTTCTGGTGACTGCTGTACTTGTGAGCTAAGCAGTCCATGCACCACTTCTTCAAAGTGTGAACATCTTTGCTGAAACTGAAGCTATAGCTGTATGTTTGCTATAACCATATCTTCTTTTACTGTAGAGACAATACTACTCTTAGTGGGATGATAACACAATGAAGCCTGGTGACAAGTGGGATGAAAGTAATTGCTCTAACTCCTTGCATTTCAAGGGTGCTGTCATTCAGGACATGGAGTTTGCATTCCTATCCGTGTAATTTTCATTGGGAGGACATAGAAATACAAATCTCTCAGGGATGTATGATAGCCTAGTCCTAAATAACTTGCTGTTCTTTGTGACTCTACTGTTATTAAACCTATTCATCAGATTAGATTTTTACATGAATAATGTTAGATAAATGCCTTTAATTAAATGACTGGATAATACAAGCACTCCATAAACATTTCCAGTTTAATATCACAGAATGGCTGAGGTTGGAAGGGACCTCTGACGATCCTCTAGTCCAACGCCCCTGCCAAGAAGGATCACCTAGAGCACATTGCGCAGGATGGCATCCAGACAGGTTTTGAATATCTCCAGAGAAGGAGGCCCCACAACCTCTCTGGGCAATCTGTGCTGGTGCTCTGTCACCCTCACAGTAAAGCAGTGCCCCCTCATATTTAGATGGAACTTGTGTGTTTCAGTTTGTGCCCATTATTTCTTGTGGGGTTATTAATCAAACCTGGCATGCATGAAACTGACGTTCTCTCAAAGCATTTTTAGCATGTTGAAAATTGAGATTTAAGAAACTAAATGCTCAAAATACACTTTGTTGTCCAAGTTTCACGAAGTCTAAGGAAGTGACTTCGACTCACAAGTGTTTCAGAAATGTTATGTCTTTAGAAACAATTCAATAAAGAGAAAAAACATCAAATTAGTGTAGTGGGTTTTGTTATGTTTTGGTTTTGCTTAATAATGCTCAGTTTCTAGCAGACTAAGCAGGCCAGCTACATTTGAGGAGGTATCACCTTTCGGTGCTAGATAATGATATTGTTAAGTTATCACAGTGTTCTGGTGTTAAATGCCATTGCTAGAGGTTCGGCTTGAATGCTTTAAACTAGGTAAATATCTGCAGAAGCTGTGGGTGCTTTGAAAAGCAGTCTACTTTACAAGCACTTAGATATAAATATAGATGGACTAGTGTTTGGTACTAATACTGAAAAACACCCACATTAGTGTGTTCAAATCAACTGGAAGAATATGTTAGTGAGGCTTAGAAGAAACAGCCACTCTGGGGAAAAAAAATGGAAAGAAAAGTTGAATTTCCACAATATTATTCATGCAGTTTATTAATGAAAAATAAAATAAAATGCTGATTTGGTGAGAGTATAATAGCAGAGGGTGAAATCCACACAAGTTTCAACTCTTTTGAAATAAGAGCTTTGTGTTGTTTAAGAAAAGCATCAAAATATACATTTTATTATTAGTTTACATTCCAGTGTAGTACCACAGAATTCTGAGATTAAGAAGCCTCGACAGGAATCACGGTACAATTTAAAATAAGGAAGAACAAGAATTCATTCTGTGCAGTAAAACATTTTTTTTGCAAATTCTTTAGCTACACGTGTTTAATTCTAGAACAGACAAGTGTTTCTGTGATGCAACCTAGCAAACTGATCCTAGATATTCAGAAAAACTCTGTGGGTGATCAGTGAATTTATAACTGACATTGATACAGGTTCTAAAACAAGTACAACTGTGGAAGGACCGGAGTCTTATCTTGAAGTTACTTGCAGTAATGCTTATGTTTAAGTTTGGTTTATGTTACAAGCATTACATCTTTCAGAGTAACATCTTTTGCCCTAAGAGTAGATCTGTTCCTCCACAGATTCCTGATTCCTTAGGGAAACTAATACAATGTCTATCAGCATTGAAACATAACATTGCATAGAAACAATATGCTCCAAAAATCAGAGCCTGGAGAAACTTGCAAAAAAAATTAACATTCAACACCAAGAGCTGCATAACACAGACCTGAGCAACATGCAGTGGCTATATTTTCTCAGAAATTACCAGCCACAGTACCAGCAATTAGTAATTTTTTTTTTCATCTTTGCCTCTTAAAAGTGAACACTTATTCTCTCTCTCCTATTCTAAGATTAGAAATAGATTTTAGATTGTTTTCTCAGCTGTGATAATCATAGCTGAACAAAACTAAATTGCAGTATTCAAAATTGGGTCAGAATTTTATCTGCTTGGGAACTCGTGATTGGCTCATGAAGAAATACTTGTTGTAATTCCTCCTGTAAGAGGCATTATTTCTCAGAATTTACGTTGTAATCACTTTTTAATATCTAATGCCTCAGAAGTTAGTGATTTAAGGAATAATTTTAATACTTATTATGGCAGTAATGGTGTGCTGCCTTTTGTGCACAATCCTTTTTACCCTGTTTACACTAAATTTTTATTCCGATTACGGTACATGTAAAATCTAACTTATCAGACATTGCAGCATCTACTGGAATTGTCCACACAACTCTGCATTTTAAAGTTTCTACCAAATTTATGATTGAATTGATCAGCATTTGGTAATTAAATTGTAAAGAATGGACAATTACGTTTTGATTTTAAAACACTGCATTCACCTTTTTGAATGCACTGCAATGTTGCTAAGATACCTAGGATAAAACTTCCTCCCCTTTCCTCCACTCAGATAAAATACATTTTATACAGAGAACATGGAGCAGAGCAGGAATTTTTAATACAAGCTTTACTATAGTAATACTAGACCAACTGGTGAAGTATGGTTATGGTATAAATGATATGAGCCCAGAGCCAAGTTCAATTAGCTGTGAGCTGGCACTGGCCAGCTCATATGTTCTCCTGTTTTAAAGATCCAACAGAAATGTGCATTGTACACATAGTGCAGTTGAGTGCCTAAAAAGAGAGAGCTGTCCTGGTTCATTTTTAGTACAGCTACTTTTGCAGCCAACAGTGGTGTCACTAAGACACTAAATTGCAACCATCCCATGTAACCATTAAAGTCCAATATAAGTCAGAGCAGTTTCTTGATATGTTGCTGAAAATTAGCTGGCTGTAGCCTGGAATAAGCACATTTCAATGATGATGTGGAAATTTGGGGCTGGAGCTGATGCATCGATTACATTTGGGAAGAGAAGTCCAGACTGGAAATACACTGACTGATTTTCCTTACAACAAACTCTGTGTACAATAAGTAAGAGTAACAAAGAATTAGAGGTGTCATTTTCCACACTTCACTCTTCTTCCCTGGTGTTTAGATCTGAGGGACATGTGTTTGAATGACTTCCCCTTTCCCTCGCAGAGATCCTGGGAGAAGCATACAACGAAAAGAAGAGAAAGAGGAGAAAACCATTAAGAGCAGCATTGCTTCTTCTGTTTGTTCTTCCTTATGCACTAGGACTGTAGTAGGTCAGTTTTTGATGTAACGTCTGTAGCTCTGAGGAGTAGTGGTCCAGAAGTGACAGTAAGATGACAGGCTGACCTCTCTGATGAAAGCTGTGCATTGCGCTTAGAATTGCATTACATAAATACTACAGGTTTTAAGATGTGTAAATGAAGAGCGCAGTATCCTCTAAGGCATCTTTCATTGAATAATAATCAGGGAAGGCTTGATTTTCAGTTAAATGTCATATTCTGTTTGGATGCTGTAGTTGTAACAACTAAACAACCAATATTCTGTGCCATTCAGCATAGTCCCAAGAGAGAAAGCACAAATGTACATGTTTTAAATTTGCACTATACTTGCTAAGAACTCAGTAAAATCAGGAACTATCATGGCTTATGTGTGTAAACCTTTTGCAAGTCCAATGTTTGTCGTCAGTTCCCAGACAATATATATACATGTATATATTTTTGCATTATTATGTTAAATCTATGCAGTTGTATTTCACTTTTTTATAAAACTAGTTCATATTGCTAGTCAATTTATTGTATTTCATAGGAAGGGAGTATAATACAAATTACTTGATTAGTTTGAGGAGATGGTCAGAAGGGCTTGAAAGGAAACTTCTGTTGTAGTCCCATCTTGTTTAAAATCAAAGGTTTTGAGGTTTTTACCTATAACTTAATTCCTTCAAACTATATTTCAAATAAGTGGTGGTATTTCTATTTAAGTTATAAAAAATACTAGTAATGTTAGACCATGTTATCATAACAATTCAATTCAAAATCTCTGGAAATCAAATGGTTGCTGTAACAGTGTAAATACTGGGTAGTTTTGAATGGCTGATACTCGCTGGCTCTTGTACTGGAAGTTTTTCTTCAAACTTGTCTTCCAGTCGACTGGAAATAAGTGGGGCTTTTTCCAAATTGCCCTTGCAAACATTAGTTCCTGGTCATAGCACAACTAGAAGAACGTTGCTATGTTTCATTTATAGAAGAGCTGTGCCATCGTTTGAGTGCCCCAATTCTTCAAAAGCACCATTCACTGTTATTTTCTCTCTAAAAGAGGAGGTTATACACACAGAAGTAACTTCTTGTTTCTTGAAGAGCACCCAGATATTGAGTTATGACTGTGGTTTCTGTGCAGTATGGCAATGATGCTAATATATGTGAATCTTCCTTGCATTTGGGCTGGTTAATGTTCACCTTTGGAAATAATTGGCTTTGATAGGAAGTTGCAGCTGTAATTTCATAGTCCAAAAATGTATACATATGCTAATACAATATATAACAATAGCATTCTGACTGTTTTTCAGCCACTGGCTATTATTCCAATACACTATTAAGTAATGTGAAGCTTTTAGAAATTTTGTCTTTGGTAACTAAAGTAGTAGGTGACAGATGAAAAAGCTAGTTGAAAAAAATCTCAAGTATTAAATGCAATTTTGCTCAATGCATTATCAAAGAAGAAGTAGTAGGCCTTGGAAATCTCCATAAATGACAAGATTTTGAGGTTGATCAGAAAATAACTAGTGTGTGAGGAGAAATGAAATACATTTAGTTGTATAATAGTGGTGTGGAGGAGGCAAATGACTGTTCAGCCGTTTCTCTCAGTCTAAGAGCTATGAACAACCAAGGCACATAATCACAAATGAAAGGAGCGTAGCATCAGACACAACCAAGTAGTAGAGCTTATTCCCAAAGGATTCCATAAGTCTCAGAGAGACATCAGAAAAATCACCCATGGAAATCACTTCTCAGGAAACAGTAGCCCAGTTTCAAATTTTGTCTCACGTAGTTTCTCAATCCTGTTTGCTGAAATATGGGAGAATATACTGGAGAAGGGATTGTTCAGTACCTCTTGTAGTGAATACTTTGGCAGCTTCATTTACAGAGAGTATTTATAAAGCAGATGTGTTTTTATAGCTATCTAAAGAGTTAAATTAGCTTTTCCAGCTGAAATACAGACTAAAAATATATTAAACCGATGATTCAGAGAACTCTTCAAAACATGTATGTCATTTTTTTTCATAACCAAGAAATGATTTATTTCTCCTGCTTAGGATTTACAGGTGCATTGCAATGTTCTAGATAACTCTGAGTTCTATCAGATATTTTTTTCTTGGAGTTCATTTCAAAATCACATTTCCACTAAATCAAACAGTATTGACAGAAAGAAAAGTTAATGCATAGGTTGCCTTCAAATGTCAGTGTATTAGGTATTGATGTTCTGTTGCAGAATCCAAACTGATCTGCTATCAAACAGGTAAAACATCAACACTGTTCAACTCTGGGAGTGTTTTATAAATAAATTAGTAAAATATTGCTGGGAAATGCACATAGTATATTTATGAATACTGCTTTCACAATAGCTGAGTGCTTTAAAATGAAAATGATTTGCTACACAGGTACTTCTAGAGTTTATTCATTTATTATGTATTGAGTATAAATAGTTTTGTTACTACCTTGCAGTTGATTGTGGAGAACACATTATTACTGCTGAGGAATTTGGCTTAGATCCATAGAATATTATAAATTGGAAAAGACCCTGGAGGTCATCTCCTCTGAGCAAGGGTTTGGATCAGGACCAAATTAGGCTGTTCAGGGCCACGTACACTTGAGTTTTGAATATCCTTGCATTTTGCATGCCCTTTTTGAAATCTGTCTTTTTATCATGCACTCCAAGAAGAGTCTGGTTCCACGCTATATGTACCATCCCGTTAGGTAGTTGGAGACAGCAATGAGGCTGGCCTTAGCTTCTCCGGGCTGAACAAACTCAGCACTTGCAGCCTCTCCTCACATGTCATGTGCTCCAGCTCTCTAACCATCTTGTTTTTTTTGCTGAACTTATCCAAGTATTTCATTGTCTGTCTTGGACTGGAGGGCCCTGAAGTGGGCACAGTGTTCTACATGTGGTCTTTTGAGCCTGGAGCAGAGAGGAAGCAATCATTTCCTTTGACCTGCTGGCTTAGCAGTTTTCAAGAGTTGCAATTGAAAGACCAGCTTCTACCTTATAAGTGAGTCTGATTCACAGAGGTGCTTAGAAAAGGTCTGACATACTCAGGTTCATGTAAACTTTCAGACTACATGTATCTCTCATAAGATTAGTAGGTTTAAGTATTAGGATTCAAAGATAGCATGTATTTTATGAAGCTATCCAAAATATATTTTCATAAATTATCCTTTGTCCCAGTGTATAGAGTGCTGTTACTGGTACTAGGTTTTCTGTTTCTTTATAGTTAGATAGAAATTTCTTATCTGTTAACTTCTTTCTGCTTGGTGGTTTAGAGTATAATCACTTGGTTGTTATAATTGCTGCTAAGTGGGTAGTTCAATAACATTTTCCTGTTACCTGCTATAATGTATGGCACAGGTCAGCTCGGGTGCTTATTGAGCATAGGAGATCTGAGGTAGGATGAAAAAATGAGGACAGAGTCAGGAAAGTACAGAAAGTATCCTTAGTGTGATTAGTGGCATCTTACCTAATTACCCTACTTGGAAAGCGGGTCTTACGAGGTCTGCAGTAGTGTTCACAATCTAGGTAAATAGATTATCAAGTGCAAAGTTACCTTTTCATGGATTCTTATATATATTTCAAGGAAAATAATTACTCTTCTTTAATCATGCAGTTGTTTTACTTAAACTTCTGAATATCTTTTTTTTTTAATTTTTTCTTTTTTCAGAATACCAATCTCCTCCTTTTCTCAAGATAATATTTACGAAGTCCAGCCTCCAAGAGCTGATAGGAAATCAATAGAGATTTTTCATGCGCACATTCAGGCTGGAAAAGGAAACATGCAGCCACTGGGAAAAGAGGACTTCTTCATGTACAGAGAGTACATTCGAAACAGATACCTCTAAATACAAGCTGGATTCTCATGTGAAGTCTACAGTACTGATAGGTCATAAAAAATAATTTTGGAAAGGAAATCTAGTTTTGTTATTTTGCAATAATAAATTTATTTATCTAACAATTCTATCTATTATGGTTTGCTATTGCACATTTATGGTACCATGCTTTACAGGAGAAAAAGTGATTTAATATCTGCTCTTCAGCTGGAAGAGAAAAGTGTTATTTTAAGAGATTAAGTGAATAATTTGAGCACTTGTAATAACGGGAAGGTACGTAGTGATTTATGGCAAAGAAAATATTGTCTTTTAAGTTTTTATATTACTTATATTCTTATGTTTGCTAGCAGAGATGAAATGATTTGTACATGCGAATCAGAATATAATATTTTTCTTCCTCTTTGTTCTATGGCAACAATCTTTTTTACAATCAAATGTTTTCTGATATTTCTTGAGATTTTTAGCAAATTGAGTGCCCAAATGACTTCTTGCACTTTGCTGCTTTCTTAAACCACGCTTTTTTTTTTCTTTTGCTTATGTCAAAATCAAAATTTACACCTAGACTAACATTATAACTCTAATCTGTGTCAAATTAACTTCATTGGTTCTAGTAGCTACAAAATCTGTGCTACATGCAGGGTGGAAATGGCTCGTGAATAATTATTGTGGGTTTCTAGTAGGCCTCTGAGGTGAACCACTCACTGACTACATTGTAAATGAGGGAACCCTTGGAGGGTGCAAGACCATTTTGCTGTATGACAGGCATTACCCTTTTTGCAGCATATTGTTTCCAGCCTCATATTTGTGCTCAGTTAAGATGCTTCCAGATATAAGCTTACAGCCTCCTAACAACTCAGTGTCACTAAGTGGTGTAGAGACTGGATCAGCTGGGACGGTCATGCAAGGGAAAGCAGTAGTTGGGTTTAGGGAAGACTGAACATCATGTCCAGTGCTATGTAAGAAGTGGAGAGGTATCAGGTACTTGACCTAGATTATTTAAGTTGGTCTTGTGATCAAAACATTTTCTGAAATAAGAAATAAACCCCCCCCACACAAAAACCTATGACTTGCAATTACAAGCTAAAATTTCCAACGCTGCTTTCTAGCCCTCGGCCTTGAGGAACACTGGCAGCAACAACAGCATCCTTGATAGATTATGTTATTCCACGTGTTTGTACAGGCCATATTTCAGAATTTTTTGGACCAACTCTGAATAACTTATTTGGGGAATGTCAGCCAACTGCATGCTAGATGTAGCGAACACGTTTGTGTTCACAGTTAAGTTGCTTGCAGGCAGCTACTCCAGATTTTTGGCTGCATGCTGCAAACATATTCTGCATATGTTTGCATATCTCATGCAGTCGGTAGCATTTTTGTCAGTAATTCAACAAAAAAAGAGATGCAGTGAACAAAGAGATTCGAGTTTCTTGTGGGGTCTGTGTGTTTCAGGAAATGATTCGTGTGTGGACAGTTAGAGAATGTGGGACCTCAAGCTACCAAAAATGTTGGTGTCCATTCTCTTTTGTTAATTGATTCATATTGTTTTGAAATAAATTAAGGTATTTTTGCAGGTGCGAGAATGAAAACACACTTCAGATAACACTTCATTGCAACTGGCAACCTCTTTCCTCTGGAAAAACAAAACAAAACAAAAACTAAGACAAAAACAACAACAACAAAAAAGTACCAAACTCTCCTGTCCATTATGAAAAAATACTTGGAAAGAATAAATGTTTCATTTGGAAAAACGTAGAGCTTGGAGTCCTTATCCTAACAAAACACATACATGCTTTTCTTATTGCACTTAAACTATTTCCAAAGATGTTTTGTAGATGACCACATTCCTTATACTTCTGTTGCTCGTAGATACTGGAATTTCATAAAAGCTGTCCTTGAAAGTGTGCCACTTAACCACAGATAGGTGAAAGAACTAAAGTTGCTGCAAAATACAGGAATTGTGACAATTTTACAGCTTTAAGAGAAAATATGTTCAGGCTTTAGCAATTCAAACACTGTTTAGCAAAAAAGGATTATAGGGTTTTGGTTTTACGGTTTTGAGAGGCGAATGGTATCTCAGCCCATTATCTGTAATACAATGCCATGCTTTTCAGTGTCTTTCTAAATTTGTGCCATGACAGTCCTATAGCAGCATCCCCTTGAATCTTGCAGCATATATAGCTGCCTCTTGTTTCTCCTTCCAATTAGAAAAGGTTTTAAAAAGAAGCAAACACAAAAACACTAGTTTTCACTGTGGTTTGAGCCATGTTCGCTACTTCATGAGATAATTGGGCATTAATTTTGAGGTGCTTGGTTGTGTGTTCTACCACGATAGTACTGAAACTGCTAAGAACACTTCAGGGTGCTGATGTCAACTATTTACTAGGCTTGTTTAAAAAAATAAAACAACACACAAACAAGGACTCCTAGCTTAACACTGATTGAATTACAAATTTTCAACTGTCTGAATAAATCTGCAGCCTTGTGTATGTAAAGCATTAATTGAAAAGGAGAATATATTCATTGGCCACACAAGTTAAGTTGCACAAAGGATTCCAGAGATGCTGGTGTGCATGTACTTGCTATATTCTGTTCTTGTGAGAATAAGTTCCAGTTGTCAGCTATGTGAGAAGTTCTGAATCTGTTTACCTTTCAGAAGCTGAGGAAAGTGTGTGCAAAGTAATATATATTTTTGTTTATAAGATATTTGTTACAAAGAATGGGCTGTGTTGGCAATGAAGACTAACAAGGTGCTTTTTTGACCCTAAGTGCTAATGATCTTTAATATCTTAATGTTATAAATCCATATGGACAAGAGAAATATCTCTCGGAGAAGTGTGTGGTTTTTCCTCCAAAATTTATTTCATTTGTTCTGATGTGTTTGAAGACTACATTGAAATAAAATACCAAAATGTATACATGGAGATAATGACTTCAGTTTCTTTCCTTGTCAATTGAGGAGGCACAGCCATGGGTTTAGGACTGTCATTTCTGAGCCAGTGTTTCCCTGATGCCAGTCCAAAAGCTTGAGCTGTGTTCTGTGACTGCTCAGACTGATGCTTGTGCCTTTAGGAGCGATTACTCCCAGCACTTTTGTTGGTACTTTTATGTCCTTGAGAGTTTTGTTCCCACTTGCAAAACCCACTCGCTGTCTTTGTTCTCTCACTCAAATTCCAGAAAGACTCAAACATGAAATACAATGCAATGTGCACGCTGTTGCAGCTACAAGAGGGGAAATGGTAAAAGAGCTGTACTTACTTCTGAGATAACGTTTAAGGTAGCTCCTCATTTTGGTGTTGAGTTTTGGAGATTTTTGCACAGGATCCTAGGAAGGTTACATTGGCCTTTGCAGACGGGCCAGTCATCACTAGAATAAATCCCAAAGCATGTAACCTGTCAGATCATAAGGTGAAACAGCAGCTAATCTCAAGGTATTTCATTCTCCATGTGCATTTCACCCTGTCAGTACTCCATGAATAACCACACCCCCAAGTACAGCTCATTGAAGATAAAGCAGTGTGACTTCAATAGCTGCACGAGTGTTGCATTATGTATGAAGTTCCATTTGCTGGCATGTTTTGAATCCGAGTGATCACCTGGAGACTGATGTGGAACAGAGAAAATGTGCTCGGCTCCCACATGCCTCCCTCTGTCTTTTATATACTTAAAAAACCTAATTGAGCTTGTCACTTCTGGTGGTGATTTAAAAGTAACATGAAACTAGTGCAATATGTTATGAAGTATTCATGAAAAAAAAAAAAATCATACATTAAAATTGCAACCCTTGCAAATATTGATGTTCAGCAGTTACCTAATGGAGCTTAAATTTGTGGTACAAAGAAAACCCTAATCGGTCTACTAGAGTCAAGTAAAAGAGCACTGAGAAAAGGCTTGAAAAACAAGCATTTCATGAATTACTGTATTTCTAGAGGAGCGATACATGCTTTTTGCCATATCTGACCAAGGCTTGGCTGTAACACTTAAATTCCCCTACTTTGTATTCATCTGTACAGAATAAAGAGGTGGGGTAATAAGGGCAGGACAGACAAATGGCATGTAATGAGCTACCTTGGGCGGCCCTTAGGTGTTTTCCCATTCTAGGAGCAGCTGTGCTGCTGGGGCTAAAGCCCAGCATGGTTTTTAGGCACTACAGTAGCAGCAGAGTGTGCATTTGTGGTCTTCCTGTTGTAGCACACTGAACATAGGAGATAGTGTGCATACTGCAACCTCCAAATCCCCTCAAAAACCCTAGGCCACAAAAGAGCACTTTCATTTTCTATTCCCTGCCAATTCAGGTACTCCTTTTTCATAAGGGTTCCCTATTGCTATCTTATTTTCACTGTGTTTCTTCTGATTTTTAGTTATTATTTTTAATTTCCCTTCACCTTTTCCACCACCTGTAGCTCAAAATCCTTTTACTTACCCAGAACCATGCCACAAGTTGCAGTTCCCCTTCTATACCCACCTTTTTGGAGCTTTCACTTGAATGAAAACTCCCTAAATCCTTTTACTGAAAAATAAATAAATAAATAAATAAAATAAATTGAAAAACCTTGAATCCTTCTGCAGCAATCCATATCTCTCCTTTTTAAAGGCCGGCTGTGCCATCATCTGCCCTGCTTGTTTTCCTACCTCCCGTGGCGGTGCCAGACGCGCGTGTTGTCTCTCTTGGGTTCTCCGTGTCTCGGTAACACGTTCGGGAGAAGTGCTCTGCTTGGGTACAGGATGTTAGTGCTTGAACAAATTGCAAGCATCACTTAAATCTTTTCCTCCAGAGGAAGACGAGAGCTGCTCTGACTGAGGAAGTGAGAGCGTTTCGAGTAGTGCCCTTCGGTTGCCTCTGGCCCTGCCGTAGCAGCGTGCTGCATCCCGCTGCACGGCGATATCCAAGGGGGAGGGAGGTGTTTTTTGGCTCGTACTCGCAAGCAAGTGGATCCAGCCAGTTTCAGTGAGCTGCTGTTGGCACATGTCGAAGCTCACTGCCATGTCCAGTGAGGGACTCTGCAGTGACAGGCCTGCCTTAGGTCCCTTGGGGTGTTTTATCCTTTCAGTTTGGATGCCTCTGTTCCCTCCCAGAGCTTCTTCTTGGGATCAGCACGGGGCTGGGACTCACATTGCCACCTTTTATGGCTGTTATCTGTGCTAAAACCAACATTAACCATGTTGCAGGCTTGAGCTGGAATACAATTCCCACTCCTTCAGGGCTGTGTCTCCTCTCAGTCCCCAGCACAAGCGGGGAATTCCCCTTGCTGGGTCTGTCATGTGGGGACACGCTCACACACTACATCCAATGTCCCTTCTGGCTGCTCTGGTTCCGCAGGGGAGGGTTCTGTTCTTTCCCAATGACGGAAAAAAAACAAATGTTGATTTTGCTATTGCCTAATTACATCAGTACTCTTAACCCTGGAATACATTCAGAGTCCCTTTCTCTGACCTCGGGAGGATGGTTGGTACATGTCGACTTGTGTGAGCAAAGCTCAGATTTAAAAGCGACTTGGCATGCTTAAAATCAGCCCATTACCCCATTCCTTAAAGCACGTTTTACCATATCCTGGATGTCTTGACTGAATGGGGTTAAAAGGTGAGCGTGTGGATGTCTCTAAGCTACAATAAAATGCAGCTTCCATTATCCTCTCCCAGCCACGTGGGGAGATCAAGCCGAGGGAGGACGTGGCGGTGGCTGCTGTCTGCAACCTGCCCAGCTCAGACTCTGCTGGCTTGTGAGTAGCTGCACTGCTGCTCACCGATGCTGGCAGAGACCTGCAGGGTGGCCAGTGCTTTAGTTTCCCTGCGGTTAGTGGAAGCTGCCAATGTGAAGGTAAATGTATGCTTTTGGCTAAACCTGCCATCCTGATTTCGCTCTGGGGCTTTTGTTTGCCTGTTACTAATACATTCAAAATTACTCTATATGAGTCACCGTTTGCATAGTTAATTTCAGGATTTTCTGCCCCAATAATGGGAAACTGAGAGAGCAAAGTTCCTGAATTGCACTGAAACCACCGATGATGCCTATGGAAAGCAGCGTGACCATGCTCTGTTTGAAGGTAGGTCCCATCGGTAGGTATACAGCAGCTGTCTGGGCTACACATACACAGCACCGCCTCAGGAGGCTGGACAGAAAGGTCTGGGAGAAAACCTGCTTCTTTATGTCACCAGTCTGTGGCATCTCATGGCATCCAATGTTCCAGACAGGCCCTGTCCACTTTTCCTGGGATTTCTGATTCAGGTGGCCCAAGGTAATAATTGACCGTGGTAAAAACATTACTCAGAATTGTTCTAATAGCATGATAAAGATGCTACGAGAGCAGTATATGCACTTTTTTTTTTTTGGTTTAATCTGTATTACTAATACTTTGCTTTGCTTCTTTTATTACTAATGTATTCAGAGTTGACGTCAATGAGTCATTTGTTTAATTTTTATTATTATTATTTTTAATTTTTCTCCATACTTCCCTGGAAATTCAATGTAGAGCACATGAGGAGAAAGGAAAAGAAAAAGAAGAAACCAAGGAAAATAGTAACATTTCTACTCTCATTTAAACCCATCTCATTGTGTGCATACATTCTCCACAGCCCAGAAATCCTGTAATAGCTTCTCCCATAGCGGCAATAAATGCTCTGTGCCGCTTTCTTCCCGGGTTTTTGCCTGTTCAAATTATTGGATAGCAGACTCAGGATGTTCACAAGTTGTGTCTGTGAAGCTGAAGGCTCAGTTGGGAATTCTTGTTTTCCTTCTCCCCGGCACAGAAAGTTGTTTTGTGGGATCATGAGCTCCTGCTCAGCAGGAGAGGGACAGCTCGGTGAAACCTTTCATATCAGAAGCAGGATTTTGAGGAGGAGCTGGCAGTCCTTTACAGTGGGCTTCACACCAGGGGTGAGCAAGAGCTAGTGTGCATCCCGGTGAGGCGAGGGGCAAAGGAAAAAGGGCAGACAAGGGAAGAGCCAGAGCTGTCTGGGCTGGACCTCAGCGAGGTGTGCGGAACAACCAAGACGATGCGCAAGGAAGAGCAGCGAGGAAGGCCGTGACTCAGTTGCTAGGAGCTGCAGAAAGGCACTGAGTGACTAGCCGTACACGAGCTAGTACACAAGTACACCGCCTGCTTTCACGTTGTCAGCCAAGCGGGCAGGCTGGTGGTACAAAGCCCTGCGGAGCCCCAGCTGAGGGCCCACCACGCGCGGGCCCACGTGGGGCCGAGGCCTTGCTGGGCCGCAGCACGTGTACGGCCCTGCGGCCGAGACATGCCCGGCACCCCCGTGAACTCTGACAGGAGTCACAGCAGTCATTTGGGAGATACATGTGCTGAGCCTGATTTGAATTTCCAAAGGTCACATTTGTCACGCTGGGCGTCGCGCGGTTCTCATTAACAAGCGTCTCCAGCTGGCCCCGTGCGACGGCCTCAGAGCGGGTTGTTGTATGCAGGCAGGGTGGCACCGGGCTGCCACTGAGGCTCAGCCACTCCAGACACGGGCAGGCACACCTCTGGAACAGCACCTCTCCAAAATAAGGGCACAGGACACGTCAGGGCAACCCCACATCGCCAGGAGTACGTGGCACTTGTGATCTATTACCAGCCAGCACAAAAAATTGGGCTGCTCAGGGTCAGCAGGGCTTCTCAGTGACCAGAGTCTTGAACCAAAAATGTGTCTTCTTTGCTGAAGAAGACACATGGGTTGCTTCTCTACCCATGCCAACAGCCTTGTCCAGGGACCAGCTCTCTCTGACCCCCCTGGAACTCACAGAGCTTGGCTCAGCTTCCCCTCTGCCTGCTGACAGCAGGTTCTCCTTCTGCTGCCTTGGCTTGGGTTTCGGATGAACATTCTGTTATGAAATGGCTTTTCCAGTAACATTTATACCCTTAGAGAACCCAGAGACCCATCCACTTCCCACTCATGAGATGTTTTACTTTCAAAGACTGGGTTTGAATGGTGTGTTAGCTTTCTCTGCAGCCTGCTGAGCACTCGCTCATGTGGGAGCATCACTGGGCCACCAGCACAGGAAAGCGTCCATGGCCTGAAGACAAGGCTACCTTCATATTTCTTCAGAAATAATTGGTCACAACTGGAGAACCTTCACTTCTCTGCCATGTAAACGCCGTGTGACCCCTCATCTACCTGGCATATCCTGCTTTCAGGTGTTTAATGCTGTGTGTGCCTGGCAGATCACTGAATCTCTTCATCTGTTTTAATCATCAGTGCATGCCTGCTCCATGCTCCCATTTATTAAATGCTGGGTGTAGAGCATACTGTGGATAGCACAAATATCTTATTGGATCAGTTTTTTCTTAGATGGGCTTTTTACATTTTATTTTATTTTTTTTTACAACTTCCAATTCACAGCCATCTTTTCATCATTGCTGATTTTGTAAATTTGTCTCCATGTCTCTGGTATCCTGGGTCCAGGCCAGCATACCTGCTCTGAGGGTTCACAGGATTGCCCTTCGCCTCCTCAGCTCTGTAGCTGCAGATGTAAAGCTGGGAAGTTCAGTCAAGGATGCATTTCTGTCTAATTCTTCCTGTAGGCATTAGTTTGCTTATTCATTGTCATTTCTGGGCTGCAGATTTGAGCTGACTTGGAACTAAAAGTCTCAGTGTATTTCCCTGTATATTTTCCTTCTGTTTAATTTTTCCTTTTCCTCAGCAGATGCTCAGTGATTTTGCCATTAACTTTGGCAGAAATAGAGGCTGCAGGTAATAAAGGCAGTTAAGACCCTTTCCACATTCTTGAAGGTTGTGACTGATTCAAATTGCAGTTTGGCCTGAGTGCTCCAGGTGCAGTCCTGAAGTATCATTTTAGGGACACTTCATTACATCTTTGTAAGGGAACAGGCTATTCATAAAAAGCCCTGGAAGACATAAATGTAAAACAGCTGTTCTCTTCCTGTAATTTCATCAAAGACCTGTCTCCTGCAAATGTCTCTGTTTTCTCATACTGCCACCTGAAATCATCAACACATGGTCAGCCCCCAGGCACCAGGAGGTGGGCCCACGTGCCTGGTGTTGCAGAAGCTGAAAAATGGTCACGAAATCCATTCTTCTTAACTGCATGATCATACTTCAGACTAAGCATTGCTGTGTCTGCATGAGCACAGCCAGTGGAGATGGGTACTTTCAGTGTGACAGCAGCTTGTGTTGGGTTGTGGGTCGATAAAAGCAGGAGATGGGAGGTGATTTCAAAGAGCACAACTTCCTCATCTTTGAAAGTGATGCCTCATCCCTGGAAGTGTTCAAGGCCAGGATGGATGTGGCTTTGGGCAACCTGGTCCAGTGGGAGGCGTCCCTGCCCATGGCAGGGGGTAGGAACTCAGGGATCTTTAATGTCCCTTCCAACCCAACCCATTCTGTGATTCTACAGAATCCCCTGATGTTGAATGTTTTTATCTTCCATTGAAGGATGCTTTTCCAGTACAAAACAAAAACATCATCAAAACACCATCAACACTACAAAGAGTTTTGCTGACTGCGTGCTTTTTGCCCACGTGGCTGGAAAGCCTCCTCACACTCACATTCTCTCTCCCTCTTTCCTTTCTTCCTCCTCTCTTTTACAGTAGCTTATTCTTGTAGGCATGCCACGCTCCACAGACTGCATCTCAGATATTCTTCCAGTAACCGCAAGGGTTTTCTGGAGATTTGCTACTCACTTTAATGTGCTTTAAAGCCGCTCGCAGTTCAGTCCCAACAGAGTATCCTTCATGTGAAATGACACTAACATGAAGGGGGCTGCCTGTTGCTCCAGCTACAAAGATTACCATGGAGTTTCAGCTTCAGAAAAAGGGAAAGTAT